TCTCAAAACCGGGAAACCGATCCCGTCCTTTATTGCCGTAGAACTATACTATGTACAGCTGTCTTTGTACATAAAAATGGTATCAACCTAATTTTGTGCAGTGAATTAAGAATATATTGGCCGGGTATGGTATTCTCAATGCAATCAGAAGGCCTAAGGACGATTCTTAGTCAATTCAGAACTCACTCTAAAGCAGTTACAAGCAGAAGCGAGATCTTCGAATGAAACCGGATTATTGACCAGAGCTGTAGCAAGGAATCTAGCGGCCAGTACTATTCAAAAAAGATAAAATAAATTACAGATCTCCTACAGCAATTTACCAACGCTTATAGGAATTCAGACTGATTTATACCCATTCCATACCTACCAACATGTGGCTTTGAACGATTGTTTCGAGCCACTTGGCAGTGAATAACCTGCCACTCTAAGTAGGAAGTCACTTACCTCTCTCTTTATTCATCTATTACTTCATCCACTCATGTCTGCATTCTTTTCTCATCCATCCCTCTGAGTCATGTGGGATTGAAACTATTTCCTTCACCTCTTTGATCTTCCGTCTGCTACCGTTTTTGCTACAAAGCAATACGGATGGTGGAAGATCACAAGTGCAACGTGACGAAAAAGATGGAACGGGGCAACCCTAAACTTCACATGTCCTTCATACACAGAATATGTAGAGGCAAAGCTGCCTCAACTAGTTATATACAAGCGACTGAGTATCACAGCGAGCTCTCTCCAACGCGAGATAAAGCGATTCCCCCGAGATCACCAGACGCAATCACCATGACTTAAGAATTGAGCATGACCAGTTTCAGGTTCCATTGGCCGGCTGCTTCCAGGCCTTTCCATCGATAGTGGTAGTCAAGGTTCCGTTTGCATTGAATATGTTGGTCATGGCATCAATTTCCAGATGGAATCCACCGGGACTGGTCTTCTTGCTTCCGGTAACTTGTCCGGTAGACCTAAGGTCGGAAAACCAGTCTACCTTGTTTATCGTCATGGATGCGACAGTATTGGTGAACCTTTCAGACCCTTCGATAATACGCAGCCCATCATCGGAATAATTGCGATAGGTGACTGCAATGGTTTTGATAGCTGTGGGAATGGCCTTGTCATGAATAATTGACACAGAGGCTGAACCTGACACTTCTCCCTTCAAGGTGTAATTTCCTTCAGCTGGGAACGGACGGTCTGGTAGAGCACTTTCGGGAACATATGGAACACCCCAAGGAACTTCATCAGAGACGGGAGCAACTGGTTCAAGATCGAGCGGCTCACGGCTGGTAAGGTGAGCAAGCATCAGGCGGGTGACACGGCCACCTGGTTCGGTAGAGTTGGGGCATGGCAGAGGATTCTGTCCGCCACAGGAAGGGGAAACAACGAGGTTCTCGAAGTATGCTATGCGCGTGCCGTCATGAGACCACTTTGGATCTGCCCCGGCGTTCCAGTTGGGGTCGTTGATGCTTCCAGGGCTACCGTCACCGTCGCCGTTGATTTGCTGGCCGTAGTAGTCGCCACGGTCCCCGTCGTGATCCAGGAGCCAAGGTCGGAAGAATCGCCGAGGACCATTGTTGCGGGTAGAAGAGGCAACTGTAGTAGCTATCAGGTCGATGACCGGTGGAATGCCGCGCATGCCGGCCATGAACATCTGCCGGCCAGTCCCCCGAGTATCAAGGATGACTTGCCACTTATCGTCAGGAGAGACATCCATGGGGTCGACATACTCGGGGTGATCCGTGATCCGACGGACCTCTCCTGTTGTCAGGTCGGCAGCGAATACGTCGATGTTGCATGACTCGACAGGGTTGCCGATATACGTGACCTCTTTACCACGTCCGGTAAATCCTCGAAGCTCGCCGACGGCAATGGCCGACCGGTTAAATAATAACTGGTTGCCTTTAGCGCTGATAGGCTGTGGGCTGTCCGGGTTATAGAGTCTGGTAACGTTAGCCAGATCATATCGGGCTGAGCGAGGTTCGCCCGTCTTCGGCGAGGGGTTAAACTCCAGTCGACTGAAGTAGCCAAACTGCCCTAGTTGGCCATTGGAATAGGTGAAGGAATTGAATCCTAAGTGCACATTATCCGGATGTAGGCGCAATTCTCGTATATTTCCTCCGGCTCCCGAGCCATCTGCCTTGACATTCCAACGGATGGGGTAGATGTGCACCTTATCCGGTGTACACTCAGAACTTGCGAGCAGCGCCGAGCCACAATCAACGATGTTAGTCCCAATCAGGGCCCTCTTACCATCCAAGAACGCCTGAGGATACGGAGAGAGCTCTGTGCTGCCGACCTTGTTTTCTTCCGGCACGCCGCAGGTAACACACTTCCACGGGTCACCACTAGGAAAGTTGGTCCCATCAGTCTTTATCAGAGTCAAATGGGTACCATTGTAAATGCTAGCCGGATCGGGAGCTGCTGGAGCCCCTGAGAAGTTTAGGCTGACAAGGACGTGGTTGTTGTCAGGAAGAAAATTTCCACTTTGGATCTGGGAGGATTTGAGCAAACATCCGGTCCGGTGAGGGCTGACTTCGGGAGTACAAGAGCCCTCCTTACTGTCGGCGACAGGAGGCAAGGGAAGCTCGGTGACAACAATAGGTTCTGGTACGGGGGGACTTAAAACTTGCTGGTTGGTGTCTCTGTTGCCATGTTGTACCCCGGCAACACTAGAAATGATACCCAGAAAAGCAGTGGTGCTTGCGACAACATGCATTTTGGACGATGTGACGGATGTTGAACACCAAACGGGAGGAAGAGCTAACCCTCATCCTTTATAATCTGCGATGTGGAAACGATCGGTTACCACCTCTTCCGCTCAGCAGGGGTTCGATCCACAGTGGAAACCTCTTCTCTAGGGTCTAAGTATAGAGATAGCAGATGAGTTCGGCTACCCCGGGTTCTGAGTGGTCGATCATTGCTGTATGTGGCAAAGTGAAGTCCAATCGTATCCGTATTCTTTCCCTATCATGGCGGGGTTCCGTGTTCTATACCAAAAAAGGCAGGGTTTACGGATGCGAAATATCTGGCAAACAAAAAAACACTCCTATGATCTGCAGGATTGTCGTCAGTTCATTTCTGACATAAGGAACATGTTGTATTGCAGGAACAGTGCATAATGAATCTAATACGGCCCTACACGTTTAAGGCATGTAGACCGACGTGCAGACGCCAACTCCATGTAGCTTCCGCATCTGAGCATAGATTGAAACGCTTGCAAAAGAATGTCTTACTGTACGTCTTCACATGCTTTGGAACTATCCAGAGTGACATTATCATCACTGTAGCTCATCTCTTGTTGGTCTAACCAAGGAGTCCTGCAGCTATAGTACCTGGATCCAACCGAGGTTGCATTGGTTTCCTGAGTCTCCTGTCATGCAATAGCAGGGCTTAGAACATAGTTGCAAGGGTTTAGTTCGACTGTAAGTCGTTACACATAGATTGCCAGCTTGCCTGGCGTATGGCATAATAGATGGGATAAAGAGTAATCATCCGTTGACATGTCTGTTAAGGCCGGGTAGTTCTGAGACATCGATGACATGGATTCTCGTCCACTTAGTTTTATAATTGAAGAGCATGGGCATTGCGCAGGTTTTTCCTACAATAACTTGTCTTTTTATTATTAATCTGAAAGTATAGCATATATCTATCCATTATAGAAAAACTTCCTCGTATTATTCTTGGATCCCCAGAGGAACACGATCAACCCATTCTAATGCCAGTATTTTCGGATCGGCTCTTGGATGAGCTGCCAAGCCTGCTCCATCGTTTGCGCTATGTCATCAGGAAGAAGCCCTTTCTCTGAATCAGCCAAGTTACCTTCTAATTGCTTGACACTGCTCGCTCCGACAATTAAGGCATCGCCATGCTGTTTACTCAAGATAGAGTGGTGTACTAGCCAACGGTAAGCGCACACAGCAATGGTGAGATCGTGCTTTTGAGCAGCTGCTTGGATAATCTCTAGCGCTGCGAATGTGGTCTTGTTCCAGTAGCGGTCATTCATCGCGGAACTTTGCTTGTTGTTGGGATCGTAGCGTGCACCGGCGTCGAAGGAGGTAGTATCAAGTTTGTAACGGCCGGTAAGTACGCCACCGGCTAAGGGCTGAAAGGCATACAGAGCAATATTGTAATGACGAAGACAGGGAAGTAACTCTGCCTCAATCGCACGGTGAAGTGGGTTGTAGATGCCTTGATAGACTGACGGATGAATCCAACCATGACGGTCGCAAATTTCACACATTTGGGCGACTTCCCAGGACATAAAATTACTGATCCCAAGACGCTTAAATTTGCCTTCCCGATGTAATTTGTCAACTTCTTGCATTGTGACCTCGAGTGGGGTGTTGCGGTCTGGCGCGTGAAGGTACCAGAGGTCCACGCTGTCCGTGTTCAGCGCTTCAAGGCTTCGGTTGAGTGCTCGTCGCAGATCGTCTGCTCCGAGCGTGTAAGTATCAGGACCAGCTCCCCAGTTTGCTGTTGGATATATTTTCGTGTGTACACGTAGGTTCCTCTCCTGCCAACCACTTTCCCCGAGAAGAGATTCAGAGGTGCCGTTGCCGTAGGCGCGGGCAGTGTCGATGTCGCTGTGACCATATCGTTGGAAGACATCTAGAACGTCTTTAACTTCTTCAGGTGTGGTTTGTCGGCAGCCATCCAGCCCAAATAAAGCGTTAATATACAACCAGTCGCTTGATGCACGGGCGCGATAACGTACAGGGTAAATATTTGATTCCGTTGCTTGGATCACTGTCCAGGCTTTCTCTGGACATGACCGAGATAGATATATATCCATACTCCACCAGACAGACGTACTTCCAAAACTCTGTATACGAAAAGTTTTGGGATGGTGGGTCTATAGCAATTAAAGTGGTCAGCAATCTGCAGCAGTCGGACTTTACATCGGAGTTAAGGGTTCCCCTCTTCTCAGCTAAGAAGTCAACCACAACTCTTGTTGCTCTAGAACCAAATGTCATGATTCCTCACTATTTTCGCCTTATATAAACATGACTGAGGCTACAGCACCATTCCTACCACCTCCCCGCCGAGTTGTGACCGGCCACAACGCCAACGGTCAGGCAACGGTAGCCTTCGACTCCCACCTCACGCCCCAGCCCGTGGGAGATGGCAACAACTTGACAATACTGTGGTCAACGAGCGAACATCCCGCAAACGTCAGTGACTCCGAAGATGCTGCACTATCACCTCGGAGTTGGCCACCCACGGGCACTGGAATATCCGCTTTTGATTTGCCCCCCAAAGCAGAGGGAGTGCTCCATCGCTCTATTACGCTCGACTACGTGATAGTCGGCAAGGGAAGCGTTGTTTTGAGCTTAGACGATGGCTCAAAAGTCACATTGAATGAGGGCGATGTGGTCGTCCAGCGAGCAACGATGCATGGCTGGAGCAACATAACCGACCAGTGGGCACGCATCTACGGAATGATGGTCCCTGCGCAAGCGCCGATTGTGAATGGGACGGAACTGAAGGAGGATTGGCCTTTTTGAGACTTCGTTTGCTCGTTTGGTTTACAGGCGTTTGGTCGCTCACCTGAGAAAGGGGTTTCTTCTGTGTTATTCAACGAATTTATCACTTGGACAACTATGTTGATCTCAGATGCGGAACGAGAAGTTTATGTTTCCCAATTCGGTACATTTCGCCACAGCTGTTTTGAAGTGCCCTTCGGGGTTAGGAGCCAGCTGGGTAAAGTTATTCAATTTCATCTTGGAGGCGAATTAGAACTCTATGACCATTCTTTGAATATCCATTGCAGTAACATCAATTGAATTCGAAACACAGTTTGATATTCTCTGCTGAGCGTTTGAGTACTCTCGTCAGCTTGGTATCATATTTATGGTCATTATTCTCGGAGCCTGTCTTTTCACCTTTCGCTATTGATAGAAACAAGTACCGTGAAACATTGATTATTAGCAGTAACAGCTATCCCAGTCCTTGAGGCACTACTTCAGCTAGCTAGTACACATATATGAAATCCTCATTCTTGAGATCCGTCGTGTCCGAAAACCCCTTATCCTCAGTTTGATTCTGCTGCGGAAGAGCATTGACATCCTCGAGTTCAACCGCCTTACCCACCTTCTGCTTGCTCAGCATAGATTCATCCACCACCTGGGCAGATTTGCCAAGATCCAGTCTGCGCTGTGCGTGCTTCCGATTCAAGTAGATGAGGTACAGATTAGTCAAACTGGGAGAGTAAGCTTCTGCGTCCTGCGTGTAATCATCGAAACCAAGGACTCGACTTACATAGCAAACACGCCTACAATCACGAATAATATAAGGTTCGAGATCAACCCCGGACGGTACAATGGTGCCTGTGATGTTGAGTAAAGTTGGGGACCGATTACCTGTGTACGATCAGTACGAATGTTCTGGACGAGTGGTTTGGGCAAGGAAAGGGGAGGGAGCATACATTCCCGGCGCACATTCCGATCAACACAACCGCTGAGGTACATTTTCGCTTGGTATCTCCGGCGGTATTTTGTGCTTCCCATGCATAAACTAGGGGAGTGATTCCTGCTAGGAAGGATACCTGTTTGAATATTAGTCATGTCGATTAGATATTGATTTGAATGGAGAAAGGAATCCGCTTACCAAGTAATAACCGAAAAGAAGAACCCCCTTCTGCTCCCGGGGAACAACAATCATCAACAATGTTCCGATAGCAGAGATAATTGCAAATCCAACAATCACGAGTCCCTTGCGCTGGAACCGGGTTGCCAGCCATCCTCCGCCTACGATGGCGATCACCTGAATGACACCAAAGGGGATGTTGAAGAGAATAGTTTCGAACGAGCCGTATCCGAAAGATTTAATGATCAGGTTGCCGAACGTGCTGATACCACCGCTCGGGATTCTGGATGGTGTTAGTTCCGGCATTCCTTCGTTAATGACTATGTATGGTTCCAATATGAATTATCACGTACGAGATGGCCACGATTAGGAAAAACCAACACCAGGTTTTCATGTCGCAAAGCGTCTCCCAGACATGGTCCCAACGCCACTCGCGGGAGACAACACCCATCTGGTTTGCGCGGAGGCGCTCTACGGCGATGATCTTCTCACGGTGATTAAGACACTTGGCTTCCATGGGTGAGTCAGGCATGAAGATGAGGACAATGAGCGAGAAGGCGACAGTGAGCAGTCCGCAGAACATGAAGATAATCTGGCACAGTTTAGCCGAAAGAGTTCAAGCTAGGTATGTACTATCGGGCTTTACCTGATAGGAATAGAGTGTGTCGCTGTGGATGTGACCCAATCCGTATGTGAAAAGACTTCCGACCTGTCAAATGCTTTGTCAATGCTATTTCGCTGCATTTGTAGAATGAGGGGACAGAAAACGTACGACAAATGTCACGCCGTTCATCCCATTCCAATAGGCTGTCCGTAGAGTCTGTTCGCCTCGTCTCCACCACATCTGCGTTACGGCCACACATGAAGGCGCTATTGTGTCTTGTTAGAATCTTATCCCCCCACAACTAGTTACCACTCCATGCTCTGTAGCAACATACCTATCATTGCTTCGAACGCCCCCAAGGTAAACCTCAGCCCAAGCAGGCTAGGAAAGTCCGTACACGCCGCCATGATGGCCAAAGAGCTTCCCCACAAGAATATCGCCGATCCGATCAGTTTTCCTGTCGGGAGCTTGACAAGTAGCAGCGCTGCTATAGGCTGCATAACCAGCTGGGCCAAATAAAGAATCGATCCGAGCCATGAATACTGCTGTCCATGGAGATTGGCATCCTCAACTAGCCCAAAAATGGAGACATACGAGAGCGTGGATTTGTCGAGTTGTTGGAAGAAGTACGCGCCTAGAAGTAGAGGCAGCAGACGGCGATCGATGCGTTTTAGAACACGCTTCTCTTCTTCTGGCGTAAAGGTCCGTTCGCCCTCGTCGACTGAAGCAAGGAACCGCGCCGCCTTTTCCTTGCCCTGGTTACGGGGGGCTTCAGGGTCTTCCACCGCGGTGATATCGTCATGAGGTGTTTCTACTGGACCTGCCATGATGAGTAGTAAATGGGCCTGTAGAGAATGACATTATCCTGGGGAGCAAGGTATTTATTCTAGGTTCGGATTATAATATTCCGATACGAAGGAGGTAGTTATCGAGGGCCGCCAACGCAATGGCAGCAATAACTGGCCTACCTACTTTCTGATCAAAATGCCAGTGGAACTCTTCCCCAGACCCCAGACCCCAGATATCCCCGCATCATGTGCTGATACCCGATTCATGGAAAAATTACCTATTTAGCCTGATCGAAGTCTGTGCGGGGAGTGCAGATCTATCACCTCGGGACATTGCAACCCGAGGACTTAAAAGTAGCTACCTTCTCCATTCCTCCAAATTCCAGTCTATTGAAAGCTTTCCACCGTCTAGATTGCAACCGCTACAATGAACGATCTGAACAAAACTGAGCCCAAGATGAAAAAATACGCTTTAATCGGAACCGGCGGCCGCGCCATGTTCTTTTATACAGCCATCGTGCGTGACTTCGGCAGCACCGCCCAACTTGTCGCTTTCTGCGACACCAACAACACTCGCCTGGCTTATGCAAACAGTCGCATCGAGGCCCTCGGCCATAGCGCCGTTCCTACATATCTGGCCCACGACTTCGACCGCATGATCGACGAGACTCACCCGGACGAAATCATCGTGACCACCATCGACCGCACACACCACAAGTACATCATCCGCGCATTAGAACGTGGCTGCAACGTTGTCACCGAGAAGCCAATGACGATTGATGCACCGCGGTGCCGACAGATCATCGACGCAGTCGACCGCACCCAACGACAGGTACGAGTTACCTTCAACTACCGGTATGCACCGCATAACACCAAGATCGCGGAGCTGTTGAATGCGGGGGCGATCGGAGATATCAACTCCGTGCATTTTGAGTGGATGTTGAATACCTCGCACGGTGCAGACTATTTCCGCCGTTGGCATCGGGATAAGCGCAACAGTGGTGGGTTGCTGGTGCATAAGTCTACGCATCACTTTGATCTGGTTAACTTCTGGTTGCGGACAAAGCCGGAGACGGTGGTTGCTATGGGCGATTTGCGATTTTATGGAAAGGAAAATGCTGAGCGTCGCGGTGAAACGAAGTTTTACTCTCGTGCTCGGGGTAGTGAGGTGGCGAAGGAGGATCCCTTTGCTCTGGACTTAGAGGGCAATGAGCAGCTTAAGGCGCTGTACGCGGATGCCGAATGGGAGGATGGGTATTATCGGGATCAAAGTGTGTTTGGGGATGGCATCAATATTGAGGATACCATGGGGGTGATGGTGCGGTATCAGACCGGGGCGGTGTTGACATACAGTCTTACTGCGTATGCGCCCTGGGAGGGCTTCCGGGTGAACTTCAATGGGAGCAAGGGTAGACTGGAGGTTGAGGTGGTAGAACAGTCGTATGTGAACTCAGGAGGAGAGCAGGCCATGGAGGGTGCGCTGGAGAGTCGGACCATTCTCCTGCGGCCAATGCTGGGCAAGCCTGTGGAAATCGAGGTTCCAACGGGCGAAGGTGGTCATGGCGGTGGTGACCCCCAATTGCTACAAGATCTCTTTGGCACCCGATCCTCAGATCCACTGAACAGAGCTGCGTCGCATCTAGATGGGGCATGGTCGATTGCGACGGGCATTGCGGCGAATGAGTCAATGCGCACGGGGCAGGTGGTGCGTGTAAATGAGCTACTGCAGTTGTGAGATGAGTTACTACAGCTGTATATCAATTTGTAACACCTTGATAGACGGACGTGTCAGCTCATGAAGTTGTCTCTTAGCTATCATGGTATTTATAGCATTAATCATTTTATAATGGCAAATTGTCATACCAGATAGAATTTATCAATCGGCCGGACAAAAGTAAGAATCTGGAATAAAACATCACAGAGATTAAAGTAGTAGAATACACTTTTTGGACGATGACGTGTTGCTATTTTGAGCCGACGATATTGTATCTCTAATACGAACTTGATTTCCTCTGCTAGGTAGGGATTTCTGTCAACCATAGAAACGGGCCTAGTTGGGCCGCCTACCCTACACAGTAGTCAGCTGACCTATGCCCAGTATTTAAGTTATATAGTAAGTTAGTTAGAAAGAACCAATGCTTATGGACTATAATTCACCTCCTTTAGTGTTAGGTCTAGATTAGAGAGGTATAGGTTCCCCGTTGGATCTAACCTGAACGGTTGGAGTGGGTTCGTAGGTACGTAGTACGTTAGCACCGCATCTGGCTCTTCTTCTTGCTGGGCACTAGCAACTCTAGGAAAATCGTTGGAAATATCGACCACCAGTGTCTGGTGGCTGGGGAATGGAACCAGTGATAGTCCGTATGTCGTATCCTGGCCCGCAAATGATGCGTTGAATGGCCGCAATTATGGTACGATGAGAAAGATCAGCATCATAGCCCTTTCAGGACTGTCAACTCTCTCAGTTGCCTTTGCATCAAGTGCTTATTCTGGAGACTTGTCTTCAATTTGCCAGTATTTTGAAGTTTCTGATGAGGCTGCGACACTGGGCTTGTCACTTTATGTCCTAGGCTTCGCGATAGGGCCTTTGCTGCGGGCCCCCATGAGTGAGGCATTTGGCAGAATAATCGTGTTCTTGGTCACTTTCAGCCTTTTCACTATCTTCAACATTGCGGCAGCAATTTCCGCCAATTTCGCTTCCGTGGTCATTTTCAGAGCTTTGGCAGGAATGTTCGGCAGTGCACCTCTCACCAACTCTGGAGGGGTTGTGGCCGATCTCTACAGTGCGGAAACGAGAGGACTTGCTGCGGTGTTCTACTCTTGTGCCACCTTCTTGGGCCTGTTCTGGGCCCCATTGCGGGCGGATTTCTCGGCGAGGCTCAAGGATGGAGATGGGTCGAAGGCCTGCTGGCAATCTACTCGGGAATTATGCTTATACTCGGAGTTCTTTGCATTCCCGAAACCTTCAGTGACGTTCTCCTTCGCCGACGAGCCGTCATGCTTTCGATGAAGACGGGAAAGTTATATGTCACCAGCGTCGATCATCGCAACCCTCCAGGGTCTCTGGCGGAGAGGTTTCAAGTATCAACGACCCGTCCTTTGCATCTGCTCTCCAAAGAGCCGATCGTTGTCGTTCTCGCGCTTTATATGTCTTTCCTTTACGGCACCACCTATCTGCTACTAGCAGCACTACCCATCGTGTTCCAACGTGTCCGCGGATGGAGCCCAGGGATGGGTGGGCTTGCATTCGTACCTATTGCAATAGGCATGCTTTTCGCCACGGCTTTTATGGTCTTCATCAACCGTCAATACACAAGGAAATTCAGAGCGTCCGAGACTGGCCAGCTGCCTCCCGAAGCACGCCTGCCTTCAGGCAAGGTTGGCGCTGCTCTTATTCCTATCGGTCTATTCCTTTTTGCATGGGCCAATGACCCCTCGATCCACTGGGCTGTTTGTATGGTGGGTACTGCCTTCTTTGGGTTTGGCAATATCTGTGTCACATTAGCATTGGTCAACTATCTTGTCGATAGCTGTTCGATATTCTTGAAGCATGACTAGCCAGATTAAAGGATATGAATAATATGGCGATCCACGTTACTGTACACAGTTCTAAATAAAAAAAAGAGAATGAGGCTTAGAAGGTCTTGTGGCTGATGGGAACGAAATGAGACAGCCTCGCGCGGCTACAAGATTTTAGCCTGATCCCCGCAATTTCCTTTAAACATTCCTTCACCTCAATTCCATCATCTGAATACCCTTTACTACCTACTCGCGATTTTGAATATAGATTACAGACCGTCCTTAATGGCTGATCCTTTATCTGTAGCCGGGAGTGCAGTGGGCATCATATCCCTCGGCCTCTCTGTTTGCCAGGGCTTGCTCGCTTATTACGGGCCATTCAAAACATTTTTCGAGGAAGTTGGCGACATTACATCTCGAACAACGGCCCTAGATTCTATACTAAAGGTACTACAAAAAATCGTCGTTGAGGAGTATATGCTCTCCGGCTCTCCGGTAACGCAACCCACAACGGTTGCATTCAGATCTATTCTGAGCTGTCAAGAAGGGCTGAACAGATTAAAAGCTACACTGGAAAGATGTACTCAAAGCAAAATTGCCAACACTTATACCAGATTTCGAATCCAGACCAACCGGATATTATACCCCTTTAGGCGCGAAACTGTAATGCTACTTATGGAAACATTGAGTTGGTTGCAGATCAACCTCAATACTTCACTTCAAATACTGACAATGTAAGTGATCTGCAAAGAGATGTGCTGTGATTCTCGCTTACTAGATGGGATGCAGCTCTATGGTGGCAACCAGTCAAAGGCAGCTTGGTTTGATATTCACGAACTCGAAATCCAGCCTGTCAGATACCGGCCAGATGCTAGACGTTACCAACCGTATGAGCCAAAGCAGTATTAGTATTGATGACAGATTAGATATGCTTGAACAGCATATAAATCAAATTGTACAGATATCAGTCCTATTCAGAGTGCCATTTTCAAGAACCCAGGGGATACTGACTGCTTACATTCAGGAACGGAATATTCGTCGCTCTCCAGCTCGTTCTGTTTCAGAAATCGCTTCACTATGTTCAATCTCGGATATCCCACGTGGAGATGACGATAATATAGGCAGTCTTGCAATCCCTCGCTATAGAAAATACCGGAAAAGATGCATATGTTCTCATCGTAATCCGTTTCAACTGCCAGGGCTTGGGGGTTTGAAGGCAACATATGGCCACGTCTGCTCATGTCACAACCAGGACAAAAGAATCTTCTCCTTATCCAGAAGATGGGTATTCTACAACCGAATATTGAAACTTGCGATTGGAGCATCGATAACCGTCCAAATGGGTGCTGGAGGCTTTTCTATTTCCCCAGAGATTCATTTTCGCCCAATCGTATCAACTGAATCACCAGTATTCTGTCTTCTCTGGGAAACGGAGAAATACCTTAAATCAGAAATTATTGGCCCTGAGATCGAGAGCGCTCAAAAGAAGCTACTGGGACTTTTCGAGGAAGGCAAAGGAACGCACTTGGATACCCTACCCAACGGTAATACGATATTACACGTGAGCCTGCTTGAATTCCTTCTGCCAAATAATGTAGGTGTGAAAGCTTTTTTTTTCTGACAGTCTAATTAGATAATAACTAGCTGGCAAAAGTATAGCCATCGGTGGGATTCCAACTCATGGCTGGTTTGGCGTTCTTTTATCAATGTCATGTTAGAACCGGGTCTATTGTCGGATCGTGTCAATGACTACGGCGAGACCCCAGCGGACATGATGATAAGATATTACGAAAGCCGCCATCAGGAGCAGTCTACTCTTGACATCTGTTCTGATTTACTAAATTCTGGAGGGCATATGACCCACCAGGCTCTTGACTTGAGGCATCACCCGGACACTTTCAACTCATATTACTATATGCCTGGAAATGACCGTTGGATTGATATGATATGGGAAGATTATAGTATCCAACTTGTATGGACACTTCGCGATAAAAGGGATCTCCAAGGTAGGTTTCTCTATCCATAGAAGAATGACGAAACTTAACTTGATCTTAGACATTGATGTCCCAGAGGAACTACTTCCTCTGATCAACAGGTCAAGGAATCAACTAATGTCAGCCCTGGAAAAAGGCATCGATTTACAGAATTGGATTGGCTCTTATACACAGTGGCTTTCAGGCCTGGCTTTACTTCTTCAATATGGTTATGCATCAACCGAAGATTGTCTCATACGAGCATGTGAAGTGGGCTGTGAAGAAAGCGTCGAACTTCTGCTTAATACTAGCGGATACTGGATTGGACCCCGCGTGTTGGAAACTGCCGGAAAACACAATAATCCAGCGATCATGAAGTTAGTGCTACAGGTACTCGCTGGCCGAAGAAAGCGGTTGCAGCTCTTAGCAGAGAGGTACTTGCCTGACAGAATGGTCTCCCAGCTAGGTATAAAGTCAGGTTATCTCTTGAACATCCATGCCTATAAAGTTTACAAACTTCTTGGGGAAATGTCCATCAATGTCAAGAATCTTGTGGAACTATATGAATGGTCTGTATACGATTGTATAGGGATCAATATGAAATTAGCGGACCTCCTATGGAATACCGGCTTCCGACATTTGGATGAGAGTAAATATAACATGACTTGCCTTATGAAGCTAAGGTCGAGCTCCCCCCCTTGCAGCCTTAACATATTTCTTGGAAAAGCGAACTGGTTCATCGCAAAAGGTGCTGATCTTAACCGTCAAAGATCGGGCTCTTCGGCTACCGCTCTGCATATGTTGGGACAAGACATAGGCAAAATGCTGCGTTCAATGGAAAGCGTTGCGAAAGTCACCTTGGAAATGACTAAACTGGACAAAGCATGCAAGGATTTAATGTGCGAAGTGCTGGCCGATGAAATTCATGACGAATGCTACTGTCCTTGTTCTCTTGACGGGTGCTCTGGGATTACAAGACTTCTACATGGGCTTTTCTATGGACGGCCTGAAAGAAATATAGAAGAGCTTCTGCAGAGACTTGCAATAATGCTGGACGTTCTTTTTCCATTACTTGAGCCCGCAGTCCAAGAACGCCTTATTCCTTGTGTCCTCCGCTTTATCGCCTGTCAAAGGTTAGAAATCACCCACACGTGCGTGCATATGACTTTTGGGGAGAAAGAGATACCTACAGATGAAATAAGTGAGATCAATGACGAGGAGAAAGACCTTATATTGGAACTTGAGCAACTCGTGGCTCAGTTTCCCTCAGAAAGGCCAAATTCACTCTTCCCAGCTTCCTTGATGCCCTGGTGGATGCACATTAACGAGGTCCTCTCATCACGTAGGGCACCCAGCAAGGAAGAAATAAATAGGATTCTTGAGACAGGGGTCGTTTTGTACGGATAAGGAAAATAGTCAGGTATTCTTTATAGTACTTAGCGCCTTTCATTGTTCCGTTAGCATGGGCTTTGCTTCCATGAAACGGGTATATCAGCATTTCGGGTAGCTTGGATATGTTGGCTACTACGGAAAGTAAGATCGTGGGAATAGTGGGATAGGAAGGATTTATGTTCCTGTTTCACCCTCAAAGACAGTGGTTTGATTCGAAAGCTCCTCTGGCCAATCAGGTACAATACGAATTTCAGAATGACAGCTTTTCCCCGAGGCTGTGGACTCAGATTCTGATTTGGGACTGTCCGTGATTGGCGACTTTTGGTATCGATTGGTTGACCGCATTCTAGGAGAGTATCGATATCGTGGTGGTCATCTTACATATGAGGCCAGCTAGTGATTCAAGGGAGCAGTATTGTTTAGATACCAACGATAGTCTTACTATAGACTATAATATCCTTCTCGATGTCGATGTCCCACGGATGAATGTCCCTGTTAATAAGAATAAACATAATCGAAATTTCAATGTCTCTCACTAGCTACAATATAGAATAAGACATGCCAGTCACATTCTACACTCTTACCACGGATAAAGGACTTGTGAAACTATTTTTACAAATCAGAAATATTTTAGTATCTTTAAAACCCAAGTCATTTTCTACTCTCCTGTAGTCCATTCAATACATATTCACATAGAGGCAGTGTTTTTGCTCCGTACCTATTTCCACAACCGAAATCCAAATAAGAGCCTCTAAGGATAGCAAATAGCAAGACATAACCCAAAACAGCATCTCCACATGGGCTGGTTTTCCGGTGTGCGGAAAAGCAGCGGGTTCCGCGTTGATGGGCCTTTGAGAACCCGAATCCGCCGTCGGATGAAGGTGGATGAACCCTAATGGCTAAAATACCGACTTGCTGTAAAGTAAGACGACTTTTTGTCGGGTTTCAACTTTCTTGTCATACCAAACATCCTCATGGCGTCGTCGCCGGTTTCCTTTCTAGTGACCAGTTCGCTTCATGCTAGTGCTGCATCGATGGTGACTTTGGTGGATGAGCTCGAGAGTCCGGACCAGCAGGTTTATGCCATTGATAATCTGGTCAGGGTGAGAGAGAATAAAGATATGGCGGATGAACTAATTGTCCCGTATCGTTCGTCGGGGACGGTGTATATATATGCACCACAGCCCATCTCAGACGTGTATCTAGCACATTGAGGATTAATACTGATACTCATGACCGATAGTTGGATCGCTCTGTCGAACCGGCTTCTCTCCCTTCAATTACGTACTCTCATTTCAATTGGCTTCACCAACCCAGCGTATCGTCACCTTAATCGCAATGGTATGAGAAAATATCCGCTCATGACGCGTTCGCGTCATAGTGGATTGCGGAAAAGCATTGGACCTACCAGATCCGTGCGGAAATGCACATCCACACTCTAAAACAGTCAAGCTTCTGCCAAGTGTGTGGATCCCTCTCAAACCCTGGATTCAAACTTGCCCATTTGTGGCTTTCTCGGTATCAAGCTCGGCAGCAAGCTCGGGATCAAATCCCCCCACGCCTCCACAACTCCCTGGGACTCTCTCCGCAATACCGATTTCGTCTCCGGATCCCCCAAACAAATGGTGAACCTATCAGGATGATGACGAGCTGGTTAGTTTGGTCTTTGGGGTCTCTACTTCCCTTATCTCCCCTTCGCTTGGACCTGGATGCCATGCTTTTGTGTTCTGTTTTGTATTTGCCCCTTCCTTTTGGCTCTCTATCCCCATAATCTTTTCACACACTTATCATCAATTCATCGATCTCATTGAATATAACAAAATGAAACCAGCCTTAGGCCTTCGCGGGATAAAGCTCAACATCGGGCACATCTGCACCGTTATCTCATGGCTGTAACATCAGGAATCGAAGGCCGGAAGTCATGGGTACAGACATTCCCTCAGATGAACACAGTTAACACTACCGGCTCCAGAGAAGCGGAAAACTCTCGCGTCGAGGGAACTGTGACTGCAATCTTTAATCTAGGCTGTCTCTTCAGTGCCCTCTCTTGTATCCATGTCGGTGATATCCTCGGCCGTAAGAGGACGTTTATGTTGGGTCTGATTATTACGATTATTGGATCGATACTGCAGGTGGGTGCATTTTCGTTGCCGCATTTGACAATAGGGGGGTTTGTGGCTGGATTTGGGTTTGGCGGTGTTACTGCCACTGGGCCGAATTGGTATTCTTTCATTTTCCTTTTCGATTGGATTGTATTAGATTTGATTTGACATGTTGCGATGTGCTGATGCTGCTTTATGTAGGCAGAGTACCTTTTTATGTACTAGGCTGGCACTGGCCGGATGGCTGGAATACGGACTCGCCTTTACAGTAAGGCTCGGTGACATGGAGACTTCCTCTTGCTTCTCCCTGTTTCCTCTGCTTGATATCTCTATGCTGGGCTCCTGTCTGGCCGGATTCGGTGCGTTGCACTTCCACACATTATATTATAAATGCTAATGGAGCAGCCCCGTTGGCTCATCAAAAAAGGCCGCATCGAAGAAGCCCGTGAAATCCTCGCCATGCTCCGCGACGAACCAAGTGACAGCCCCTCTCTTGTTCATCAAATTGAAGAAATCGAAGCTTCTCTCCAAGAAACCGGACAGGGCTCATTCAGGGATATCTTCCGAAACGGACCGGCACGGTTCGCGAATCGGGCGTTCATCGCTGTCTCGACGCAGATGGGACAGCAGATTTGTGGTGCAAATGCCATCACCTTTTATCAATCGACAATTTATAAAAATTATCTTGGTATGAGCGGGAATCTAGCGTTGCTTATGTCTGCGGTTCTCTTTACTTGGTACCGCCTCTCTCTCTCCCTTCCCTATTTAATCATAAGTTTGATGCTAAGAACGCAGGAAAATGATAATCGCCCCGGTCGGCGCCCTGACAATCGACAAAGCCGGACGGCGGAAAGTTGCTGCTTCTCACCTTTGCTGAAATGGGCATCTGCATGACCGTCATGGCAGGCTGTATCTCTCAATCATCTAATAAAGCTGCCGTTGATACGGCAGTCGCATTCATCTTCCTCTACGTCTGCCTTTTACGTCAGCGGTTGCATCGGATTGACGTATCTGTACTGTTCTGAAATCGCACCACTGGCTGTCCGGACACAGATCACAGGTATGTCTACTGCGTCGTCGTGGGCGTTTAACTTTCTGGTTGTTGAAGTCACGCTGAGTGGGTTCAGCTCGCTGGGATGGAAGTACTTTATTATATATGCAGCTATTAGTTTTGTTTTGCTCGTGCCGAGTATGTCCCCTTATCCTTCCTATATTGTCTTGGGATGTAATGCTAATAAAGTAGTGGTGTACTTTCTCTTCCCTGAAACAGAGAGTCTGCATCTAGAGGTTATTGATAATATTTTCCTGGATAGCAAACATGTTTTCCAACCGGTCTCTGCGGCTAAAAGTTTGAGGAAGCATGCTCGTCGGCAGGGTGCGCATGGAGAATTGCAGGTTTATGAGAAGGCGACAGAGGAGCATAAGGAAGTTGTTTGATTGATGAGAATCACACAATCAGTTAGTTTTTAACTGTGGAGATCCTAGTGGGAGGCTTCATCCATTCCTCTAGCTCAAGATATTGTCCTTACCGTACATTGTGAATAAATATCGAAATGCAAGCTGTAAACTTAGATTATGTGCTTTATTAGTTCTGTTCCAATAAGGAACGTTATCTATACCAGTGTCGCCGCTTCTATAGCAAGTAGACTAAAGGAAAGGTATAGTTATTGATGATTTGAGAACTAATGAAAGAAAACATGTATTCTAAACCTAGTCTATATATCTAGAGAAGAGAGAATTGCCAATATTTTCAGGCCATATTGGAAGCTATTATATTGATATTGTTAAATATATTAGGTGCATGCCTGTAATCACTAGAACGAGAAGTGCTAGGAGCCAAGCCATTAATTATATTGGCTATATACAAAGACCCTTCAGATTAAAGGATCAATACAATACGGTATCCTGGGTTGAACTGTTAATGAGAATGATAGGAGATTCTCCTTCTCTGTCTCGAGAAGGGGGCTCTCTGTATGAACAGACTTTCATGATTGTAGGTAATTTCGATCATATTCGCCGTTGGACTGAAACCAATACTTGACTATACCCACGGCCCAAAGGCCTACGACAATATCTGAGTTCCAACCTACTGTACGACATTTCTAATATCACCTGATTGTATAAAGACATGACGCAATAGCAGGTACTCACAGAAGCTGGGCGAGATGCAGAGGAGATATCCGCCCTACTCCGGTGAGCTTATGGGAATCCAGACACATATGGCCATACCTTCTACCGAACAGGAGCAGAGTCATTTACTTCAACCTGGGTAGTGTAATTGGTAAGCAATGACCATGTGCGCAAAAGCAAGATGTTCCTCAGCGCATTTGCCTCTTAAGATGTTGATGGTGGGTTTAGAGTGGCGGAAAATGTGGCTCAGTTCATCAAGCGCGTGACCGATATTTCAACCCGCCACTGTTAGAGAACCCTAACAGTCGGCCGGAAGGGATCTTCGACTATCAGGCTTGGACATATATCATCACTGTCGGTGAAATCCGCCGACATAACTCGTTCGGGGAACCTGGGGTTACTCATCCATGGAAATAAGATAATAATTTACGTCAAGTAGATTGCTGCCACTCGTATCGCAAAACGCTTTTCTCGCTACCCTCTGGAAATAATAGTGAAGACCTTTTTCAGTCTTTAATATAAAGCACTAATGGCTAACAGAACAGTCTATTGTAAGAAGAAATAAATGACACGGTCACCGTGAAATTGTATGCAGGCTCTCCAACAACCCCTATTGCCTTGGATAATATTGACTTGGCTCCTAAAAATTCCGGAATGGCTATAAGGTCTACTGGAAGATGTCACTCAATGCCGATCTTACCCCGAAGGTACTGCAGCATCCTATGAGGAAAGTCAGAAATCTTGCGTACACGTATGCCCTGTTTAGATAAGAACCTTTGCACGCGCAACCGCAAGGGGCGCTTATATTCGGAAAGTTTGTTCCTGTCGTCTTACGTTGTACATCATGAGGAGCGAGTATTTTTAAGCGCGGAAAAGCTCAACCTGACCGCTGGCTTGGTCAAGGTGAAGAGAATGTCGATTCTGTTGTCTAGCATTTAGTACCGGTGCTCGAGGGTGTATTGATGGGAACATCAACCTAGATGGAGCCAACAGTGATGGTGGCGAGTGTCATTGACCGGTATACACTTGCTATCCTAGAATCGGATTCGGACTACGAGAGTGTGGGGGTAACGAATTTGTTGCCGGGACGTTTGCTGCTGAAGGTATGGTGAGAGACGTCGCATAATCATAGATAGGCGCGACCTGGATGGAGCTAGAACGTGGGCTCGGCTGGGCTGGAGCTCAGTAGGTAGCAACAAGTATCTTCCTACCTAAGAAGAGAATCAAACGACGGTGTTCGGGATTTGCTAAAAGCCACCGTCAAGATACTGCAATGAGCAAGGTAGCAAAAGCCCAAACCTTAACTCTGAATCTGACATCAGCAACGATTAGAATTGCAAAGGGGGAAAAAAATCTCCTCCTTCGCTTGTGTTTTCAGTTTTAGTAGATTGTTAGTGCTATCCTCCTAACCATAACCCGACGACAAACACCTAGGCTCATTAGCTTGATTTAAGATATTCTGCTCTGCATGTTACTTCCACATCCTCAAGGGTCTGGGCCAGAAATTTCATTCCTGGGCTTGTTCTCGAACTCATGAACCATGGTTGTCCACAGTAGGATACCGTCCGTTTGGTTCGACCCAAACTTCCAGCTCATCTAGTCTCCCTGCCTCCAGACCCCGCATACTAACCGCCACTCCCCATGATTTGTATTGCAAATAGGTAGCAAGCTATCCCACGAATCATATTTCCTCATTAGAACATTGGACTAGGCGAGGCCCCTCACTTAAACTCTGGAGACACGTCAAAACCAGGGTTCCACATGCCAAATCCAGCGGAGATATCTATATTGCTGTTCGACTTTTATACTTGAAACCAATCAGATGCAGCCGATAGCCGATTGATATCTGGGTGAACCTGACGTGCTCGGTCTATATAATAATTTATAAGACCTCTTTCCTAATCCGGTATCTTCAGAAAGTGGCTCGGCGTGTGACCCACCCTACTGACACTGCTCTTGTCCAGGGAATGATGGCACGTAGCTCCAAATAGGCTTTAGAATATAGGGCCAGAAGAGACTGAAAAGGGTGCCAGTGTATATTAAGGAATCTGAGAGGCAAGAGTGTGATGTCTATCACTGTGAAAAACCCCAGATGGCTTCGGGTCTTGTTAATGATATCCATATTACCTCCATCAATCTTGTGAACCATCTTCTTCATCTAAATACACATCCACATACTTCATGCCAGCAAAGATGACTCTGACTATCGCGTGCTTCCCTAAGGAGGTACCGACCTTTGACAGTGTGCTGAATGACAGGGCACCTTATCCATACAGTCTAAAATCCTTCAGGGATTACGTATCACAAAACCATTGTTCCGAACCCCTGGAATTTCTGGAAGAGCTTAAACGATACAAACAAAGATATCGCTCTGCTCTTGGCCTGGATAGCCCGCGTCGCCCCTCACGTCCATCATTAACACCCCAACTGCTCCTGACCTGGAGAAATATATTATCTGTTTATATCCTGCCCGGGTCATCACACGAGCTTAATCTGTCGAGTGAGGAGCGAAATTCCCTGCTTCGATATAACGACACCTCGTTTCCACCAGCGCCCTGTTTGATCGAGGAAGCAGTTACACGCATATCTCAGTCATTCGAATCTTCTATATTTCTTCCATACCTTACCAGTCGGGCGTTACTACTTCATACAATATCTTCTGAGGATCATCTCGACGAGGACAATGCGGGCATGATCTATGATAAGTTGCCACTATCGACAACGGGATCCGATATGACGGATAGTTCATCAGAAATAATAGGCGCAACAACCCACATGGATGAGAAAAGTTGGAGAGAGAGCAAGAGTGTGGTTTTCAAGAGAGTACTATCCTTTCTCGCCCAGCCAGCTAAATCCTTTCGAGCATATCAAAGGTCCTCTCGAATTTCTTCTGGGAATATGGACAGACGATCCACACTCTGAGTGCTGTGTTTATGACCTTCTACTTCTCTGTACATATTTAATGAGCATCATGATGCATCACGAATAGACTGCTAAGAGTATGAATCATTGCATGAATATGATATATATATGATAAAGTTGATCTATACATGCGTAACGCCTACTATCCCATTCCCATAACCACTACTAGTATCTAACTTCGCCGCCGCTGCCGCCAATTCTCCCTCTGTCGGCGTATTAACGATGGTCAAGTACAAAATATTCTACATTCAAACTCATTAGCCCAACTCCATACAGCTGGAAAAGCATAGCTTACCTTCCGAATATTTCTCTGCTTTCCTTGTGCCTCTCGTCTCCGCTCTCGGAACTCCTCGAACCGTGGAGCAAATTGTTCATCGCACTGCCGGATCTGCTTGCCGATCTCCCACTGGGACTGATTCTGGTTGCGAATGCTGTCTATCTGCTGATAATACTGGTCTAGAACCTGTCTCTCTTCTTCCTCCACCCGTCGCAGGGCCTTACGCCTCCGCGCCTCCGGATCAGGGCTCAGCACGCCACCGGAAAGCAGTCCGATTAGACCCCCGTTCGTGGCGGGGTGATTAGGGTCGAGATACCGGGTTTTAAAACCGCGGGTTAGAGGGACGTTCAGAATGTCGCCTGAATTCTCGGCTGTCTGAATTTAGGCTGTTAACAATTGTTTTCTTCAGCCACGAAAACGCTAACGAAAAGAACAAAGAAGACACCAAGACTCACGTATTGCGCACGGGCCCTCCGATCCAGGTAATCGTTGAACGTATCGAACGCTCTTTTGGCCCTCTTTGATTTCGTAACCTTTTCTGTGGATTCTAGCAACTTCCCATCGGAGAGAAGCTCTTTATGCTGCCGACGATCATCGATATACATCAAGGGCGCGATAGCGGCGGGTAGAGTATGAGCTCCTTGCGACTTTCCCGAGATTGGATCTCGTACCCAACTGCCCGAAGCCAGGGATCCGAGTCGATTGAGCGGGCTCGATAGTGATTGCGATGTTTGAGGCTTTATCTCATCGTATGTTTCCGGTTCGTAACTCATGATCATGCAGAAGAGGCCGCGAGGGCCGAATAGTTCTTGATTATATCTATCTAAAACAGCATTGGTTCTAGAAATTGCATTATTTAGCCGCCTGTCCGACAGATGGGATGTATTTCACTGACTTATGTCTGACATGGCCTTTATTTGCGATGTAGGCACCGGCCTGCACAGCGGTGGCAACTCCCATAACGATCATCTCTGGGGTGAATCCGACGCCGAACGAGACCACTTGTACACCAGCTAGGAACTTATTTCCTTGTACTGCTGTATTGCATTCATCTAAGAATCGTAGAAAGGTCATGCGGTCAATGCCGCATGCCTCCAGCGATGGGGCATAGGCGGCGATGAACCCCCGTTCCCTGGATCCCGGTCGTTGCTGTGGAATTACGATCGGGAGTGGCAGAGGACCGTAGTTTGTCAAGTGTTGAGAAGGATAATCTTTCTCCTGGTATGTGTAGTCTCTCTCAGGGTAGGTTTTATAGTATGAATTTCCGGGCATGATGGATAATTGCAACAGTAATTATGGATTAGGTGTAGATTGTTCACAAGTAGTATATGAAGAAGACTGGGGCTCGTCCTAGATATTTATAATTAACCTGCCCATCTGATTATAGACGTACTATTGACCATGTACGAAGAATAATAAGCCTTGTCCGCTACTACGTGGCTGAGCTTAGCATGTATTGACTTCAATGTCAGGCCCGTATAGGGCATCGTGTTGTCTCGAATTGGCCAGCATCATGCATACCTCTTTCAGGTACTACTTCGACGGCACTATTCCTGATATGGTCTAGTCCCCTTTCTCGGCATTCTATTCCACATTAGGCAACCAGCCCTATTCCCTCACTGATGGTGAAAAACATAGAATGATTCAGATATTTATAGTTTAGTCTAGGACAGACGCCATGAGAGCTCAGGTCAATACATGAGATAAGATCTCGGTCAAGCATTAGGCGTACGAGAATGATATAGGGAATCGCGTCCACGAGGACAAAAAGTACCGAAGGTTATTGACCAACGCCATAAGTCATAACCATGGAGGATTGGGTTTACTTGACCACTGGTTCCTGCTATCTGAATTTCGAAATCGATAAAATGCAAAAAGAGACATTGACTTGAGAGCCCCTTGCACCTAACCCAATTCTGTTTTGGAGCTATTTGACGCGGTGGACTCGCTTAGTCCTGGGAGCTGGTTAGAAGCACAATCTGTCCTCGAATTACCTACGGAGTACCTTAATATTCCCTCAGTTAGGTCATACTCGTGCATGGAGATTATCTAAATAATCAATAATAGGGGAAATATTAAGCACTTGTGTAGAAAGAAGAAAATGGAAATGATCGATCTTCCATCTACTAACATGCTTCGGGACGGGCTTACCCGACCGATCCCCTTGCTGATCTTAGCGGCTAAGCTCCAAGTGAGTCTTGGGCGAAAGGCTTGGTGGCAAGCAAGTGGCATAACAGGGTGAGAAAGGGCCCAAGAAACCCCCTTCAGCTTAACTAGGTGCTATTCATAGCTTGCTGGGACAACTTGCCGCGCGACTAACTGCTCTCCTCTTCTGTCTCCTTTCCCCGGGCCCATTTTTTACCCCGCGGTTTCAGGCAACCATGGTGTACTGTGGACGCCCTTCCACTAGCTGCAACAACTGTCGGGCCAAGAAGAGACGAGTAAGTCCATCCTCCTCGTTTCTGCCAATATTGACCCAAATTTTGGTTCCTTTTCCCTTCTCACTTAAACTGGTGACGTAAATGACACTAACAATGGGGCGGGTAATGGTAGTGCGATAAGGCTGTTCCCGGATGTGGACAATGTCGACGTATGGGACAGCAATGTCCGGGCTATCGAGACCCTGCAAGTCTTATCTTTCGAGATGAGAGCAGCCAGATCGGTGACAAAGTCCGGGCAAGAATTACGAAGCGTGACACTTCTCGTGGGCATACCCCGGGCTCGGTCGGTCCGTCGCAGAGTGCCGGATTACAAGTGCATCTAGAAGAGGGAATACTTAGTGAAGGCCCTGTATTCCCTGACCATGGTCAGAATACTCTGGGGGGCAATGCCCTGCGAGTGAATAACACTTCCACAGAGGCCAACAAGGCGAATGTGGACGCGCCAGAGCGCAATCCATCCTCGTCCTGGTCCGGATTGGGGAGCGAGGATGTAGGGAACGAGGAAAAAGACCAGGACGAAGACCCTCTCACTCAAAGGGCAATACCCCCACCGTTTGTCCTGCCACTTGATATGATCGGGTTAGACTACTTCCTAGCACACTATGTCGTGCGGCAGTCTCCACCCTCATCTGGGTTTCTCGACTACGTTCCCAGTATTCTCGCATTAGACGATGGCAATGAGATTATACAGGGAGCCATTCTAGCCGTGGGCTTCGCTGGTTTGGCCCATAGCACCCGTCAGGTCGATCTACGGTGCAGATCAAGGGCCATGTATACGAGAACCATCAAACGAATGAACTGGGCCCTGACGGATCCGCAGACGGCACGCCGGCATAGCACAATCGTCTCAGTTCTGATTTTATCCCTCTATGAATTCGGTGAGTCGTCACTTAATGGATGGGATCGACATATCCACGGTGCGACCTCACTGCTAGAGCTGCGAGGCAAGGCGCAATTTACCACTCCAATCGGTCTCCAGATATTCAAGGACATCTTTAGCCATCTTCTGATAAATTGCCTGCGCATGGGGAGTCCAATCCCTGCACCACTCCGTATGATCCGCGCCGAGGCTGCCAAAGCTATCAGTGCTTCCGACCCCTACTGGGTGGCCAGTAGTGGCCTCGTAGAAATCATGGATCTCTATTCCCAGATATCCCCTGGAGGCTATGACTTCATTCATAGTAGTGATGTCAACAACAGAGAAACTAGCGCCACAGAAAGACAGTTACCTATCGACGAGCTCGAGCGGTACCTATCCCAAGCTTTAGATATTGACCACCGACTTGAGAGCCGATTCTCGGAATGTTCACCACAGTGGCAGTTCACGGTCGTGCAACTCGCTAGTCCGGACCCTACCCGGGTCCATGGTGGTGTCTACCATAGCTATCACGACGCTGGGGTTGTCGGAGTTTGGAACGATATGCGTACCTGTCGCGTCTTGGCCAATCACGCCATCTGCCATCTTCTATTAAGGGGAGCCAAGTCGGACCCTAGTTGGTTCTTCTCCAGAAACTACGCCGATCAATTACAGGAGACTAGTCGAACGATGAGGCAGATTCGCGATGACATCCTGGCCTCCGTACCCCAGCAGATGAGCTACTTTCCTTTCCCCGCCCAGGAGCGATTGCAGCCAGTGGACCTGGGGCAGTATTTTAACCAAGCGACGACACTAGGCAGCAAATTGTCTGCTCTTTCGACGGCAACCATCAACAATTCACTCGACTTCCAGCAATCTACATACACAGGCGCAGGAGTGGGTGCGTATTTCGCCAGCTGGATGCTCTTGCTTGCCGGCTGTATGCACACCAACTCAGAGGACACGCGACAATGGATAGTAGCCCAGCTACGACACATCAGCTTGCAATCAGGTCTGGCGCAAGCAGGCTTCTTTGCCGGTTACGTTGAGTCAAGTAAAGTCCGGCCACCGCTAAGTACCTAGAATGGATGAAATCTACGGTGATGAGTGGTCGACAAAACATCAAACTTAGCATAGTTATCTTCATCATCATAGATAAGCCTTTAGTTTATCTGCTTCTGATGGCACGATGCATGCTAAGATATGTTAATAAACGTAATGCATCTTAATGAGATACAAATTGACAATGTGGGCATTATTGTCGCGACTATAGATCGTCCTCTTCCTGGGGTTCTAACGGCGCTGAGAGAAAGACAATCCACTAATCCACTCGTTAGTTTGTCAGTAGGTCTGCCTAACGAATGGCAGAGTGAAATAAGACTAGTTGTATAACATTTGGTCACCAAGTTACCAAGAAAGAAAAACTAAGCAACATCGTGCTGACCTCATTAGGGTAAAGACATTCGACCGGCGACACTAGTCCTATTCGGGTATACACAACGCAGCCGGGGCGCTCGCAGCCCTAGTCAAACTCAGCACCGTCGCTATGATCTACATATAGACGATTGCACTCGGCTGTGCTCTATATTCGGTTGACCAAAGCCTGGAATACTATTTATAGATAAGAACAGCACAGGTCTTTGAAAGGAAGTCTTGTCAGACACACGATGCTAGCGAACAGGTTTCCTGCAGAAACTAGACCAAAGACGAGCTACAGGCAGCTGAGACCTTTGTTCACGAAAGCATCATTGAGTCGATTTTCCTTTGTCATATTTGTAGAACAACAACAGTGGGCCGTTCCAACGCCGTCATGCCCACTCACAAGGGCAGTGGCTGGGTTGCTGGCTTCAAGCAGATAGTATTGCATTCATCGGACCATTCCCCGACAGGATTCCGGGGGCAATGATTAATGGAGGTTTTCATAGCAAAAGAGAATAAGGATGAATTGCCTAAGATGGATCTAGATGGTAAAGGGGCCGAAAGCAGCTATCATTTCGAAATTACAAAGGGAGGGGAAGACAAAGACATCCTTTCTCAGGCTGAAGACCTCTTAACAGAGAAGGTAAGACAAATATAGGGGCTTTTGTTCGGTAACAAGCATATCTCCACATACACTCAGTCATCACACTTGACCATCTTCTGCAGATACCCGTGGCGATTGTTTTCTTTTTACTTGCATCTGTGTACAGACCTTTACAAACCCATGAACTTGTGAATAGTAGGCCACAAGCTTGAGCGCATATGGTCAACTTGCTCTTGCCTCCGATATTTTAAATAATTCGTTCCAGCAATAGATACTGTTTGGGAAAGGTGCACCGCGGTGCCGTCGCAAATAAGCTGACAGTAGGAACCGCAACATGTCATGTCTTGAGCTAGCAACGAGCAACCGATTCAAAATACAGAGTTTTGCGATTCAATTATTATTTATCCTTTGGTTGGTAGTGATTTATTATCCTAGCTAGTACGTCAGCACTACTCCTATTTGGTCAGGTCGTCAGCACTACCTCAGATCCGGCGAACTCATCATCATGATGATCAACTATAAGAAACGACCCCTTCCCTTGGAGGAAGTCGCACCCCCCAACGTATTCACGCATGAGCGAGTAATTCACCGACAGAAAATGCAGCACTCTGCCCCCGCAACAGACATGTCCAGCGACGTCGACAATAATCCAGAGGCCGAGGAGAAGCCTGAAGAACAAAAGCTGGAGACAGAGGAGGAAACGGATGACGATGACGAGCGAGAGCCGATGTACGACAACACCGATTATGACCACGTACGCTTTGACCCAATATGGTATGGGGACTATCCGGAGGACGAGATGCCCCCCGAGATAGCGGAGGAGCTTGGGGAGAACCTAGAATATGGTATGTAAGCGGAAAGGCCCCCTTGCCAGAGATTATTCCTAACGTCTGATTAGCACACATGCTCCAGATGGTTGGATCATCCCGAACGATCTTCCACATGTGCGGTCGGCCTGATGTGGTGCGGATGATCGACGATCCAGCCTATGTCATTGACGATGAGTTTGTGGCTATCCCAATCGGGTGTTTTCCTGTCTCTTTTCTTCTATCCCGCTACCAGGAAGAAGGCATCTTTCCCTGGGATCATGTGCCCAGGCTACAGAGTGGTGCAGTGAGAAAATGCTCGATCCCTGCCTCGGTTACAGGGACGGTGACCACGCAGGAGCTTAAGACACTTTATCCCTTCTCGCGACAAATGACTAGTGGTGAAACAGTCAAGGTAGCACGAGTTCAGGATCATCGAAACTTTTTCAAATTTGAGAAGAATGTGATTGCTCATTTCACGGATGGCCTTCTGCAGCGGAAGGATACGTTATTCCGAGGACTGAGCCTGTTTGCTCTCGAACAATCCCTGGCCTTCTTCCTCCCCGTTATAAGCTCAACCAACGCTGACAACGAATTTGGGCCGGGGATCTACACCACAGAAAGTCTATTCACGGCCAAGAAATATGCCGGCAGGACCGGTGCCATCATGGTCTTTAGTGCACCGGAGGAGCGACGCCTAAAATGTTGGGAACCCACGGGTGATTAGTTGAGACGATTGACCGCGAAGTGGATCGGCCTGTCATTGTCCGATATAGACCTTCCTCCGGTCTATCAGACCGCAGATGTCATCAAGGGAGTCATGTCGGCGGATCAATCCAAGGCACAGAGGCAGAACCGATTTCTAAACCCAGACAACACCAAGCAGACAGCCTTTGTCTCGTACCATGGGTGTGAGAGCTTGAGACGCGAACTCAAAGCCATCATCTTCATCGAGTGGTCGAAATGAGGAAGTGGACTTGCTATCATTAGAGGCTCATTAGTGTATTGTTGGTAGAATAGGAAACCATTGCTCTGTATCCATATGTTCGTAGCTGTCTACAGAAGCAATACACTTCATTATGAAAAGGTATGATGCACGACAACTTCCGCACGAATCTTCGTCATAGGTTTATTCCATAATAGGTCTCAACAACCCAGCCCATGATCTCCATAACAATCTCCAATCCTACCAATGAATACATTAAACTTCACCATCTCACCTATAACGAAATCTCACCCAAACCCCTCAAACCGGACTCGTCCCAGCCTCCTTAGCACCCTCAGGATCAAACGCCGAAACCTCAATCTCAACTCTCATAGCATCATGGCCAAGACGACCAATCTGCACACAAGTCCACACGGGATGGTTATCAGGCATCCACTTCTTGAAGTTCCGAACCATGGCGTCCTGCGTCTCCTGGTCCAGTTGGATGTGGTAAGAATTGACTCTGTACACCTGGGACCAACCCTTGGCACCTGTGTCCTTGAGACATGTATCCACGTTCACGAAGGCTTGATCGATTTGCTCAGGCACAAGCTTGGATATGTTGAAGTCTGCATCGTAGAAGCCTCCTATATTGCTGTCAGTAACCTCACACAAATAGATGAACATGCGGATGTAATAAGTATTTACCTTGACCGGCGCAGTGGATCTGGTCCCCGACTCTGACGGCGGATGAATACCAGTGGCTTTTTTTGTTGGCTTCGCCGAAGCCTTTGTAGGCGTATTGTCTCATGGAAGCCATTGTGATTTTTTTGTTTTAGAGATGGAGGAGAACTAAATTGGACAAGTAAGTGCCAGGTGTAAGAGAGTAAGGTTGGTATGATAGACTACAGTTTTTGTAGAAGATGTTACATTTGGACAAATAGAAGATATATATAAGTTTGGCTTCTTCCCATGAACTATATAACCCTCCACCAGATAAACTCCCCATAGATCTGGATGCGGAATATAAATTCAGTCTTGGCAATGTTCCATGGTAAAGACCACCACTTCCCCACTTTTCTCATGGCCCACGTTGTTACTCTCATCATTACGTGAAGAGGTTGACTAGGAATTCAGAAGTGAGTAGCAACAATTGGAATTGTTTCTAGTAGCGGTGAAATCAGCTTCAGGACTTCTGTCTTGCATCTAGAATCCATGACTCTACGACATTGCTTCTAGGTTTATCTGATAGCCAGAATCACGAAGCTGAGCGGCATTTGTCACCGTTAATTCTTTGTATAGAAGGTGCTTTGTTCCTAGAGAATCTACAAGAGCACGAGAGAGTGAAGGGCTAGTCAGTGGTTGAAGGGGGACACTACTAACACTACTAACAAGTTGTTATATAGTGTACACAGCATGAAGAAAAACCAAAAAGAGCACAACCATAAATAGACTAATACTTGAGGTTATATAATAGCCACATAACATAATAATAACCTTAGGACTACCTAACCAGTCTTTTACATATACAGGGGGGGAAAAAGGAAAAAGAATAAGATATTTGACAAAGTAGGAGTCAATGGGATACAGGGTACTAGACGACTTTTTCCCGCCATCTGAGCGGCGCACAGCAACTTATCGTAGAGTGCGCGCATACACTACCTGAACTATAATCCAAGATTACCACTCTCAAGCGTGGAGGAGAGAAATCTAAGAAAGAAACTTCATTCAGTAAGGCAACTAAAACTGGCGTGAAGGAGTGCGCGACCACTAAGTCCGCCAAGGGAGTGATTAAACCAAGGATAAGTCACATAAATAGTCACTGGATCTCCTCATTCCACGTCCCCAAAATGTAAAACGTCTCTCCCGCATGCTGTAAACTCAAGGGATGAGTATAGCTAGAACGATCAAGGCCAGGCGATCTACCTGAAGTTTATCATGTCATGCCACTAGTGGGAAGGAGTTAGACTTAGAAAGCCAAAGAAGGTACCTAGCCTCTCGCACTAGCACAATTCTGGTATGGTGCATAAAAAAAACCATAAATTATTTCCAGCCAGTTTGCTGTAGCCACTGGTCAGTTCGTTTGCCATCCTGGGTACCTAGATTACCTCTCGAACTTAATACATGTCAAGTTGTCAACCAAAATGACCGCTTTCTTTGGCTCAGAAGCAGAAGCCAGTTCGTCATTGTTATCGAATGTCAAAATTGAACTTCCCACATAGGGGAGGAAGGGAATTCTCAACGATATATTCGGCAAACTCTTCGATGGCGTCCTTAGCCTTGCCCATTTAGATGAGAACTCGAACAAGAAAAGTTGTCCAAGTACATATAATACAGTGAGGGGTCGAAACTCCATACTACTTTCGGAAGCTAATATATAGATTAGGTTATATTAGGCTAGACTATAATCTATTTAAATATTCTTTGAACTTGAACCGAACTTGCCCAAACTGTCCCTATTCGGCAATGTCCCACAGATACACCGCCACGCCAATATCTCCCTCCCTTCCCAACTTCCCCAGTCGTCCAGTACCAGCCACCACTCCTCCACTAATCACCTCGCACGTCATGGCACGGGGTGTTAGATGATGGGGGGCCAAGAACTTAGTGCGAGGGGTCCAGGGTGGGGCGGGCGTTACCTGGGACCCTGTGGTTGGATAGTGAGGCTGCTGCCTGTTAGCTGTCTTTATATTATCAGATAGCAATATAGAGCTGAATAGTGGGGTCCTGAGGAAGTGTTGTATTACCCCTCCATCCTTTCTCAATTCTACAGTTAGGCTGACATGTGCAGCCAGGGTATTTAAATCTCGTTGCCCTCTTGCAATTGCTTTCCTTCAGATCAGCCCTTCTTACATTTTATCTTTCTCTCCCAGTCTAAATCATTCAAAATCAGTACCACCATGTCTTTCCACGAATCTTGCGACCTCATTCGTATCGAAGTCCGTGGCGATCATACTGTCCTCCTTGCCGCAGCTAAAAATGGTGATGGTGATGAAACGGTACCCGCGGAGATAGTACTTGACGAACAGATTGGTAATGGTGATGGTATGTATTATATGTCTCGAGCACCTATAGCAATTATTTTTAACCTAGAGTTGTTTTTATTTAGGTTGGTTCGTTCGTGGGGGCAACAATTTCACAGAGACCGCTCACGATATCGAGTTGGAGTTCCGCGAGGATGGTCCTTGGTTGACTGCATTCCTCACCGAAGTCGATGGAGAGGATAGAGAGCGCCAGGGCATTAACTTGGGTGAACACATTGGGAACAACGGTGGCGAGCTTGTATGGGCTGTAAGTTAGCGATGAAGTCTTTCCTGATTTTGATATTGTTGTACTAATCTGTAATGCAGTAACTGGAGGAATAATCTTACAAGGACACGGTTGCAACACTGGTGCCCGGATTCTCTGTAACTAACTCTTTTGACTATGATTCTCCAAGCCTGAATGCCAAGAGACTTTAAACTAGTTTAGGGATTCCTCGAGAAGAATATCTTCCAGCAATAAGTACTGTATTATAACTCTTCCGTAGACTGGGCAATGGTTCAATAGGTTACCACGCCCCAAGAGTTCGCTAGACTAGTATTAAAAGTATGCTGCTAGACATAGCGTTCGTTAAGGGAACAGGAAGACTGTAAGACAGTATGTAAACCTTTGCAGGACAGATGCAATATAGTGATCATGGAGCCTACTCAGTGAATTTGCTCCTTGCCCTCAACTTATGTCCAAAGAAATACAGCACATAAATGCCAATAATACATATCGCACAGCAACCGCTCATCAAAGTCATTCCCCAGTTCACGCCAAGCGCATCATACAACGGATGAGACCAAAGAACACCCGCAAATGCGACTGAAGATCTGATCAGTCCGTTCCCACTGAACAAGGAAGCAGTGTACCTGGGATAGGCCAGAGTTATATAGACAAACACTGACTGAATAATCATAACAACACTGCCTGAAACGAGCATCGTGCCTATAGTTGGTACGATCCAATGGATGTCGGGTCTTGATGTCCACGCAAATATTAGGGTTCCGGCAGGGATTAGCACCGACGCAAATAGCGATGGAAGTAGCCGTCCTTCAGGTGTCATCGGATTGTCGTTTTTGATTGATTTATTGACGATGAAATGGACAAAGGCGCAGTATGGCATACCGGCCAATCCGACTGCGATGATGACGGATAGAAAAATCAATCCCACCTCCCCTAATGTCATATTGTATATGTTACCGTACACTAGAGGGAAGAACTCAAAGAAAGAGTAGAAAATAGCATATACGAGACCACAGTATATACTTGTAAATGCAATGGATGGATCGAGTATGTTCAGCTTCCAGGGGACGATCAGGGCGTGGTGCAGTCTATTCAGCACAGTGGTGTTATTCGCTTCCATTTCGGGCTCGAATTTATAGATCTCCTTCTGTGACAATGTTCGGATTCTTAGGGTGCGACGATACAGAATATTGGTTGCGGACGTCTCCGGTAAAAAAACCTAAGATATGTCAGCTCCGTCAACTACACCATTTCCCTACTCATTGAACTTACGAGCAGGACCAGTCCGGGGCCATTGGCTAGAAGGACCTCCCACAAGCTCCATCTCCATCCCAAAACAGGAATGCTGTAACCAGCTATGGTGTTCCCCAAGGCAGGCCCCCCTAAAGAAAACAATGCCAAGCTGTAGAAGGCATAAGGCTTGCCATACGCGCTGCTAACATCACCCAGCGACGCGCCGCCTGTGGTAAGGACTGGTGATCCAAAGAATCCCTGAAGAAACCGAAGCACTAATAAGGATGCAATATTGGCTGCCAGTGCTGTTGGAATTGAAACCAGGACAAAGAGGGTCAACGATGCAAGATAAGGAATATTACGTCCAACAGCTGGGATCTCAGACAGAGGTGACCAGAACATCGGCCCAACACCGTAACCCAACACGTAAAGCCCGAGTCCAAGACTTGAGACCGTCGCAGATACGCCAAAGACCTCTTCAACCTCACTTTGTGCCGCTGAATAGATCGAGCCGGACATATAAACAGCAACCGAGATATAGAGGATAATAAAATAAACAACAAACTTTTTGCGCTTGGGCCAATTCAGAGGGTTTGCCGGATCAGTGGCACCGTACCAATCAACCATGACATATTTGCCTTCTGGCTCGTTCATACATAGATGAGCTCTCGCGCTCTCCAGGTCCGGTTGGCCTGATAGGCCGTGCTGCGTAGATTGTGTCTCTATGGGTAATTGGGGAAGCTCATCTTGTTCCGTGGGTTTGACTGAGCCTTCGAGGCCGGGGGTTTCTGGGCTTACGACTGGGGGCGAATCATGTATTTCGTCGAATCCATTGAGCACTTTCTGGACTTGCACAATAGACACTCTCTTCCATCCTTCACCAGCGGTTGCCAAATCAAAGTTATCGCGCTCCTCGGGAAAGCTAAACAGCGTTCTTGCTCCAAGCCACCGAAGGGCGTAAGCAAGGGGTGTATCTGATAAAAAGGACGACATAATTTTCTTCTAACCGGAGTCAGACACCGTCAATATTCAAGTACAAGAGAAGCTCAATCAAGGCGGGTACCGCCTGGCTGATCAAGAAAGGGTACACGCCGGAAAGCCTTTCGACCTATTATCGTTAGGGGGTTATGTTGACCTTGAACGGGCCCTGAGGTGTTGATCGTTGATATTGTGACAGCTGCGTAATAATCGACGCACTAGTGAGTCGGCCAATTAAGAAAGAAATCGGGGCTAACGGTGATGGGCTATCAGCAAGACATAATGAAAAGAAATCGAACGGCATGTTTTGGGGAACGAAAGTGCCGGTAAAGTAGTTGCATCGATCTGACTGGCTCCTAGATACCACCGCCGGAATGTATATTCCTTAAATATGATGCTGCAGGCCTGCTGCGACCAGCACTCGGCGCAAGCATTATGTTGAGTTCCCACGTATGAGCTACTGTTAGCAACATATTCAATACTATAATAGATTTAGCTATTTATGAAGTAATCATGCACATGCCTCCGTTGAGCCTAGATGCGGATCCCAAATCTTCGGTATCCACATAACATCGGCCGTTTCCACGGTTGCGGAGTATGAATTCCAGGATAAAGTGGAGCCAGTACATTCACGCATGATACGTACTGCGATATCGAGATAATTGCATATGCCAAAATAGACTACCTCTGGTATCCGTGATAGGCGGACAGCTACTCGAATACGACCGACAATTAAGGCTACCGTACGCAGAAGTTGATCACATCAAACTATCGGAAGGGAGCTGCGGAAAAGTAGTAGCTCCGCCCAATAGACCAATACAACGAGGATGAGCGCCTATTAGAACAGCAAGACGCCAGCCTATAATGGCTTGCCGTATCTGACAAAGTTCGTAGGAATGCTTATCCCGCCTATATGATGCCAAGATTAAATGTGTTCAAGATATCGGTTTCTTCGGCACTTTCCCGCCAAGAAAAGTTAAGGGAAGTATTAGATATGTGCACAACAAGAGTAAGGGCAACGAATACTTGGATATATGTCATAGGTCCACTGTCATTTATCTGCTTTTCTGTCCTCTCTTTATGAAAAATGGGTACCATGGCCAGCAGGCTGCCCAGTGATATGCACGGAAAATGGACTCCGCTGACCAATGACGAAGAAGCAGTCGGACAACACAAAGGTCTCACAGCCTCATATACCGTACAGTCATCATAAACAAATGGTTCCTCACCTCTCTCCATTCGCCACCGATTTGTCGCCTCTAACGTCCACGGCAACCCTTAGAACAACCACCCCCCTTTTCCTCAGAAACCCTTCCGACATCTCCCACCCCCGTGATGTCCCAGGGCGGCGACCACGCAATGATGCCGCGTCGCTCGATCTCGTCATCTGGAAAGCCATCGTATAGCCCGCCGATGCAGTCGGCCCACAGCTCATCCTCGTCGAAGGAACCAGCGGTCCGGATCAGATGGTCTCGTCCCTCAGGACACGGGAACAGATCGATCCAGTCACCGTGCGGCACTTTTTGTTGAAGGGTGGTGGGTAGGAGTGTCGAAGGGAGTAGTTCGGGCTTCGTAGGGTAGGGGACGACATGGATAACTTCCTCATTACAGTCAAGCGGCGTGACGAGGATGCCCTTGTGTTGAGTCTAGTCTGTGCCCGTCTGCGGGTTGTGGCATCCTTTGTCCCAGTCCAGTCATCATTTCTGCTTATGGCATGTACGCAGTGAGCAAGTCATGCCGTCTTGGTGATTGAAGGCGCCCTGGTACATACCTCGGCCAACTATGCCATCGACGCGAGTTGGATGTGTGGTGTTGAACTTGCAGGCGGAAACGTACTAATCATGATGCTAGCGGACGTTTGAATTGATTAACGACGCAAGTTGCTTGGTGTCGGCCAAGGCGGTTTATGTAGCTTGCTCACAACGACAAATATGACACTCAGGTACTGCATTGACTACGATAGATCATATGCGTACTATAAGGTTCCGGAGCTGAGAGAGCGTACTGAAATTGCACGATATCATTGGTCACTGTTACAGTATCTAACCTGAGGAGGTCTAGCGTCATGCAACTTGCTCACATTGACAACAGCAGTACAACTTTAGGATTGACAGTAGCTAGAGATTAGACTCGGCAGTGGGCTTCATGCAGCTGGCTCACTTGCTCACCCGGAATTCCGCTATTGGTCTATCTCTTCAAGATGTCCAAGTTTAATGTGATGTGATTGGTCCAGGGGTTATCCAGGTTGCTCACGATATCTGATGCTCGCAATAGCATCCAAGATGCGAGTAGCTCTGACATGGATCAATAAGAGCAATAAAGATCGTAACAGCACCTTGATTTCGACGCATGTTTTCGTATGATCAAAAGCGTAGAACTCGATCCAAGACATATCAGTACACCATCACACATTGACTCTAGGTCTCGTTTTGAGCATGGCTTTCCATCCTGGCACGCTCCCCGATCTCAAGGGCAACGTATTCATAGTCACTGGTGGGAATTCCGGCATGTAAAATCTCCTCTCTCTCTCACCACGAAGCCCCAATCGCTGATTTCACCAAACCACAGAGGCTATGACACCGTAGCCCACCTAGCAGAACACGGCGCCCACGTTTACATGTGCGCCCGATCCCCAGAAAAAGGGCACAGCAGCCACCGCCAACATCAAGAAAATACACCCGTCAGCCAATATTGACCTCCTGAAATAGACCTTATGGACCTCACCAGCGTCGTCGCAGCCGCCAAGCACTTCCTCGCCCTCGAAACAGCCCTGCACGGCCTGGTCAACAATGCCGGCATCATGGCGATGCCCTTCGAAATGGCCAAAGATGGCCGCGAGGCCCAGTGGCAGACCAACTACCTGGCGCACTGGGTGTTGACGAAGCACTTGCTCCCTCTGATGCTGCAGATCGCCAAGACGCTTCATCCCGGCAGTGTGCGCATCGTCAACCTCACTTCATCGGGCCACTTGGGCGCACCCAAGGGTGGCATCAGTTTCAAGGACCTCTCGCCCAAGGATAGCGGCCCGTGGGCGCGGTACGAACAGAACAAGCTCGCCAATATTCTGCACGGCAAAATCCTGCACAAGGCGTACGGCCCCGGCTCTCCCAGTGCGCGGAACGTGGAGAGCGAGATCTGGGTTTCGCCCGTGCATCCAGGTCTGGTTGAGACGAACCTCGCGACATCGGTGGGGGACTCGAGCTCGGGCATGATTTGTGCTTTCTCGGTCTTGCACATGTTTAGATTGATGTGGCTGGCGGATAAGGGGTCGTGGACTAGTTTCTTCTGTACGGCGAGTCGGGATATAAAGGCACAGCAGAGCGGCACGTATCTCAAGGTTTTTCGGCGGTTTGGGGAGCTGCGGTGGCAGAGCAGTATGGCGAATGATGGGAAGCTTGTAGAGATGTTGGAGGGGTAGACTGGAGGGGTGATGAGGAAGGAAGGGTGGGTTTAATACATTTATTGTGTTATATTATTACGGATTGTTATTCTTCCTATTCACGTATACTTTTTCACCCTAACCTCAAAGAATATGGAAATGATCCCAACTGCTACTGTCTTAACCTGATGAAAAGATTCAATGTGGTTCTTTGCTACCGGCCTTCCACACGATGATCACGGCATGAATTCGACCTCTAATGTTGCTTCTCATCTGATCAAAATTCCCCCGCGAGTGAAGTTCTGTTCGGGCACGCAGCCGGAGTTCCCCCTTAGGTTTGGGTTATCGTACGACACCTCTAAAGTGTCTGCGGGAGCTATAAATTGCACTAGAACCATTGAAGAGCTCTGTCGTGGCCCTGTCAGTACATGTCAAGATTACCGGAGGCAGCGATGTTCCTGGCCGTGAGACTGTCATTATCGGGTGCTCTCAGCGGCCTCCGATAGGGTTAAAGAGGCCAAAGAAACAGGTATATGCATTTAGCAAGTCATCATTGCTATCGCCAGGTGAGGGCAGAGCCGTGAAGCTCCAGATAGACGCGTACAGCTTGGGGATGTTTGATGCAGACAGGATTGCCTGGGTTATCGATGCCAATACTCAATTCGACCTTTTACTACGTAATATGGCAGCGAATGCACTCCCTCCCTGGACTATCAACGTGCCCGAAGAGTTCATACGGTTGCTGTGACCTGAGCGAATCACTGTGTTGGTTCTATACGCAGCTGAATAAAATTGAAAATTGAGAAGCATTCTACCATCTTCCATGGCTAGTGGATCCGCGGTTTCCCAATACACACAAGTATTATAGCTATCAGTATCAACTTGTAGTTCCAAGTCGAATTAATACCTATCTCTTGCAATATAAGAACCTTTTTCATCAAGTACAGGAGACAATACTCATATATTTATATAGGATTCTCCCATACCAGATCATTAAGACTGTTATCCATCTCCTCGTGCAGCCACGAAGGTAAATCCAACAGGCCATGTATTTGCCCACCAGCGGCCAAAGAGCCATCTTCCGCTAAGCCCGAATTCGTCCACATCGACCAGTCGAGTCCAGCACCACTCTGGCCCCATCCTCCATCAGATAAACCAATCGGGTTCCGATTGTAATCTTGACTCCAGGACGGCACGTATACCTCGTCGGAAGCAGCACTAGCCTTCCCAGGAGATGCTTGTTGCCCAGTGGCATCAGGGCCGTGTATCATTCGCACGAGACTACAGTGGTACTTGCCAGCAGGTACCCACGATTCAGACAGCTCCTGGAGGGTTTTGAGACATGAATCCACTTTTTCCATATCAACATCGCTGCGGCCTGCATCCTGTGTGCCTTGTGGGTGAGGATTAAGAAGTGCCAGAGCAGCGGAAAGACTGCAGTAGGTCGCCGTTATGGGGCTCCTCCGGAAACTACCAAAAACCTCCCTATATTGTTCGCCCAGGGAGCCTATCCGCTTCGCGGCCTCAAGTTGAATAGTGGAGGCCTTTTGGGTAAGGCCATCAAGTGGTTGCTGTACCGGCTGTTGTGGGCTGGGCGAGCGTCGTGATCCTGGGTCTGCGAGATATGGCTTTGTAAGAAGAATAATGGCTGTATTGTATATCATGCATAGCGTGTAGGCCTGGGGGAACTTATTCGGTGTCCCTGATCTTACGGGTTTGAGTTCAGGTGGTAAGCCGTAACACCAGGTCTTGAGGGCAAGAAGACATGAGTCGAAGAAGCTTCGCTTTTGACCTCCGTGAGCGAATCTTTTAGGGGCGTACCTTGCATATAGGTGTCAGCGAACTAGTTGAGATATTAACCCAGAAGTTTGGTTGCATATTTACAGGTTAAGATGAATCTTTTCTAATATCTGGCTGAGAGCTGTGAGAGATCTTTGGAAGTGGACTAGCAGAGTTCGGCTGACCGAAGTCGAAGTAGAGCGTTGATCAGGCTGATCGATTGGACTAGGCAGGGATGGCAAGCCTACTACTCCTTGGAAATCCTAGGGAAACTCAGTAATACAGCGAGGATATCGGGGCTGTAGTTCCCTAGCCGGAATTGGTTAAAAGGATATCTTACAAGCATAGTACAGACCCGGCCCGTATAACTAGCAGCCAACTTGTCGTCACAATATAGAGACCAGTATATCTGCCTCCGAAGTTCAGCTTCGGTCTCAGTTATATGATTGGGGCTGGTCAATATGTTTGAATCCAAATGAAGCCCCATGTCCAGTACTAGTCGATTAGCCATACCCTGGCATAACCAGCCAGCCGCATCATGGCCGAAAGCCTTCTTTGTCAGATTGAGCCAAACAGGAGATCTCTGCATACAGAGTCAACTTACCACATATACTGTTCCCAACACGGCGAGAGATTGAAGTGTGGTAATATTGGGGCGCTTAAGGTCACAATACAGAAGTGCCTCCGCAATTTCGAGAAAGATACGGCCGGCTGTATTGGAATCTTCTGGGTCCGACCGTACTTCGACTCGATCGGAATAGCGGGATGCACAAGCGAGTATACAGTTAAGCAACAATGGGCTAAAGTACCTCCCGTTATTTGCCTTGCTCTCACGGAAAAGAGCTTCGTCTACAACTTGGCAGAATGGACTTTGCCAAGTAAAAAATAGTTCAAGCAGATGGGACTCGAGCTCTTCCGAGACCTGGGGCTCGTTGGAAAGTGCCTGAGTGTACATATTTGGCGCTTCAAGAATGTTTTCAGGACTGGGATGCTCCAGAGATGCTGCACTCTAGCTATTAGCCATAGGGTTCAGTCACCCACTGTGTTTATGTGTAGGTAATCGGTGATTTGGGACTCTAACAGACCATTACACCCCTGAAACGCGGTTCGCCCACTTGTCGAACCGAAGTAACGAGCCTCACCATCACTATCGAAATTAAGGCAGTCATCTAGATAAAGTGTGCCCTCAAAGGCAGAACAGAGCTGGTCAAAAGCAGAGGAAGAGCTGCCAGCAGTCAGGGACGTGGTATTCGGGAAGATGTTCTCTTCCAGTAACTGGGCCGCGGAAGCATCAACATCGATAGAGTGGAGCCAGAGTATCCGCTCCAGAATGTTGATACGTGCCTGCAACTGTCGGACATATGCCTTCGGGGCCGTTCCCCGGCCATCATCATCCGTAGTATAAATACAGGGTAACTGGCGGTCAAGACATCGAGAGCACGATGGCTTATTGCCGTCACACTGCTGATTGTCAGCCGGCGAGAAGCAAGGGCCGTGAAACTATCTGACTGGATAGAGAGATTGACCCACCTTTGCACGTCGACGACGACACTCCTGGCAAGCTCGTGAGGCATATCTGCTCCGCCCTCCCGTCCTCCCCGGGGCGGAGGATAAATTCCGCCTTGGGCCTGATTTAGGGCTCAGACCACTCGCACCCTTTGGTGGGGGATTTCTATCGGCCATAGTTATACCAGGCTCCAGATGAATCTCTGTGGACGTGACTAGAAATCAAATAATGCACGTGGTGTGAAAAGCGGGCCTCCAGATTTTCCGCCGTTTCATTAATATTCCAGCGGAATCTATATTCCGCTCCAGCTCCCCTGACGTCATACATCCTAGAGCCCTAACAACTTTATCAAAGTTGAGTAACAAAGATCACTATTTCGGTATGTGCTCTGTAGATGAGGAAATGACCGGATACGAGTATTCAAGAAGATGTTGGATTTAATATCACATAAGAAGCAGGCAGTTCCAAAACGAACAATGGTAGATAGTATATATATGTATATGTCAATGCCCGCGGGTACTGGGAGAGAGTGAGATCATGTCGATTAGCTGATTCGTAACAATTTTGTAAATATAGTGCCATCAACTATGAGCAGCTATCAGATAATGTATTTTTCACCATCATTGTATTGAGAGGGGACATCTAGGAATAAAGGTGTATACAGGCCAGGATTCCGGGTAGTCGTGTGTTGAATGTTCAAACCGCATTTACGGCATGTGAAGACCTGGGGTGTGTACTTCTGAGTATCCATGATGAATAGTATAGGGAAGCTGAGTTATTAGAATAAGATTTGATCTAAGAGAAGGAAAAAGTGGAAGATCAAGAGGAAACAAATAGGAGTTGTATATACATTGTTTGACCGGAAAAACAATATTCCAGCCCAGTCCGCGGAGTAAACGGAGCCACTAGCCTCATTCAGTAGCAACAACCCGCGGACTTTTACGCCTCTTCTGGCACCCGTCTCATGTCTTTCAATCACCAACGATCATCTAGTGAGAAGCCGAATCATGAAACGAAATCACAGTGGAACTCCTGTAATGATGATTCATCGGTGGAACCGGCCAGCTCTGTCATGCAAGCCTTGCCGGGAGAAAAAGCGTCGGTGCGATCGCAACCAGCCCTGCTCCAGTTGCACGCAGAGACATATCCGGTGCGAATATGCCTCGCAAAGTGATCATAACCAGCTATCTGGGGGTCAGGGATCCGTAATAGCAACTGAAACCAATCGATGTCAGAGAGACCCAAGTCCGCCGGCCGCTCCAGGGAACTCACGGGCAGTGCCTGCTTCTCTGTGAGTTTATCGTATCCCTCTGGTTAGATTTCTTGCTCACAAGGGCATGGAAGAAACCCAGAAGAGGTGCTGTATCGCCTCCAAAAGCTAGAGGAAGCGGTCTTCCATAATCCTAGTGGGGCAACCCATCAACCGAGGGCATCCCCAGCAAACAATGTATGTGATTTACCATGTATTGTTTGGGAATCAAACCGTAACATTTGTGACTCCATAGGAGGAACATATCTCCCCTACTGGCTTTACTTCAGTTAATTCTCACGTTCGAAACTCTCACAATGAAATTTACCATACAAGAAGTATAGCCAGGCATCTCCCGGAGATAGACGAAGCTAGAGAGTTGTTCAAACATTTCGTAGTCACTATTGGGCCTACGTTTGGGGTCCTCCATTTACCTTCTACGAAAGAGCTAATGGAACAGGCTTATAAGACCATGCTTGAGGGTCAGGGGCTAGACGCTGCTAGGTTGCTGTTGCTTCTCAGTGTATTTGCTGGCTCAATGCTTGCCTGGACACCTCAGCTTTTGAATAAGCTGAACGCCACGCCAACAGAAGCACAGGCAGCTTTCAAGGTATACACACGCCTCGCAATATCAATCTTAGATTATTCTCAGCCCGTGGAGCCCTCCACTACTGCACTCGCCGCTATGGCTACTTTGTCACATATGGTTGGCAATTCTGATGGCTATCCTTACAAACTTCCGTTAATTCGCTTCCGTTGCTTCGCCATGGCTCGCGCAATGCACATCCATCGTTTAGATACCCCGAAAAGTTGCGAACAAAGAAAGCTAAAAGGATATGACCCAATTGAGCTCGAAGTCCAAAGACGGATCTGGTGGAACATGGTGGCGAGCGACTGGTGAGTCCAGTATACATTGAGTTTTAACCTATCACTAACGAGCAAAGGCTAAACTCATTTTCTGGTGGTCCCCAGGAAGGAGCATACTTGATCCAGCCAAAGCACATGATGGTCAATTATCCCACCGATGTTGACGATGAGTTTATTACACCAACGGGGATACTGCAGGACCGCCCCTTATCTCAACCCTCCGCGTTGTCCGCCTTTATCTACCGTGTGAAGCTAGCTACTCTTTGCCGCGAAGTCGTCGATACGATGCCGTCAATTTGGCTGGAGGCACAAGAGCCGGATTACGAAACAATCTTAGAGTTAGACAGGAGGTTTCAGAACTTCCTAAGTGAACTTCCAACCTTCTTTCAACTAGACCCCGACAGCATTGAACAAAGCCAAAAAATATGTGAAGAGCGTCCCCATATCCCTGTTCAGCGAATCAGTCTGCATTTTAGTCTCCATACGCGCCTCTGTCGGCTTCACCGACCTTACCACCTCGAAGGTGTGGCAAACCCAAGATACGCCTATTCCCATCGCGCATGTATACAGTCTGCGCAGAAAGTGCTAGAGCTGCGACGCTTGATGGACGATGCGGGTGCACGGATTGGATTGAAACCAGGACGCTTCTGGACGGCAAACCAGCATTGTTTCCTCGCTGCCCTTATTCTAGCTACCGACGTTTCATTTAACCCTGACGCACCAGATGCGGAGGCTAGGAAGGCTAAAGTGCTTAGTGCTTACGAAACACTCGAGAAGTCGAAGGAAGAGTCAAGTATTCTGGTAGAGACAATCCAGAAAAATATGCAGACTCTTATGTCAACCCTCCACAAGCAGCGACCGCAACTCCTTGGTTCACAACCAGGGGATCCTACGGGAATAGATAGAGATACTCATGTGTCAGCCAGCAGAACCCCTCAGAACGACGAGTACTCGCGGGGCCTTCATGGTACATCTATATCCAGTCATACAGCAGATACAGTGCAATCGCCAGCTACCGAAGATCCAATTCTAGTTGGCAATACGGCTCCTCACACGAACGTTCCACCTGAGGAAGGGGTCCGGGAGGAAGAATGGGACCAGCTATGGTCAGACTTTCTAGCGGTCGCGCCCGGTCTCGACATCCCGCAGTGGAACTCCTTGTTGGATGATATGGACTTCAACTTCGGCGAAAGCACATAAAGATGTAAAATGCTTTGGCTTAGAAAAGATATCTGGTTTTTGTTTTTGTACTAGACAGGCTTTCAAGTGGTCTCTTCCTTCTATACTCAAGTTACACCTGCATGACCTGCGAATCGCTCTCGCTCTCGCCCTTACAGCTCCTTAGTAGATGAGACTCTGCAGTACTCGAGAGCCAGTGGCCAACCACTATTAACCACTGCAGGACAAGCTCATCGTTCCGTCCCGTCCCCGTCTATCAATACCCTGTGGGCTAGACTGTAGCAAACGCTTAATACTCGTCCATGAGGGAAGACCTGGTCAAACTCTCCGTGGTTGGTTACACTCCGTGTCACAAAAGTATGTCATTAGGGATAGTATTGGCCTGTAGAAACCGCTTGCGCTTTGTGTAAGCTACGGCATGATGAAACCCTGCTGACCAACTAGGTGTGCTGGCCGCTGAGGTACAGTGTGATTGACTACGCCAACAATATATGGAATACCAGTGAACCAACCCTTCCTGCTACTTACAATCGCAAAAATTGTAGGCTTGTACACCCGGAGAATATTCCACAGGTGGACGCCCCTACATCCGGTTCATTTGAGCCTCGCGCTTGCGACCCGCAAGCTCCATTTCAATGAGAATGTGACAGGTGATGGGAGCTCATAACCAAAATGGACGACGCCAAATGCAATCGTTACAAGAACAATACCACGCTAGTCACCCTGCAACACAAGCACAGAGATGGTATGCCGACGATATACTCGCGTTCCTGAAGTAGGCGTTGCCCGATGTATATAATATCATCCAGAAACCTAAGTGTTAAGAAACACTCAAATACTTTTCATCTTTTAGATGGGAGTGTCACTAAAAGCCATCTATCCAACGACCTAGTGCTATTCCTACCTGCGAATGTGTGAGCTACTTTGCGAGCGATATAACGGTCGTCGCGGTTGCGGCCATACAGTGGCTAGGGACTACCAGCGTTGCAACGCTGCTTTTCGGCGCCCAAATCGCCAGCTATGCTTGCCACCAAATGGCCGACTGCGTGATCTTGACCGTGTCATCGATATACAGAATGATTACTTAGACGGCCCATGTCCTGTCTGTAGGGGCGAGACGCCGCCCAGCTCGGAAGGCTCCGAGCTTATGTTCATCGTTTGAATTTCACGTAAGTATATGAAATGACCCAGGCATTCAGTACTGACAATTCTGGAATGTAGTGTGCATCTGAGCTCTAGTATTAAGGAGTGACAATCTTGTGGAGGACAAGAATGAGGGATCATTTGGATTGGTCACACAAGACCAACCAATGAGATTGGGATGTAGAGGGATATTCATGTTTCTAGCTACTCTTGTCTCATTGTGTACTTGGCCCAATCAAAAGATTCAACAGATTCTGTCAAACGTATCGATTTCGTTGGCCTTTCTGTGCTGATCTCCTACGAAGCAAACATTGATCGCCAACAACATAAGAGCAATGACTTCCCCCGGCAAATCGTACAATCTTTTGTTAACACCTCTTCCACTAAACCAAGATGGATCAGCCCAAGCGAATAATTCTACGCTTGCAAGAAGCGGACCTCAACGAAGCAGATCTCTACGAGCCAGTTCGACTGTACCTTGAAAAGAATGGTCGCTCAATCGAGGAACTTGATACCGGCCGTCATTTCATCCACATCCAGCCTCCAAACCCTGATATACCGCAAGTCGACCCAAAACTACATGTTGTGATTGATCTCGAGGCAGACAAGTACTCTGGCAAGCTTGGTCCTGATTTTCCCTGTGAGGTATACCGTGTCCGCCGCGTTGATGGCATGTTGTGCGTTGTTCCCCGTTGCTGTACCATTTTATACCAAGATTTCCGCCCTAATCTAATCGTTCGTCTAGAGTGATGTTTGGCTTCAAGGATGGAGCCTGGTACCGGAACTTTGTTTGTAAGCTTCGGTCGATTATAGACGACGTGTATCCATGGGGGAAAACAAAACGCGATCTCAGGCTCTCGGGTGGCACAAGTGCACAGGCCCTTGAGAGCTGAAGTGACGCAGAATTAGCGTGAGAGAGGTCTCAGAAAGCGTTGTTGGCTTGACGCCACATGGCGCTGGATTGTTGTTTAGGTTCTTGGTGGCTGGATATTTGACGTCAGGGCGATTTATTTCCTCAATAAACAAGGATCCACCCTGGAAGTCGTGTTTTGATTGAGGGCTATTGGTAGCTATCGAGCAGTAGACTTTCCTCTGAAAAAGCCATTCAGTGAGGAGAACCCGGCGTATTTGTGTGTCTGCTTCCTCTGTCTAGAATGTTTCGACTGTCTAAGCGATCATGCCAGTGTGTTAGTAGTATATCGCTGTGTGAATTAGGACTATCGAAATAGGATGTAAACGCTAATCAAATATTTCTAAAGCAGCAAAAGAAATACATGGCTTTGAAAATTATTAACGAATGCTTGGACCTTCTAAATTTCCTCCGTATCAATATCATAAGCCATATGCTTCTGTCCCCATCCCCACTTCTCCAACCCTAAAGCCCAAGAAGCCCAAAACGCCATGCCAACCACAACTTCCTTTGACCACAAGCCCCAAGGTCCTGTTGTCTTCCGCACCTTCACATTTCGGGAAGCGAGCTTGTAGATCTCGTTCACCCGGGGTCTCCTGATCTCATCGAATTTCTTGTATACCTCCACCACAGGTCGACTTGGGTCTTCCAGTAAGCGAGCAAGCAGAAACGTGTCTTCCAGCGCCATAGAGACGCCCTGTCCCGCATGTGGCTGCATTGCATGCGCCGCATCGCCAAGAATCGCACACTGACCCTTATACCAAGCTCCGCCAAGTGGCAGTCGGTAAATCGGATAGAACTTCATAACGTCGGTGTTATCAACGAGTTGCCTGAGTAAGTCTCCCCAATTCCCATGCACCTTTTCCAAGATCTGATGCATATTCGATTTGAACTCATTCACCTCTTTCTGCCGATACAACTCCCACCCATCTCGACTATCCCCGCAGTCCGGCAACGGGACTTCCTGCGACAAACCCCAGGCTACCTCATCTCCAGCTGCCGTGGCGAGCATTACCATGAACATTCCATGCTCTGTCAACGTTGCACCGATCCCCGAAAACTGGGCTGCGGTAGAGGAAGACAAATTCGACGTGGGAACAAGCGAAAACAGTCCCGAAAACCCGGAGTATTCAGGCTTCTGGTCGGGGTCGACGTATAGACGACGCACACAAGAGTGAATACCGTCGCATCCGATCAGGATGTCTGCTGTGTCAGTGCTACCGTCGGAAAACCTCACAGTCACGCCAGAGTCGCCGTTGTCGTCAATAGTAGTGAGCCGCTTGTTGAAATAGATGGGGATTTGGGCTTTGTCCACCGCGTCCAGAAGAACATCCACAAGATCTGTTCGCTTGATTCGGAGATACCCAAAACCTGTCTGCGTGCGTGCGTAGCTGACCATGTCCTCCTGTTCGCCTACAATCCCGCCTTGTGTGGAATGAACGACGAGGTTACTTCGGCTGCTACCTCGCGCGTGGAGGGCGTCATAAACACCTAGACGGGAGAACAGTCGGAGGCCATTAGGCATGATGCCGATTGCGCCGCCGAGGGTGGTCGGCTCAGGTCGCAGTTCATAGATGCTGCATTTAATATTTGTGGTTTGGTGGAGACGCAGCGCGGTCGAGAGACCCGCAGGACCTCCTCCGATAATGATTGCCTAAGACGGTTGGTAAAGGTATAATCGATTTATAAATGCAGACATACCTTCTGATGATCAGACATTCTTCTTAGAATATGCGTTCGCATTGGTAGTTGTGCTGACTGAGTGTTTATCATGTTCATCCATGGGTGGCTTTAATACTTCAAAGCTGCGGAATGTCCGTGGGCGAGTCCGCGGTATGAATTACTAGATACAGCTAGTACGCCCGCACGAGTCGATAGTCTTACCTCATGTAGCATACGTACAACTGTTGACAATGCCACAGACCCCATGCCTAAATAAAAGCTGATGATCCTCCAGGGTCCAGGCTGGACACAGTCACATGCATCATAGGCGACATTCTGTAGCGAAGGTTGATCTATCCAGCCTACTAATGTCCGCTCTAACCTATTTCTAGCTACGGGAGAATGTTTCTTGCTTCTCTCGCCAAGGGTCTGGTCAATCGGTTCGTCTCTTGTTCCTCAAACGTGAGCATTGAAGCACTAAGGGGAGATCCATCAACCGTACTTGACGGCATGCTTATTTTAATAGGGTCGATCCTAATATCAGTCTAATATTCAAATGCCGTATACTAACCCCAAGCTAGTCCCGAATAGGAAATGTGGCCTCAGGAACGCAGTCCTCCGCACCACTCAATCCGCGCTTTGGCATTTCCTTGGGCCAGTAAAATGTCCCCATATTCCCCATCGACCTCGTAAACCCCCGTTAATTAGTGTTTAGTGTTCTCACCGAAGTCATACTAAGTTCATCTGTCACTGGTTGAATCCGTGGAAAAATCTTTTTCCCTCTCAACGGCTATCGAGAAGAATCTTGCCCTCAGAATGTTCCTTGCAGAGTTCTAGCAAGACGCTCACTATCAAGATGATTCAAGTGCCGAGCGCTACGGCAGAGCGCCCCTCATCTCCAGATGCCCCGACATCTGACAAGGATGCCGCATTGGCGGTGGTGAGCGACGAAGCGCAGGAAATCGACCCTGCAGTGGAGAAGCGTGTGCTGCGCAAGATCGATCTATTCTTCATGCCAGCAATGTTAATAGGTAAGCGTCTGATATATGTCCAATCTATGCACTGTCATTAACGAGATTCAGGATATGGATTTGTATACTGGGACAAAGTCAGTTGTGATCAGTGTAATAGTCTAACAAGAATCCGAGCTGACTGGTTCAGGCTATTTTGGGGAGTGCCTCTCTGTTTGGTATGACAACTGACCTGGAACTACTTGTCATCGATCATACCACATCTCCCCCATCAAAGGACACATCGCGACTCAGCTGGGCGACTTCCATATTTTATTTTGGAATGTTGGCCGGTTTGTACCCGATGACGTTTATCCTCCAGCGCTTCAAAACGCAATATGTATTTGGTCCCATTGTGATGGTGTGGGCTATTACCTGTGCCGCTACAGCAGGTGTAAAGACATGGCAGGGGTTGTTTGCGCAGCGATTTTTCCTAGGTATGCTTCTTCTCATGTCATAAATCTCATCACCTTTTGCCAGTAGTCAATATCTCTGACAGACTTTCAGGTTTTGTTGAGAGCGTAGTTCCCACGGGCTTCATGACCATCGTGAGTAGCTACTATACTCAGAAGGAGCAGGCCATGCGTCAAGCATGGTGGTTCTCTGGTACCGGGTGGTTCACTATCATTGGCGGTGCCCTGAACTACGCTTTCGGCCAGATCAGCTCCGGCGCACTAAAACGTTGGCAATACATTTATATCTTTGCCGGTGCGCTCACATTCCTGTTTGGACTATGGTGCTGTATTATGCCCAATTCGCCTGTCTCCGCGTGGTTCCTGACCCCAGAGGAACGAGTTGTCGCAGTGGAACGCCTGCGGAAAGGCCAGACGGGTGTGCGATGCCAAAAGATTAAGTGGGACCACATTAAAGAGTCGTTCCTGGACCTGAAGCTGTACCTTGTTGCGATAATGATGGCTGCTGCGTGAGTATCTTCCACGGCATCAAATGAAACCATTCTCACAGATCACTAGGTATACGATCAACGGCGCTATTTCCGGTTTCGGTCCACTCATCGTATCAACATTTGGCTTTAACACACTGGAGTCAATCCTATTTCAATTCCCGGTTGGGGGTGTCTGCGTCATCTTCATCCCGCTTTGCGGCTACATCTCTTCACGTATCCCAAACACACGCATCCCCATGCTAATTGCTTGTTGTCTTCCTGTCATCGCTGGATGTGTCATCATATGGAAGTCCGAATGGGGATACCAACCCGCGGCCCCCGTTGTGGGCTACGCACTGACCGGGTTCTTCGGACCGGTTGTCAGTCTAGTCATTACCCTTGGGGCCAGCAATGTGGCGGGTGCTACGAAGAAAACCATCATGGCCGCCACGGTGTTTGTCGCTTACACTGTCGGTAACATCATCGGACCACAGCTTGTGAATAGCAAGACCGTGGACCAGCATTATCCGGAGCTATGGACGGGAATGGTAATCTGCTATTGCATCACCATTTCTGCCGCAGTAGCGTTGTATCTGGTCCTCTGGAGGGAGAATCGGCGCCGGGAGAAGATGGACCTCGATGAGAGCCAACGGGATAAGTTGGCGTTCCATGATCTGACCGATAAACAGAACCCGTTCTTTAGATATGTTCTGTGATTGCACGCCCAATCTGCACAGGCACATATGAAAAATAGAATAGAATTCAATTAGTATTAAACGGAGGTATATCACGCAAAAGGGTATACGCCAATGTTCCAATCCCAATATATGAAACGCAGTATATCAAGTATCCGAATCCTCACAAAGATGGTTCTGAAAGCCTGACCCATCATCCCCCGTCACCACCACCCACATCACCTTCTGGGCAATGCGACTCTCTTTCTTCTCCACGTCCTGCAGATGCTGTTCACCCTTCTGCTTAATCTTCGTAACCTTCTTCTCCTTCTCCCTTAAGATCTTCTCAAGTTTCTTATCCAGCTTCTTCATCTCCTTCTCTAAATCATCCTGAATAATGCTCCTACCCTGCAACGACTCCCCTAACGGACCAGCCATCCTCTCCTTAGCCCTCTCTTCCGCGGCCATCTTCGCATGAGCAACCTCCTCCATCTTCAGCCCAATCATCCGGTCCGCCTGATCAGCCTCTTCCATCAACTTCCCAGCCTTCACCCTCTTCCCAACAATCGAACTATTCTGCCTGTCAGAAAGCCACTTCTCCTGCTTCTCCGAAGCCCTCTTAATCCAATTCTCCTTAACCTCCCCAATCCACTCCTCATAAACAATAGGACACACAAACTCCTTCAAAGCCTCCATTCTCCTCAACTGCGGATCAAACCTGCCCTTCCCCTTCTCACCACCACCCTCCAAATCCCCAAATTCCTCATCACCCTCCCCCAACACCAACACATCACCCGGAACCCCCACCTCAGACATCATAACCTTCGTCTTCAGCACCTGCACCCGCAGTCCCCGCGGCCGAAACAACTCCTCATTGGCCACCTGCATATACTCCTGCGTCCGCATCTTCGACATCTTCACCGATCCATACTCGGCCGCAGCATACACCCCCAACGCGGCAATCTGCACCTGCAACACGGGAACAAAACATGCCGCCGCACTGCCCACGCTAAGAGCTTGCATGTACGGATTCGCTACCCAGACTTGGTTGAGGCCGTCGATGAAGCCCAGGAAATCGGTTTTGGGGATTCCGTGGCTTTCGAGTGCGGGTGGGTAGGCCCGTGCGAAGGGCCGGTAGATTGTGCCATGTATGGAGTGGGATGTTTCTGGTTGGTTTTCTTTGTTAGTTTTTGTGTTTGTGTCTTTTTCTTTTTGGGGAGGGGATTGGGTAGATAGAGGATGGAGGTTGAGACGTGGGGGGGGTGGAAGACGTACGGGGTATGACTACTGGTTTGGGGAGGATGGAGGAGGGTCGGTAGGCGGAGTGGGTTGTTTGGTTTTGAATTAGGACTGTTGGGGTATATGCTGGTGGTGGAGGATTTGGATCTGGTTCATTGTGGTCATGTTGATCTTGGTCTTGGTCTTGATGTTTACTGGTGTCGTTGAGATAGGGGTCTTTGGTGGTGGGGTTTTTCTCTGGGAGGGTTAGGGTTTGGGAGGGTCGAGTTGGCAGGGGTGGTCTTTTCTCTTCTTCCATTGTATTTTGGTCTTGGGAGATATGTAGGTAGGATCTATTTACGGAGGTTGCTTAGAGGGTCACTTTATTGGAGGTTGTATAGAGCCTACTTCGAGTTTGTTATGGTGTTGGGGTTTTATGTGGAGTTGCCATTAAGCGAGTGGGCCAATCAGCGGGCTTGGTGGCCATCGCTTATGATGTCAAGATGATTTCCTAAAATGGAAGAGCTTGTACTTTTGCCATAGGCATAGAAACTGGCTCTCCGATATGGAAGGGCTTGCTATGGTTTAAGTAAGAGAGTTGGCGAGACTATCAAAGAGAGAGAGAGAGAGAGAGAGAGAGGAGGTTAGGGAATATAGAGGTGGAGAGAAAAAGTAAGAGAACGGAAAGAAGAGCGAAGGAAGCTATGTGGCGCTGGTAATTCCTCAGTCTATTAAGGCGCTGTACAATCGCGCAAGTTCTTAATGCTAGTTTGACGGTCATAACACGTAAAACAACCACTCTTACCCCAAAACGGTTCACTCTTCCCCTTCCTTCCGGGGTGGTCCGTCGCCAATATTAAGATTATCCCATTTCTCCAGAAACCGATCCATACTCACGTCAGATTGTCGAACCTTCCCCTGTCGGATTACTGTCGAAAAGTGTGGGTAGAAACTACTAAACGACAGGGAATCCCTATTACGCCACGTCTGTGTCTCAAAATCTAGGAAGAGGGCATCTGTTTCCGTCGGCAAGGATACCTCCGTCTGCTGTGCGGTTACCTGGATCATGCGGAGAATGCCCTTGGCCAGAGCGAAGCGTCGGGACATAGCCCGGGCAAAAATACAAAGTTCAATGAACGCCTTTCGATTCTCAAGTGAGTCGAGGGCTTCGAGAAGAGTAAAAAGACCGATACTTGTCCACTGGACGGTGGAGGGGGCCAGCCGGTCTATGCCCCATTTCTCGCGGTGGATACTGAGGATCTGGGCGATGCGTCTAGCTGTCGAGAGGCAGAGGTCTTTGGCGTTCTTCGCAGTTTCTGGGGCTATGAAGTCGCCACTATTGGATTGGAGGAATCCAAAGATTTGCATGACGTTTGTGTGGTAAAATAGGCTAGAGGGAGTAGGTTAGCAGGTTAAATAAATAAATAAATAACAACAAAAAAAATAATAATAATAACGGCTCGGATTCATCGAGTAGACTCACTGTAAACTCAACACATGGGGCACCTCGGCATTTTCCAGGCGTAGACATTCCGGTAAGTTCGCGTACCAACCCTGTAGCTGCTGGTATATGTCATTGATGGTAGCTGGGATCTCGCATTGAGGTGGACTGTTATCGGGATCATGAAGAGCTTGGCTGATTCGGAGCGTGATGCAAGAAAAGTCACACCACCGGTCAAATACGCAATTATGGTGGCCCCGTACCGGTTGTACCAGCTGAGGATAGGGAGACCATACATCAAGAGGATCTTCATGGTTGATAGGCACACGCGGTCGCGGAGGGGGGCTGATATCTATGTGTTTCATCAAGGACACTGCGGCCGTCCTTCAACCGTCAGCGTGCTTTGTCTTTCGGCATGGGGGATATTTCACATACGAAGCCATGTTGTAAACTCCCCACAATGTTCGGTTGACCACGTTCTCAATCTGTCGCACCGATTCCGTGTCGATAGGAAGAGGTGGGTGCGAAGATTCATACTCTTTCACGGCTCGCACAGCGAGGTCCATATACATCCACCCCACGCGATCTTTACCCATCAAAACAAGCCTGAAATATGTTAGCCAAGAACTCACACGAGAAGCCATCCCGAACTGACCGTATAAATAGCACAACAAGGCCTTGTATAGTCGGTATACTGCTGGGGACCTCCTCGTCCTCTGCTTCGAGCAATCGCCGGGCTTCCTCGTAGAAGTGGTCGCCGCGAGAGAACATATCGCCGGGGACGGTAAAGACTTCGGCGTAGTCGGAAAAATACTGACGAGTTACACCGATCAATAAAACCCTTCGTGTATTGGATTTGAATAGTACAAACTACTCTACGTACACTCGCCTCGGAAAGGATGGCATTCACCAGAAATGGCGAACAGAACCGACAGTTCAAATTCCCCGCCTGCATATCGCGAATGAAGGCATCCTTATCTAGCCAGTCAAACCACGGGTAAGTCCATGTTAACCACAAGGACACCAAGTGTGACACCAGATCGTCATCGTCTGTGACCGTCGTCCAGGGCTTCGCGGGAACCTTATATACTGGGATATCAGCGAGGCGGCGCACCTCGAGCATCCGCCGGGGCATCCGAGGTGCATTACCCTCGTTCCCGTCGTCGTCGTCCTCATCCGAAGGTCGGGAGAGCTGACGTCGGAACTCGCGCAGTTCGGGTGATCGTTCAATCTCAGCTCGAGAAAACTGTTGCTCCAAGAAAACTGCAATCTCATCAAAGGAAGCATTACTCCGGATCAGGTTCAGTAATTGTGCGATGCGTGTGTTTTCACTCCCTCGTAAGGCACCTATTAGGTGTAGCAAGGTGTCCTCCGCTTGTTCCAGTCGGTCCAGCTTCCGCTTCATGGCAAACTTTCGACGCATATCCGCCATCTCATCCACAACGCATTCAATGCCATTGAGAGTGCAATGCTCACACGGTGGATCACCTCGACACTACCAACATCAGCCGTGGTGTTGGCATTCTGATCGACCAAGGACGGTTCCCAAGAGTCCCAGTTATAACGAAACATAGTAAAGGCAAAGGGCGGGAGAAGACGACGAACAAATGCGATCGAGCAGAGAGCAATCTCACCTTGAGCTTTTTTAACTTACACGCCCTACAGGCGGTGGTCTTGTGTTTTCGCCCACGGACTACATCGTCACTAGAACTAGTTCGTCTGGGGGGTTGACCAGGAGCCGGTGCAAGGGGACGAGGCGAGGACGACGATGACTTCGAATCGGACATAAGAGAAGAGGCGCGGGCCGATGGATCGGGGGTCGGAATGGCGCGGCAAAATGGTAGGCGATAGAGGCATGAAGGGTGGCGTTAGATATATAATAACGTGCAGGTTTCCTCGACTATAGATGGTGGTGGAAGCGGAAGTACCCCTAATTGGTACAGGCGCATCTTAAGGAAATGAAGTCGCGCCGAATGATTCTGGAAATCTTGTTTTCAGACGAATTCCGCGGCCCCACGACAGCTGCTCTTTCTCCTCCTGCAGATCTCCAAATCTCCACTCGGTGTCGGCAGCAACAGCCACCCAATCAGGTCCCGTGACCCGCACCACTTCTTGCCCTAGCGTCGATACTAGTTGCCCAAAATCTTCAGCTCAAACGGAATTCAAGACTTCCGGTTCTCTTGATAGGTCCCAAGAATCAGGTCTGGGACACTTGACAGGCAGTGGGTTCTCTTTCAACGCAATCCTTCGGCCGTAGAACTACGGATCTAAATCATTTGATAGGGCGGAAGGTTGTAGCTTGTCCGAACATTCTCCAGTGCCCTATCTTAGCACCCGCACTACCAGAGTCTAGAAGCCCCAACCAACACTACTGATTGTACAATCTTTCTACCCGACCCTGTGATCTCCTCCTTCCTGTACCTTAAAGACCGGGGGCCCTACAGGGATTTAATCCAAATCATTGGAAACCAGCAACCCCACCGTTCCTACGTCTCACGTGGGAAATAAATTAATTCGCCATTCTAGATTTCCACTCTCACCCACACGGGGGAGCCTCACACATATTTGCCACTCTCCAAAAGTCTACCAGATCACCGGTCCATCAATGGAAAGGTCTACTGTAACTGGACGATATATCGCCAGGATGCTTGTACACCGTATCGAGATCTATATGTCCCTCATCGGTCCACGTCAAAGCAAAGCCTCCTAGAGACAAACGGGGTAATATTTACCGATTCTACCGATTAGGTCTCTCATTGGATGATCTTTTCCGCACCGATTCTCAATTATCAGGCTTGTCATGCGGGTAACTGAAAAAAAAAATAAAAAATAAAAATAAATTTTGGATAGTGAGACAACAAACCTTACGATCAAAATCATACTATTATTTTAGTGCCTTTTTCCTTTGTCCGTGCTAGTAATCGTGACTTGTCATTGCCAAGATCCTTGCGCCAATTGTTCCAGGCCAATGAGATTGACCTAAGATTCTCCATATGGACCATATCGTGGATCAAGGATATGAAGCTTCTGCAGGCCCAACAAACAATGAAACTCCTTGGGCATACTTTAGCCACAGATAACTATGGGAAGATTGTAATCAGCGACTAATGGCTAGGAAGTTGCAGAAGTTCGCATTTGTGCATAGAGATCCCCATTGATCTTCACGCTATGATCAAATGGTGTCCTGAGCGTGAAGCCCAAGATACACTTATGGTAATTTGGCATGGCGATCTGATACTGATCCCAATCATAACTTTGTCTGTGGCGTCAAACTAATGCCTGATCCATGCAGAATTAACTTGCCATATGGCCGTGCCAATCTGGTGGCAAGTATTTGCTCAACTATATCACACTCTCGGGCGCACTGTGAGTAGAGCTTAGCCGCGGTTATTCTTAACCCTATTTTCTTTGTTATTTCACGATCGTCCACAGTAGCAACCTTTCATTCATCTCAATATAACCAATGCGCATCTTGTGGTATCCAGCACCAACTTGGAGCCGCCATTACCGCTCTGCTCTACGGACCTAACGGGAGTAAGGAGATTGATGAGTCTTAGCCGGATGTGAATACGGGGACAAAAACACAATTTACACGATGAAAGAAACCTTATCGGCCGAGTCAGAATCGCACATATGCGATGCAACCTCGATTTCCGAGTCCTTACCAACGATATTATAGGCTTGTTTGACCGCATTTTACAACCTACAGCGCTAGTGTTTGATGCTTCGTGACTCCGAACGATCTGTGGTTATGCACGGCCCCATCACAGCGTACATCGTCTGGGACATACAGTGTAGGATTGCTATATTGATCCCCCTGTAGTAAGGGATAGACAAGGGCCTAAGAAGCGTAGGCCTCCACAATACCTCATTAGTTAGACACGGATTGCAACGGGCTATACACCTCGACACGTCAAGTGCTATCAAATATGACACAATACTAGCGGTGGGCACTCGCCATAGTCCATAATTAGGCAGTGGGTGGCGGCGTGATTCGTCGCTCATAGGTTATTTCCTAGCAGTCCCACGCGTCAAGTCTAAAATGTTTCACCAAATCCTGCCACAGGATGTTCGATGTATAGTACCCCTCTTGTGGTGGAATTCAAGCCACAATGGTTAGACCGCATGTTCTCCCCGCAATCTAGATCCGGATATCGTCGTCGAACAACAACCGAAGCATGTGCGTCATACTAGCAAGGAAACTCTACCACTGACTTGCTTTTCCATAGAGCTCTCGGAATTCTTCGTTTGACCAATGAGATCTTTCTATGTAAAGAGGCTGAGAGTTGTGGAAACTCAACAACCAGCCCGATTTCGATACTTGTATATAGCTCTTCAATATACGGCGACCACTCGGCAACATAGAGTTCGGTCAACAAAGAACTTCCCTTTCCAAGGTTTCAACAATAATATCATAACTGCACAGGGGTGTCCATATTGAGGTTATCTTCGGCAAGCCCTGTCCATATCGCCGGCTTTGATCGGCCTGGTTAGCCTGCATGCAGGAAAAGTTATTGGCTACTACTGTGGATACGAAGCTCAACACCTGATTCTCACCTGACTTTCCTTCTTTGTAGATCGGGTCGTTGAGACAGTCAGAAAGGGATTCTTTTCCGAGCGACCCTCTTTTTCACCACCGGTGGATCAACGTAGCCGCTTTTTTTTACTAATCCCACCTATAATCTTGAATATCATATGCTCCTTGCGTAGCCTTGCACGGCAAAGGGGTGGGTCTTTTGTTTGCTGGTACTTGGAAGCATGGTTTTTGGGAAGGCAATCGGTTACAAGCAAATGACGCTATTTAGCATAAAGGAAGGGTAATTGAGCGGTTTGTTAGGCAAGGGAAGGACTTTGTTTGTGGCTAGCAAAGGCAAAAACGCAATATCTTCCAACAATAATCTGGACACATGATCGAATATTCAGGGTTCTCTACATCTACTGCCTAAACGGGTAAAAGTATATTAATAGCATCCGTAATTCCGACGAATCGAGTCAGTAACATTGCTAGATAAAAAATCTGCATGCAAGGTGCGCCATAAGACGTCTATTCCATTCCTTTGTACTACATCTATTCAGATCGCACAATCTTGCCAAGAAATACCTATCCGTTAGTTTGACCATTTACCCTTAACATGCTAGTAGCGGAAACAGACTAAATAGACCTTGATGACAGCGCTGTCAGGCTGCGGTCAAAGCGTCGAGTAAAAATGATAGCTGCATGAATGCACAGTTGCATTGGGCCGCAACGACGACAGGCCCAGAAAAGGAAGCTAAGAGCAAGACCGGTGTTCCCCCTGCATAACCGGAACTGCACTATCCGAGCGCCGAGATTTTCCGGTAGTGTTGCCACCATTCAAGGCCATTTAGGACCTAGTGATTCAAATCCCGAGCCCATTCCATTTTCGGCAGATGCCGACAACAGTGAGTTGGAGAGCCGCGAAGTCTCCTCGTTGTGTCTCAGGGAGAGTATCACCAGAGGATTCTGGTGTTCAAAGTTCAAAGTTCAAAACTTAGTTTGTAACTCTCAGGGACAATTGTGGGTACAAGACATCATCCTGAAGTTACCTTTAACTTCCATTAGCCCTAGTTCATGTCACGGTTTCAGTGGAGCTGCCTTCCGCCAATCACCCGTGCGATACCGGCATTCTGGAAATCTTTCACCGAGGCTTTGCCTCAATGCGGTTAACCTTGGCGGTGAGATTATACTGCCGTGCTATACCGCTTGCATATCTCCAGGGCTGAGACCTAACTACCGCCTACCAGGTTTGTATTACTGCCGGACTTCCTTGGTTCCGGCAAGGTTGGATACATCCAATGCCCCAGTTTCACATCAATCCTCTCTCTCTAGAGCCTTCGTTCGGTCTTAAAAACGTTTTAGCCACCAAGTCCAATTATTGCCTGTCCCTATCCCAGGGTCTTTCGTTCGTTATCCCTCACCACCGACCCAATTGACCCCCGTAACCAACTTTCTCCGGCCGCGCATCACCCCTCCTACCAATCAAGACCAACCCGATGACGACCACCATGCGAACCCACGACGACTTCCTCGCCGACCAAGATGAGCCCGAACAGCCCACCAAAAGAAACAAGGTTACACATCCCGCGAACCGCATCTGCTATGACTGGATGGTCGTATCTGGAAACTGTCACTATGCTAGGGACCGCGCCGTATTCACGACCTACCGCTCCGTCGACCTGCGCTTGAAAAACAACATCTTCAATCCCACCGACGAGCTACACGTCGCGGGCGTCGGGACCGTCCATCTCACCGTGTGTAGGAGCCCACAGGATCCGACGTCGCATGTCATCGTGTTGGAGGACGTGTTGCATATCCCCGAAGCCGTGTGCAATGGATTCAACCCGCTGCTGTTCGGCAGTAGCATGTCATGTAATACGGATTACTGGGAGGGTGCGGATCGGAGTGGACAGCCGGTGTGGTTTAGTTTGCCGTTTGCGGGTCATACAAGGTTGGTTTTGGCGGGGGATCCGAAGGGTGAGTCCGAGTTGATTGAGGGGAGGTATTATACGCTTAGCTTGTATATTACGCCGGAGGAGAAGAGGGACCTGGCGGCTGGAGTTGTGAATGGGAATGGTGTGGCGTTTTGATATATATATTTTTTGGTTTCGGGGTCTTGGGTTGGGTACTTTTGTATACTTCTATGTCTATGTGCTAGGGGTAGGCTTGTTTGGGTATTGTATTTATCGGTTGTATATTATGAGCCAAGATTCAATGAAAAGTTACAATATCTATAAGCCGATAGTATATGTCACCATTGTGTCACTGTGAATTGTTTAATGAACGATCTTGTTCTGCTGATAGCTATTATACTATGATAATTTCACGCTAGATTTACCCGGTCCGGCCTGCATAGCTAAACGTTTCAATAGTTAGGCTCTATCAGGTTAATAGAATTTTGATTGATTGATTGATATACCTGATCCGCTCCCCCCCCAAATAAACTCAACCTCTAGCAAGCTCCATTCCGGGAGGTTACGGTACTAAAGATTCTTGAATCCATACATTTCTAGATGTTGCCTCCTCCTAATCTGTTTGGCGGGGGTGTAAGCGTTTCCTACATCGACAAGTTCTAACTTCGCGATCAATGCTTTGCTTGATGCATTTCTTCAATGCCCGCTGGGACCTTTTGTCTGAGGAAATCTACGGAAAGTTTCTTGTCTGTATACTCACTGTCTTTTCTTAGATAGCCCAGGTAGAAAATCGATTCCATAATTTTCGCCCGCTTACTCGTTCCATATCGAGCCACTGAACAGGAGTTGCTGGATATACCTTCGCGGCTACTCAGTGTATGTGCTTCATCTTATGGGAGTATTTCGTGCTCTGTACCCTTTACTATAATGCAATATAAATGCCCCAGGCTCATAGTAATTAAATCACTATTACTAAAGTCACATATCTTTCAAATTAGATCAAAAGAGTACAGTCGAACAGTTGTTTGCCAATATCTAGTTCGCTTTCCCGATGATGCAAATATTCTAGATGATGACACAGCAAGGGGCATATTTCCACTTCTCAAGGATAATGGTTCCGGCTATCGAGAATCTGCTCCAAAAAAAGCCCTGGGATATTAACTGGCTCCCAGAAATGTGCAAAGCAACAGCAGAGCGCGACCTCGCGGGCAACAAAGGTTGTTGGACTAATGTTGTATGCTGTAATTGGTGATTAACTGGAACCTTTCGGTGTGTAAGTATTATCACCGACCAGCACCTGTCTTGTGCAAGGATTGACTTCGTCAAACCCAAGCAGAAGCTGTGGACAAACAGTATCATTCCCTTGATACAAAGTAAGACTGGCATATTCGTTAGGTATTTTGTTGGGCGTCCGAGTGACTAGTGGGATAACAAGCTCATTGTCAGATATCCTAGCAACTATGTCAAACTAATCGCCTGTCTGCACACCGGTAAGCAAGTGTTGGGTGTCATAGATATAGCGAAGGCTAGTGGTGGGAATCTGATCGAAGCTGAAGTTCAGCTCGGGATATGGATTGCTGGTTAACTCTCATGAGCCTCAAACATTGGCGTGGGACTAAACATCCACCGCTGGTAATTTGATATGAAGTGCATGTTTGGAAGAGCTTGCTAGTCGGACGTTGAATGGGAAACCATGTACTGCACTATTAAAAACTTCTCTCAAAGTGATGTACTATGCAATTGGCTAGTAATGCGAAAGGTTGCAGGCCGCGTTTAACGATTAATGCGCCGGTTACTCGGACCTCAACTCAACATCTAGTGCTATATCATATAGAAACTTTAGTTCTTTAAATGTAGTGTCTGCTCCCCGTTTGCGAATGTCTGATCATGGTCGAATCTATATGCGCATGCATTTGTACAGATTCAGGCTAGAGTAGCCAAGGTTATAACTGATAACTGTCTGAAATGTATGCACAACCAAGTGTAATGTAGCTACACTAGAGCGAAGATCACATACTCACTATATCATTATTAACCTTGCCGTCTTTCGCATTTTTATTGACGTTAGTTGGAGTCTATTGACAATCTTACTTAGCAGTCTCTCTCCTATGCCGAACTCAGGAGAGATAGCCCATCTACAATACGTATAATACCAACTGAACAACGGGCCGCCAATCCTCTAATTATAGATATCTCCATAGTCGGAGCTAGAATGTGAATAAAATATACCCATCCCTCGAGGAGCATGATTCATGATCACTCTTTTCAATACTCACGTCCGCCTGACCAGCGATAACCATAATTCTGTGATAGTGACGCCCAGGAAGACTCTAGATTTCATTTCAGCAGGACAAGCGGACTTGTTCCAGGTCTAATCTGGCAGACTTGTGTCCGATAGACTTAGGGCTAACGTGAACGGCAGTCATGTATATCATGACAACATAAATGACTTAGTGATCTTCATAGCTAGCGCTTGCATGAAGCCGAGTAAGTATATATTATATCTTAATGGCTAGTTTGCACTCGAACTTAAAATTTCCTATCAGGGTAAGGTTAGTGGTAATGTTTCCCTCGTTGTTGTACTGTGTGGGATACGACCAAAGTCTAGAATAGTGACGATATCATAGCTTGATGGTCTATGGGCAAGAATATTTAAAGCATGAACGTATAAAATAAGTGGCTGTATGTTTTATTAGGATGATGGTATCTTTCTCGGCCGTTGTAGGACTAATTTGTTCCAAATTCGATTCCGGATTGCCAGGTATGTGTCCAGCATATATTAGGAAGTTTCTCTACTTTTATCTTGGTGACACTAGGAGTGCAATACGTTAGGCCCAATGCTCTTGCAGTATTGAACTTTTGTACTCTTCTGGTTTAGCCGGAATATTCCTTTGGATCCAGTTATCACTGGTCCTGCTGCCTGGGACATAATGAAGCATTATAAGCCTTGTCTCAGCTCTTTGAACATACGCTTGACCGCAGTCTGCGGCCAATCGCTAGTCAACCTCGTAAGCTTATTCGCTCTCGTTCGGAATCTTCCAAAGCGATCCAAGGCTGAAGTAATACCTACCCCGGGACTTTATTTAAAAGCGGACTCGTCTAAGCAGTCAAGAGCAAATCTACAACTCCGTGCTACTACAGGGTGATGTGACTCAACACATGTAGCCAGTTTTCATCCGCCACGATTCAAAGCTTTTAGAGTGTCATAAATACCTTAGACGCTAGACTCCTTGGCAAGGGTCACCTGCATCTAGATATTACCTTCGAGCAAAGCAACATTCCTGTCATCAGAACCGACCCATAGCAGCGTCCCCATCTCGCACAGTATTTGAACGATGGAAATGACACCTACATAAAGTAAACAGAGCCGAATTCACTAATTAATTACAAAATCGGTAAATACGGCTGAGGGCCATGTCAGTACCCTGCAATACCAATGCACGATGCCGTATGCGAATAAGACCCATGGACCTCGGCTGCTGGCAAGTACCTGTCGATTATTAGTTATTCCACCAATCTCTGCTCTCAGTTATGTTTCACCCTTGCAAGTTCACAAACTTGCTAAAGCTGCTTTTGGTGCTCTTCCCAAACAACTAAGATGGTAGTTTGGGTAAGATCTACTATTGCAGTACCTGTTCATCAGTCTTAGCTTCGAGGTTATGTATCTTACCACATGGAATACATTCCCCGCTGTCTTTCTAGCAGTCACTCTCAACTGGTAATAGATGGCATGTGTACCTTCTTATGACAATATAAGCCACGTTGGTTTCATTAGTGAGTCGGTAGTTATTTTCTGGGAACCAAGTGTCTCTGGATCTAACAGGACTCAAGGGCATACAATCTACAAAACTGCGAAATTCCCTTTTTGGGTTAGTTGCGTACTTGCCAGCATATTTAGTATATTCTACATATGCAGGAGCATGTCTATTAGGGAAAACCTTCACCGACATCCCCATACGCAGCTTCACTCCACCTACTAAATCAGTGCTTTGACTTCTCGCTCGCTTAGCAGCTCGGAAATGAAGACACTCAGAAGACACATGGGCCACCAACCAGAACCACAGTCATACTGCCATCCAGACCCTGTTTCATACGGCAATAATCTCCCGGCACCATGTTGCCGCTGGTCCTCGGGTAACTAACCGACGTTCATCAAGTCAGTGCGGCGGCAAGTGATCGAGTCCGATCTTGGTCCAGTCGCCTCATACCAGCTCATCCCAAAAATAGTGGTCGGTGAGCCTGTCTAGGTAGGCCTGGATGAGGCCACAGACCATCATGTGCTATTAAATGTTCGTGCGAAAAGCTAACATGCCGTCGCGTGTCAATACCTAATGGGATGCACTAGTTAGCAGCCCGGAGGCCTTTGCCATGTGGCCTGTAATTAATACTACGAGGTTCAATCACTTTTTCTATGCCTTGAAACATTGCGTTGAGAAGCGACACCAATGGAGGGTGTTTAGCGGCATAACCAGAGCCAAGACGGACCAATGTCTTGACATCGCTTAATTCCCGAGACGCTTTTATCCTGCAGCTAAGACTAGTAGCAATCGAAATTCCTGACAAGCACTCAATCACAAGACAGCCGCGGATCCTAGGGCCGCATTCCCAGTCATAATCCCGGCTTGACGGACGCAGGTTAATCCTGTCAACCCCGGATAGTCCACCCACACAAAACCCCAGGAATTTTAATTAAATGGGGGCTGGACCCTGGACTTTGTAGTGCTTACTCGAAGAGAAAAGGACACGGCAATTCGGACCGATCACCGCACTAGAGTAGTTCCTGGATCGGCATGGCCACTGAGTACAGAGAGAGGTATGGCGTGAGCTAACTTGGGCATCCATGGTTTAGACCACGAGGATGATTGGGGAATCTGACCACACGAGAACGATGGGGAGCACGTTGGATCTAATCATCGAGCACCTCGTATTGGTCCTCCACAATCCACAATCCACCCCCCGCGAAGCTAGAATACGGGCTAACTACTAACATATTCCCCAGATTTGATTTTGATATACGCTTATACCCTTTTTGCTACGGAAGGATCACTCCTTGTTCCATTCATCCGCGGGGTGACTCTGTATCCATACACAGGGCTGAATACTCAACAAAACCCTGGCCTTTAATTTTGTTCAGATGTAACAGTTTAATATAAACCGTATTGTATCGTAATTAATCCCAATCTGGATGGAATGGTATGATACACCGAAAACGCTCGGAGTTTTATATTGTATATCAACCTCCCCCCTCGCCTCCCCTGGCTTCGCTTTTTTTTTTTTATCATTTCGATCAGACTATGTAATTGTATCCACTACGAATTGATCTTCTTTGCTATCCTCTTTGACCCACCATGGCCGATAAGGTGGATGCCACTGTGTCCCACAGTGACAACCCGGGCGAAGCCCAGATCAAGGGTGTCAACAATGCTGCGTTGGCGGTAGCCACCATCCAGCAGAAGCCCAAGCTGCTGAGCAAGAGTATGCTCAAGGTAAATGGCACCTATACCTTTTGTACTGATGGGCAGACAAGCCACTGACCAATCCAGCTGTACTGGTGTATCGCAGTAGCCATGCTCAACTCCTGTATCAACGGATACGACGGCTCCCTCATGGGCTCCATTAACAGCTACGAACAATACAGATCATACTTCGGCTTCAATCCTGATGAGGGTACACCATCCACCGGAATTGTCTACGCTATCTACACCATCGGAAACATTGTGGGCTCATTCACGGCTGGTCCCTTCACTGATTTCAAAGGTACCCCCCACCCCTTTTTGCCAGCATACATCATCCCGGCTAAGCCCCCCCCGGTTCAATAGGTCGTCGCGTCGGCATGGCCCTCGGGTCCATCTTCATCATCATCGGAACAATCGTCCAAGCCACATGCCATAACCTGGGCGGATTCATGGCGGGCCGATTCATCCTCGGTTTCGGCGTCGCAACCTCCGCCACGGCCGGTCCGGCATACGTCTCAGAGATGGCCCACCCGGCGTATCGAGGTGCAATGACGGGTCTCTACAATGTGTTGTGGTTTGGAGGTGGTATTCCGGGAACCTTCATCCCATGGAGGACGAGCGATATTGAGGGGACAATGAGCTGGCGGATTCCGATCTGGCTGCAGATGATCTTTTCGGGGTTGGTACTTTTGTTCTGCTTTACTGTTCCAGAGGTAGGTTGTCAATCCCAGGTTGAAAAGAAAAAGCTCAACGAGACAAGCTAACAGCATCCAGTCCCCCCGTTGGCTCATCTCCCAAGACAAGCATGAAGCCGCGCTCAAGGTCCTGGCCGAATACCACGGAGAAGGCGATCGTAATGCGCCCATTGTGCAACTCGAGTACCGAGAGATGGTAGAAGATATCTCCATGACCGGTTCTGATAAGCGTTGGTGGGACTACCGGGAGCTGTTCAACAGTCGCGAGACACGGTATCGATCCATGCTTGTCATCTTCATGGGTATGCACCAAATAACTCCTCGACTCACCACTAACCTCCCTAGCAAAGATCAGCTAACTAAGTCTTCATGACAGCTTTCTTCGGCCAGTGGTCCGGCAACGGCCCCGTCTCCTACTACTACCCCCAGATGCTCCGCGGCGCAGGTATCGAAAATAACAACACCCGACTCCTCCTGCAGGGACTCCAAAACGTGGTACAGTTCATCGGTGCCGTGTTCGGCGCCCTCATCACCGATCGTATCGGTCGTCGTCCTCAGCTCCTCGTCTCGACCGGTCTCATCGTCATCCTCTTCGCCATCGTCCTGGCACTGAACGCAACCAACGTCGTAGACGGTCCAGACGGTGAACCCATCGCCAAGAGCGGAGTCACAGCCCGAGCCCAAATCGCCATGATCTTCATCTTCGGATTCGTGTACTCGGCCGGTTGGACGCCGAATCAAGCCATGTACCCGGTGGAATGTCTTCGATATGAAAGTCGTGCTAAGGGAATGGGCATGAACAACGTACGTATCCTTTCCATTACCCATCCATGCCACTCCTCTATTGCTTCCCATAACTTGTCATTCTCTCAAGCAACAAAAAGAAAGAAAAGAAAAGAAAAGAAAAGAAAAGAAACTAACAAAACAAAACCTAGTTCTTTGTCAATATCGCCTCCTTCTACAACACCTTCGTCACCGGAATCGCCTTCAGCGGCGCCGGCTGGAAATACTATTTCCTATTCATTTTCTGGGACACGTTCGAGTTCATCATCATCTATTTCCTATTTGTGGAGACCAGCAAGCGAACATTGGAAGAATTGACGGCGATCTTCCAAGCCAAGAGCCCGGTCAAGGCGTCATTGAAAAAGGATGAAGTATTTGTTGCGAGTGATGGGGCGGCTGCTATTCAGAAGGAGGTTTAATTGATTATCCAGAAAGGGGGGGGACTTAATTTCATTTTAACATTTTAACATTTATTATACGAGGTCCCGGCTTATGCTTATTGGGTCTGGATCTCAGTCTGGGTCTGGGTTATCTCGTATAAGGTTATTGGGTGTGGGTTTGGGACGGGATGGGGTTTATATTAATTTTCATTTACTTTGACCCACTGAGTCGGAATCTTATTCTTTTTGTTTATAACTATTCTATTTATGCATGTCAATGGCAATGGAAATTTAAAATCATGAGCTTATTATTCATTGAAGCTGTTTGTTGTCTATGTCTTTGTACATATAACATATCATATCATATCAACTAGGTATCCGTGTATATATATATATATCCCAGAAAAAGAAAAAGAAGTAATATTCACAAAAGAAAAGATCCAAAGACCAGACTCCACCACCCCCAACCAAAACAAAAGAAATGAAAAACTATTGCCTGTGCACAATAGTCTCCCTAACAACCTTAATCCCCTCCTGGCTCCCGCGGCTCTCCTCATCCCAAGCCCCAGCCTCACAAACCGTCGGCGGCTCCGAACGCGGCAAGATCGTCTGCTCATCATGATACTGCGTATCCGGCAATGACAACGGATGCCTAAACTTCCGTTTCCGATTACTGCTATGCATGGTACTCTTCGAGTTATGGCCGCCGCCGCCGTTACCGCCACCGCCGCCGAGTACGTCGCTATCGGTTAATGGGTAGCTGTTGGAGGTAATTCCCTTGGTGCTGATATACCAGCCTGCGCGGCGGGCGATGCGTCGACATAAGGGGTAGATCATTGGTGCGTTGCCGATTATTACGGCTACGAAGGTTTCGCGGCAGGCCCAGCTGCCGGCTTGTTGGGCGCCGTTTGCGCCGGCCTTTTTTTTTTCATATCTTTGTTAGCTTTGGGGGACTTGGAGAGTGTTTAGGGAAGGATGCGGAAGGGAGGATTGGGGGAGGGGGGGGGATTAGGGGGGAAGGGAAGAAGACGTACCGTGACGATTAACACACAGCGGAGGATGCCGGCCGCCATGACGAAGATTCCGCCGCTGAAAAGGACGAGAAGTTCGAGTTTCTCGCGCCAGGGGAGACGGGCTTTGAAGAGCATCTTTTTGATTGACTTGTTAGCTTGGTTGCTGTGGTCCTTATAGTTGGGTTGAAGGCATACCGGTGTTGGAATCGATATCAAGTACACATCTGTCGCAACGTTCAAGGTGACAGTAACGTAGACGTCGATATGCGAGACCGCAGGCTGGCAGTAATTGCCTGGGTCGGGGTATATCTGCCAGTTCTTATGCATGGGATGACAACCGAAGAGGATCGAGCAGATGACGGCGATATAGGTGGCGCCGATGAGGACGTAGGCGATTTGGACCCGACGTTTCATGTTGATCAGACCGGCTCTAGATCCCCATTAGTTAGCTATTACTTCTTTTTCGCATGCGAATCTATAAAAGATAATATACTAAGGGAATTGGAAGCGTACGTCAATCGCGAGTAGAAAATAGCCATGCAAGCTTTCAACAACCACAGCAGGGTTGTATACAACGACCAACCCAGAACCTGGGTCTTGGAGCCACCCACACGCAGACGGTATTCTTCTGAGGTAGGAGAAAGTGTGGCTCGTTGCTCGTCGGTCATGGCGTTATTGGCGAGACCCATCCACCAAGCGCCAACACAGTAAGCGGCGCCCGTTTCCAACCCGTAAACCACCTGTTTTTGTTCCATGAGTACCCTGGGTGTGTGTGTCATGGTGGGAGGAGGGGGGAGTGGCATACCCCCGCTAAAGGCATGAGGAAGTCATCGAGCTTGAAATTTCTCGGTCCAGCGGTGATCCATCGTGCGGTGATGCGGATGGCGATGGCGACAATGGCAATGCTGAGGAGGGTGAAGGCCTCGATGGTAAAGTCATCCCCGGCCATGGTGGCAGTCTGGACGTCTGTGCGGGCACTCACTCAGATCATAGGAGAGCAAACGGGGGAAAGATCGGGGGAGGTAAAAGCGCTGAACTTTGGTTATAAAAGTAGCTTTATAACTGGATGGTGCTTAGCCCGGAAACCCGGCGCACGGAAGATCGATGTATCCATTTCTTATCCAGGGGTGAAGGGGGACGGGTCGAAATCAATTCCCGTCTGAATACCACATGGCCCGACAGGTTGGGTTTGAATGACCGTTAGAAGTTGGCAGCGGGGACGCCAAACGCCTGTCCGGTGCGTCTTGTCTCCATTCCGCTGCTAATGAATGACCTTAGGGTTACCGGTTCGGGAAATGGTGGGTGGCTCCCCGACGTTTGGCCACTGAGGCCGGGTGGACTATCAGTGGATCGTTAATTGCGGGAAGCGAGATTACTATTACCATTACTATTTATACGGAATATTTTTTTTTTTCTTTTTGGGTGCATCAGTAGCTATCGCTTAAGCATTTCTGAGCTAGTAAGTTGCCTGCTCGGACCGCCGCTGATTCTGCAAGGTAAGATAGATCCAACTTTTAGGGTTTGTGATGCATTATCTGGCGATCGCCCTTGTTTGGATTGACAGCAGATATGGTATGTACATCAATCTAATGTGATATATCGCGCATGAACCTCGATCTGCTTTGACTTTGGAGATAGGAAGTCTAATACAAATTGTTTCTTGCATACATCCAGCGTGAATCTTGGGCTGTCAACTTGAAGAATGACAAGCTCCACCCCTAATCAATGCTAATAGAATACTAAATAACCCCCCGGTTCCACCTGAAACGACTCTGACCCATAAACTAAAACACCCACTGCAGAGAACTCGGGAGAATTCCCAAGGTTACTAACTTGTCAACCAGCCGTCAAACTCCACTGCTCCACCGAATTATTCTTTTCATGGCCGTACGTTTTACCTCATTTGAATCCTGACGCCGCTTTAGCCCAGTCGTTAGGCCGAAGTTAACGGTGGCGCGATGCAACCACGCTTCTTCTAATTTTCCTAATTGTCTAGCCTCCGTGCGTCCTACTAATTAGAAAACTTTTTTTTTTTTCTCCCTCTTGCAATCTCGTCAGGTCTTGGGCTATCGAGCGGGATTGCCGGACTTCGACCGTTTTTCCACTCTAGTCGCCGGGGAATGAGAGAAAATTCCGCGATCGGCATGCTATACTCAACTAATATAATTATGTCGCTTGTCACTCCACCACCCTGGCTTTTCCCCTCTCTTGTGCTGCTCCTTAAATTCCCTCCTCCACGACCATTGCGGGGAGCTGCATTCGGCTGAAAATCACCAACTGCAACTAAACCTGCAACAATTGTGCATTGAATGTACCTGTGATATTGATCACCATGGAGACTGTTGACGTGACAGTCATCGGAGCTGGTATGTCCACCCGTCGGAATTGATACGTCGCAAGTTCACAAACACTCACATCACATCAACAGGATGGAGTGGTCTCGCTGCCCTCAAGACCTACCACCAGGTCGACCCCTCCGCCTCGATTGTGCTATTCGAGAGCGCGGCCTCGGTCGGCGGCGTCTGGGCCAAGCATCGCTTGTATGCTGGCCTCAAATCTAACAACATGCTGGGCACCTACGAGTTCAGCGATTTCCCCATGGACGCTTCGTTCGGCGTCCAGCCCGGCCAACATATCCCGGGCTCCGTGATCCAAACGTACATGGAGCGCTTCGTCGAGCACTTCCAGCTCACCCCGTTCATCCGTCTGAACACACGGGTGCGCATTGCGGAGCAGAATTCCGACGGAACCTGGACCCTGACCATTGACGACACCGACGGCGAGAAAACCGTCGTGAGCAAAAAGCTCATCGTCTGCACCGGCATCACCTCCCAGCCCTACCTGCCCACCATCACCGGCCAAGACACCTTTGACGCGCCTCTCTTCCACTGTCGCGACCTGCCCCAGCACCAAGACGCCGTCCTGCAACCCAACAAGCGCATCACCGTCTTCGGCGGCACCAAATCCGCCTGGGACGCAGTCTATGCCGCCGCAACCGCCGGCGCCCACGTCGACTGGATCATCCGCGACAACGGCCACGGCCCCGTCTGGATGGCTCCCGCCTACGTAACCCCATTAAAGAAATGGCTCGAGAAGCTCGTCACCACACGACTCCTCACCTGGTTCAGCCCCTGCATCTGGGGCGACGCCGACGGCTGCAGTCCCATCCGCAACTTCCTGCACGGCACCTGGCTAGGCCGCAAAATCGTCGACACCTTCTGGTCCATCCTCGCCAACGACGTAATAACCCTGAACAAATTCGACGCCCACCCGGAAACCAAAAAGCTCAAACCCTGGATCAGTCCGTTCTGGATCGCCTCAGGACTCAGCATCCTGAACTACCCAACCAACTTCTTCGACCTAGTCACCGAAGGCAAAGTGCAAATCCACATCGACCACATCACCCACCTCACCCCCAAGACCGTCCACCTGGCCTCCAGCTCCACCCCCATCCCCTCCGATACCCTCATCTGCGCCACCGGCTGGCAAGCAACTCCCCCCATCGACTTCCGGCCCTCCCACCTTCCCCAAACCCTCGGCTTCCCCTGGGCCGAAGACCCCATCCCCCAATCCGTCATCCAACAAGCCGACGCAGAGATCCTCTCCCGCTTCCCCCGACTAGCCACCCCACCCCCCAAACCAGCTAACTATGCCCCCCTCGCCCCAGACGCCCCAGCAGCGGCAAAACACCCCTTCCGTCTCTCCCGCTTCATGATCCCCCCTTCTCTCGCCAATACCAACTCCAGATCAATCGCTTTCATGGGCCTCGCAATGACCATCAATACCACCATGCTAGCTCAGGCCCAAGCCCTCTGGATCGCGGCCTACTTCACCAACAACCTCACCCTCGTTCCTCGGGAACAATGCCCCCCTCATCTCCGGAAGGTTCTGGAACAGGATAATGCCTCTGTCGATGCAGACCTAGTATGGGAAACGGCCCTGCATTCGCAGTTCGGGATTCATCGTTACCGAGGTGGATTCGGGAAACGGAACCCGGATTTTGTGTTTGATGCGGTGCCGTATGTGGATTTGTTGTTGAGGGACTTGGGGCTCGATTATACGAGGAAGGGGGGTTTGAAGTGGTTGGAGCCTTATGGAGTGGAGGATTATCGGGGGTTGGTGGAGGAGTGGATTGGCTCTAGGGATGCTGTTAGTAATAGTGGTGATAATGATTTGGGGAAGAAGGATAATTGAATGAATGAATGGTTGATTCATTGTTTGGGTTGGTCGTTTCCTTTGCATTTGTGTGTGTATGTGTGTGTGTGTATGTATGTATATATACCCATTTTTTGGTTTGAGTGTTGGGTGTTGTATTTGTGGTTAGTATTTTGTGTGTTAATGTTGAGTTTTTGTGGTGATGATTTTATGGTGTGGGCTTGTTGGTGGAGTTTGTTTTGTTGTATCTTTTGTAGTGTTTGTAAGAGTTGGCCGGTGGTGTGTTTTGTTGTAGTTTGGTTTAGTAGGAGGTTTGTCTCCATTGTAGGGTTGCTGTTCTATATATTATTCAGCTAAGACTAGGTAACTATACGTAGGTTTAAGTTTCATGATTATATATAGTTACATTAAGGGCACAGTCTCCTAGACCAGACCTTAAATTGTATATTCAAATACACAGTTATTTCACTGCAAGGAGACTCATTCCGAAATCAATTTGCCTTCAAATACTGATCCCAATAGTCTCCTACAACGCCTCTACCTACATACGTGTACATACATCCGGCTATCCCTCGCTGATGCCAAACCATTCACAAGATATCAAGAAAAAAAAAAAAGAAAAAAGAAAAAGAAAACATAAAACAAACAAGCAATCGTCCCAACCGAACCGCTCGCCAAGTACATACAGGCCAAATACAAAGCATCATGGAGCGTACACAATAAGATTAGAACAATAAAGTCGAGAGGTAAGGTGAGGTCGAGAAAGGTATGTCGAGTTGCGTGGGGAATTCATGAGGTGTGGTCGAAATCAAGGGGTAAACCCATAACAGGGTCATGCTAAATCGACAAGCCATGCTCCAGGTCTTTATCTTCCTGTTTCACCGTTTCACCCTCCTGCTTCGGGATGGTATCGGACACGTCTTTGCCGCAGCCCTTGACGAGAATATGTCGCTAAGTCAGTTAGTTCTTGGTTTCTTTCTCCAGACAACATCGACCTTCCAAGAAACTTACCTTCAGGGCATCCTTGCGAGAGAAGCTTTTATCGCAATGATGGCAAGGGAACGGCTTCACGGACAGATGGATCCGTTTATGTCGCTTCAGGTCGTGGTTCCGGTTGAAACTCTGCGGACACTGGTCACACTTGAAGGGTCGGTCGTTTGTCGGGCCCGGTGGGTGGCCCGCGTGGGATGGATGACCCCCATACATCTGCTGCATGGCCAATTGGCCGCTGTTGAACGCCAGCCGGCCGGGTAGCGGATTGCTGATGAGCGACATATGTCCGTTCGGATTGTGCACGTTCGTCAGCACGGGTCCGTTCATCGCCGGTAACGAATACGAGGGCCACGGCTGTCGCTGATAGTTGAGATGATGCGGGGGCGGATTGGAGGCCACCCGTCCAGGGGGGTGAATCGCTAAGCTGGTTTGACCGTAGGGGCCATATGCCCCCGAGGGATTCGACATCTGCTGGATTCCGGTGTAGGAGGGAGCGGACGAGGATTTGGTCATGTACGGGTCGTTCGAGGGTAGCGACGGCGGGGCCGGTGGCGGATTAGGGAGCGCATTCTGTGCCGCGAGCATCGCATGCGTCATGGCATAATGCTGCGAGTTCGGGCCCGGCATACTCGATGCGAGCGGTTGCTGAAAGGGAGGTAGGTGGTTCATGTCGTACGGCTGGTTCGGGATCGCCTCGGTCCCTGGTGGTGAGGTCGCCGAATGTCGATGGAGATGGTTCCCTGAGGGGGAGAAGGTGTCGCGCGGCGGGTAGGGATTCACACCGGCGCTCCAGGACTGACGGGGTGTAGCGGACGCAGCGGAGTATGAATTTTGGGCGGGCCAGTAGGCGGCGGTATAGGACGAGGTCGGATCGGGGGATGCAGAGACCGCGGCAGTCGTCACGGCAGTGGTGGTCGTGGGCACCGGCGTCTCACCAGACTGCGTCGAGGCGGGCGGCGTCAGAAGGCTATTGACACTGGGATTGTTCGCTGGCTGTGGATGCGCAGGATGGGAGTGATACTTCACCGCGGCTCCTCCGATCTGAAAGTTCGGGGGCGGCAGCTCAAAACTGGGGAGCGACGGCGCTGCGGGTCGACGGGAATTCAACGGTTGAGGGGCAGTCAGCGCATCTAGCGCTGTCCCCATGCCCGGTGGCGGAACCGCAAGAGCAGCCAGGTTGGCGGTGGTGTCGCGCGAGAACCCTAGCGGGTGATACAGATCGGCTGTCTCCACGGGCGGCGGATGAGCCAAGGTCGTGGTCAGCGTGCCGGCAGAATATCCCGTATCGCCTCCGATTGCCCAGTATCGATTGCCAGACAGGCCCCCAGAGACGTCTGGAGGATCCAGGAGGGGCGATGATCGCGGGTCAGCGATCTTACACGGATCACGAACGGAGGAGGGAGATGCGATTCGAAGGGAAAGACAGACTCGAGCGGATTCGATTTTCGTTGTCGCTGGGTCGAGTCTACGGGAATGGCGTGCGGTTCGCAAGGTTCGTTCCACCCAAATCTTTACACGGGAGGCATATCCTGGCGGTGGATGATAAGTCGGCAATCACCGAGAACGCAGAATCCACGAAGGGGAGAGAAAAAGAAAAGCGTCAGCAGCACTCGGGGCGAAGTCACGACAGCCGCATGGCCTGTTGTGGAATCGAGAAAACGATCAAACGTTCACACCGATAAATGGTGAATGGTGGAATCCTATAGATCGAATAGAGCGGAATAGCACCCGATCGAGAGTCTGTGTGGGGGAGACGAGACAGTCCTAAATGAGCGATCGACGGGATTAGTTGAGTTGTCGCGAGTGTTTGCGTGAGAGGGAAATGAGGACTGAGGAAAGAAAAGGATGTAAGAGAAGTGGAATGAAGGGAAAGGGCCGCAGTGGAGGGAAGATGACTTTTATTATTATTTTATTTTTCTCATATTAGGATTTTGGTTTTTGTATAGTCCGAACCGGCGTATCAATGATTAAGGTGAAGGACAGGACCACCAACCCAAAAAAGCGAGAACCAAACCCCAGCAAGAATGGGGACGTATCCAGACCAGTCCAGCGCCCGGTCTGGCCAGCGCGGGGACGGCGAGGGAAAAGCGGTCGTCGGGTTTGAAAATTAAAATTATAATTGAAAAAGAATAAAAAATGGGAAAAAGAAAAAGAAAAATATTAAACCAACTAGCGAAACAATAAGAAGGTCAAATATTACCTGACTTTTCCAAAAACATGGAAAATTAAAAAAGAACTTTTTTTTTTAAAAAAAAAAATTTTCTTTTTCTTTTCTTTTTTCTCTCTTTTTTTCCCAATGAAAAAGTGAATCAACACCGGAGACTAACGCAATTTATGGTTTAGCTCGAACCGGAGAAGATTGGTCGACCAACCAGATTTTCCTCTTTTTTCTTTCTTTTGCTTTCCTTATCGGACCTTGCTTAGTTCTGACTAACTCGGTAAGGTCAAGGAAATCATGCAGGAGGAACGGGGAGAGTGTATGGAGTAAGAGGGGGCGAGACAAAGAGAGAGAGAGAGAGAGAGAGAGAGAGAGAGAGAGAGAGAGAGAGTAAGAGTAAGAGAGACGAGGTGTCCTGAGAAGGCCAAAGAACATTCAGGGTAATTCAACCAGAACCAACGGGAATTCCCTGGTAATTTAATCTATCACTGAATCATAAATAACTACTAGTAATGTATTACTCGGACTATGACTTTCTATAATTATAGAACACAACCCATCAGACGGTAATTAATACAACTGATCAACACCGACAACGTGGTTGACAGGGCTCCAAATGAGTCCACATCCACCTTTCGGTTTGTACCCACGGTCGAAGGCAACCTAAAAGAGGGTCGGGGTTAAGGTACGGTACTTCGTCCCTGTACCCTGAATCTACCACGACGGAAGTATTCTTTTCCTTCTCCTTCTATCCGTAAGAGTAAAAAAAAGGTTCTAGTAAGATGAGACGATTATGAATCATGTCATATGAAAAGCTCGTGACTGTCTACTGCCTGTCGTTTGTCTTTTCTCTCCTCTTTCTCATCATCATCATTATATTATATTATATTAATAAGTTTACTATGACTCTTACCGAATCGGGAAGACGTCGCATTGGGTGACCTCAACGACAGTCATCGTGCTCAACTCATGACTATCAGACTCTCCTTTATGCGTAGATTTCTTTGTGTTCGTTGGATGGTCAATGATACATCTATCAATTGGAACAGGCCGGTGGAGTGCTGCCGTCCCATCAAAAGTTCTCTGAAACTCAGCTGTCTCCCCTTAATGAGTGTTTCCCTGTTTGGTGGAGCACGTAGAATAAGCTTAGCTGCTGCGGTGGACGATCGATGCTGCGACTTGGGAGGGATCCGTGTTCGATCGACATCTGGAGAGAGCATGAGTGAGAGAGAAAAAGAAAAGCAAAATTAATTAGTTACTTTCATATTCGCATTACATAATACGTCAATGGAAAGCAAACAACAGCCGAAAAAAAGAAAAAAAGATACAGGAAGTGGACCAGCTACGGTATGGATCCGATCGAGAAGGACGAAAGATTCCTAGACCGATATGCCAGAAAAGGGGTCACATAAGCGATGGTTTTATTTTATTTATTTATTTATTTATTTATTTATTTATTTTATTTTCATGTGTTGATGATTTCTTGTTTATTCTTTAGAGAGAGTGAGCTATCTTTTGGATTGAGGTCTAGTCCTAGGGAGTCTTTTTGCTTTACATTTTTTTTTTTTTTTTGATTTAATTTAGTTCCTTGAGGGTTAATGTTTGTATTATTCCTTTTCCTGCTTGGTGGCCCTCCTTGCGTCCCGGAATGCATGGCAGATGGGGAATGGAGGGAGGAGGAAGCTGACCAGCCTGAGCTATCATCTTCGTGACTAAGTACCTACTACCTAAAACTAGGAAATATAATTAGCACTCGAACAGACGATACACACGGACCCTCCCACCAGATGTATGTCTGTATGTCAGTATGCACATAATCACCATCTTTATTTCGATTCTTCACAGCAATGAGTTGGTGAAAGACTCACGGAGGCATTGTTTACACCCTGCATAATTGTCAGTCAAGAGACATTCGTCTCACCCAACCAGGAGAAAAAAGCATCAGAAATCTAGAGGGGACAATGAACAAGTTCGTCTCTCGTATTCTGGACTGCTCTAGGCTATTTGCCTTCCGCACGGGCCTTTCCTCGATCCATCCAAGAACCATTCCTCGTCTCAAGGCAAACGAGTGCTGCTGGGTTGCCTTTGCTGTCCTTAACTTCATTCCCAGTGCTTCCTATCGAAATACAGGCATTTTACCTGGGACGACGACAGAGTTAGCAGTTACTACTGACTATTACTACTTAGTAAGTCGAGAGTAAGCTATCCACGCGACTGTCCTCGGCAGACCACGGATTGGCCAAATTACCGAGCAATCAATCCCAACCTATCCTTCATTCTCGTGATTAATGATCCTTCCAACTTTCTTCCAGAGCATAAATAGACTAAAACTGTTCCCGTGCCTCCTGCAGAATACGAAGTCCAAGATTGCCTCCAGGTCCCGGTATCTGGTTCGGATCCGGTGGTCCAATCATTCGCGGGGCGGTCGAGAGAAAGAAGCGAAAAGAAGTCGTGACCAGTGTCAGTTGTTCTCTTCCGGAACGGCAAAACCCGAACAATCTCTGTCAAATACGGAGTAAATAAAATGAAATAATCAAATCAAAACGAGAGACGAGAAACGAAACAAAAAAAAAAAAAACATGGAAACCACGAAAAGAAAAAAAGACACGCTAAATTAGCTTCATCCCATCAGATCCTTACACCAGTTGAGCGTGAGTCTGGGTCTGGGTCTTGTCAGGCTGGCAGTTCGGCTGATGTCGTGCGGCGGCGTGGTTGGCCGATCCGTGACTGGAGGTTCCGCTAAGCCGAATACCGTCTAGTTGGACCCCACTTTGCTTTACCCAATTGGGCCTGCTGTGCATTGGGATCTCGGTCAAGCCCAAATACTATCTCGCCGCCGTCTTACTTGGGGGGATGTTTCTTTGACACACGCAAGCTTTTTCTTTTCTTTTCTTTGGGCGGTTTTTTATTTCTTATTTACTTTTTGATCACCTTGGGAATAGTCTGACTTTGAACTATCTCTACTTTCTTCTTCGATTGCGGTGTTATTTTTTTTTTTTTTACCCCCAGCAGGAGACGGAAAGATGGTGATCATTATTACCGCTGAAATGAGTCAATGGGGAAAAAAAAATATCAAATCAAATCAAATAAAAGAACAAACATAAAGAATCCATGAGTTGATGGAAATTCCGTGTTGTTCTCTGATTGGTCCCCGCCATTCACCGCGCCGGGCCCATGGATGGACTCAGTCAGATTGGATGGAACCTCCCATTCTATCAATTGCACCCGCCAATGACGGCTCCAATCACCCAAGACGGAAACAGACTGGAAATCTTAGGAGGGAGACTAATGAATAGTAGGAATAGTCCGAATAGTACCTAGTAGTAGGAGGGTTTCAATCCTCCGGCTCACACTAACGGTTGAACACCTCCTCATCCGGTCTGTCGGTGCCCAGCAAGCAGAGCGGGGGTTTGACTTCGCCGGGTGAGAGATCTGAGTGGCGGCCACGGTGACAGCTGCGCCAGATGCAAACGGAATGTTTCTTTCTTTCAGGGATGACCTTGGTATGGGATGTACTAGTATTACTTCGTACATTCGTATGATCCATACTACTATCCATTGATTACCCTAACAGTCAGCTTACCGCGTGCCCTAAACAGAGACTATCTATGCATGTCTGTCATTTAGGTGTGGATGTCTGTTGGTGGGTGGGTGGGTGTGCTCGGACGGGACCTGCTCTTTCTCGAGAACAAGAAAGTGAAAGAGCTATTGATCGAGTCGACATAGTTCGTCGTCTCTTTGTTGTTGTTTGCTAGATCTGCATGGTTCAGTGTTCTGTGGCGGCTAGACTATCAACAGGACAGTCCCTCATGAACGACATACTCTTGCCATATATGCATGCAGGCTGTAGGCCTCCACCACGGCCGTGGCTGGACCATTGCCGACCAGATCGATCTGTGCTTGGGTAGGGATTCATACCCAATTCATGACTGGAAGGGGAGACAGTATACAACTCGGCCCATCCGAAACCGCCTTGCGTCCGAACATGCCAATGCATCTCAAACTTTGGTCGTACGGGCGTATAGAGTTTGCTCCCCCCAAGCATGCAAAAGCGTATTTTTTGTTCGATGAGAGAATAAATGTAGGGCAAAAAAAAAAGAAAAAAAAAAGAAAGTAATAATAATACTCATGATAAGACACAAAGTACGGGAACACAGGACTGGGAATGAACCTCGACCCTCCCCCCATCCAGGAAATTAATTTGATCAGTCCAAAGTGAAATGGTGAGTTGTTTGCCTGCCTTTCTGACTATACAGACTTCCTAGTCAGGATGAATCAAAGGTTTTCCCTTTCCACCTCCTGAAATGGGTTTCTCCAATCAATCCAAAATCGTCCTAGTGGAGTAAAATGTATCTCGAGGATCCTACCTCATTCAACTGTTTACACCTTTTATCACCCCCTGGTTCAAAGCCGATTTGTTCTTTCTTTTCTTCTTCTTCTTCTTCTTCTTCCCCCCTGTCCACCCCCTGCACGATGCCTGTCACTTTTGTACTCTAACGAACGACTAAAACGAAGTTAAGGTCAAGCCACCCAGACGACCGTGCATAATACCACACAAAATGCAACACTCAAGATCGGGTAGGAGAGAGACTAAGGATTTTAGTGCCTGTGCGACTCGCTTTTGTCCCCCCAAAAAGGTCCGTACCTTCTTCGTCTTAGCGCGGACGAGAGGTATGTCTGTTGACCGGAACAAGGGATGGACTTTTCTCAGGTTCTAGATCGCGGCAAAAGTATGTTTGGATCTCCTTTCTGGACACTGGACAGAACAATCTGGGAATCCGGGGAGGGGGGGGACTGTCACATGATAGCCATGCGACAGAGCCGACTGCTCCCTCGTCTTCTGGTATTCAAGAACCCAGGGTTGAAAAGCCAGAGGTTTCTCTGGGGAAGAGAGGGGTCACGAGACAAAGTTGACCTGCAGCGACCGGTCTAGACTATGACTCTTTGCCTGGTATCTCTCATAGGGTCATTGATTTATTTTATTCTATTTTTTTTTCTTCTTGAGGATCGTAGTCTCTCGGTCGAGAATGTTCATCAAATGCCATGAGGAAACAGAAGGGATTTGAAAGAAAGCAAGAAGGTCATCTAGATTGTGCCATGGCTGACAATTAGGGTTAGGATGGCTCTCGGCAGTGGTGACGGAGAAGGCGTTGTGGCTGTCAGGCTTAATCTTGCTACAACTCTTTAACTAAAAAAATAATAATAATAAAACAAAAAAAATAATAATTACTTCTCGTAAGCTTTCGGAAAGAAGAATCTGACTGCAACTCTATCGCCATATCTGCGCATCATGACACTTCTGTTTCAGCAACAGCTGCGTCTTCTTGATAAACATCGTACTTGTACTGACTGCCTGGATGATCCGCGCGCAACTCTCGCTGGCCTTTGCCATACACCTTCTCTCGCGCTGTCAGCCCCTCCGCCTCCGGTGCAGCAGGATACAAACCCCGCCGCCGCAGCTCAGGAATCAACAAGTCCACCACCTCTTCAAATGTTCCCGGTGTGGTTACATACCCCAGATTAAACCCATCCAGATCTGCCTCCCGAATCCACCGCTCCATCTCGTCCGCCACGCGCTGCGGACTCCCAATGCCCACCGGTCCCAAGCCCCCAATCGCCGCCTTCTGAGCCACCACTCGCGGCGTCCACTGGGGCACATCCTCGCTGGTCGTGGTAAAGGCATCCAACATACTCGTCACCTTATGCGCCTCCAATGAATCCGCCGCCGTGATATCTTGATCCAGCGGAATCCGGGAAATATCGATGCCCGTCCACCCGCTGAACAGCACCAACCCGCCCACCACGGACGCGTACTTCTGTAACTCCTCATACTTTGCCTGCGCCTCGTCATCCGTGCGCCCGATGATCGGCGTAAACGTCGCGAAGAACTTAATCGACCGCGGATCCCTCCCTTGCTCCGCCGCCAGCTTCCGGATGTGATCGATCTTCGGCCGTAGCACCGCCGGCGAATGACTTGACACGAAGATCGCCTCGGCATGCGTCGCCGCGAACGCTGACCCCGCTGCCGACGTCCCGGCCTGGAACAGGAAGGGTGTGCGTTGTGGTGACGGATCGACGATGTGCCGCGTGTTCAGGGAGAAATACTTCCCCTGGTGGTTGATCTGGCGGACCTTGGCCGGGTCAACGTAGGTATCTGTTTCGGGGTTTGGGGATAGAGCATCGGGGGCCCAGGATCCTTCCCAGAGTCTATCTTCTTAGCTTTCTTTCTTTTCTCTTTTCATTTTTTTTTTTCTTCCCCTTTTTCTTCTCTTCCTCTTTATCCCTTATCCTCAGTCTAAAACCCCTCGGAAATGAAAACAGGAAGGAGAAACCTACTTATAAGCAACCCTCAGATACTCATCTGCCTGCCGATACCGCTCATCATGCTCAATCGGCGTATCCAATCCAATCGCCTTAAACGCCGCCTTCTTCCACGACGTGACGATATTCCACCCAATACGCCCGTTCGTCAAATGATCCAGCGTCGAAAACCGCTTCGCCAGTAAAAAAGGCGGCTCGAACGACGTCGACGCCGTGATTCCGAACGCGAGATTCTTCGTCACAGCCGCCATGGCCGAAATAGGCTGTCACCATGACACTAATCAGCCGCAACTCTTACCATCAAATACCCGTAACCAGTCCGGCAAGTCTATAACTAGAGAGAAAGAGGGGACGTACAATTGTAGGATCTGTGACCGGCCACTGCGCCGCGCGCCGAATACACTCATCCAAACTGCCTTCGTAGGTATCATATCCACCGTAGGTATCTGCGAGGAAGAGGGCGTTGATGCCGCCACGCTCGAGTAACTTGGCTAGTTCGATCCAGTAGGTGAGGGAGCGTTTTGTGGCGGATTTGTCGGCGGGGTTCTTGTTTCTTTAGTATTGTTCTATTATATCGATGGATGTGGGGTTGATTGAGAATAGAAGATACCTTCCATTGTCCAGGGGACAGATGTCCTACAGTGGACATGTCGAATGCATTCAACAGAATCTGTTTCTTGGGGGTTGTGCCATTGGCATCGCCGGTGTGGTCTGGTTGAGTTCTAATGTCGCCCATTTTGTTTCTCTCTTGTCCTTTAATATGTAGATTAGCTGATATCGGAATTGAAAGATTGGCACATTTGAGGATTATGTATATTCCATCTATTTAGCTACACATACACTCATCTATATATCTATATGAGAACCAACAATTGAGAATAGAGAATTGAAATTGACCCCGCATATCTCGCCATCAAGAACTGACATCACGTAACCGGTAGATAACTAGCTCATGCTGTCGGTAGAAATTATTTGATCATGCAGGGGTAAGATTCGTCATTGGGTCCGCTTGATGCGTGATATTCTATCTGCTTTTCTTTGCATGTTATTTGTTAAGATCGAAGGTATGGTTGGTGCAGAGGTCTAGACAGATAAGTTTGCTAGTTGGAGAGCAATGCGGAGATATATTGTTAGTTAGGGTTTCATCATTGTAAGGCGGATTGCGTGATAGGGGAGTTTAGTTTGATGGTGCGGTTCTCGGTATGAAGGTGGCTTGTTTGGGGATTGAATTCTGGTTGGGTTTGATTTTTTTTCCCCTTGTGCATATAGAATGCTGTTGTGTTCTTGCTGTTCTGATATCAATATCAGAGGTTCAAGTATCTTCTCGTTAATTTACTAGGAGTATCAATCAAGCTACAATTCAATGACCATCTTGAACCCGCAACAAATCACTCTTCTCAGTGATCTGCCACCTCAAACTGACTGATACTAATTTCATCCATAATTCTCAAAGATACTAAGCGACGACTGAATGTCCGTTGACATCCAATATCGCAAATGCACCGCCACGCGAGAATCCCCCGGTATGCTTGAATGGGCTTTGTGCATCTCAGTCTTCTTCTGGTATATGTAATGTCCAGGCTAACTTTCTTCTTGAGTGTCCCCGCCATGGAGAATACAACTGTTGTAAATGCTACTGCAAAGTCAACCTGTGTTTCATAGTCGGCTTGCCCGCTGTCGTTGCTCCGTTCGTTCAGGTTATGGTCCTGATGCGTATATCCTGACAGTACACTGACGTTGCGGAAGAAGTGGACGTGAAGACCATCGCATGAACTCGCTGATTTAATATTGCTGCTTTGCAGATTTCCAAGTTCCCTCTTGGCTTACCACTCGCAGGGATTGCGGGATTTGTAACCCCGATGACAATTTGAGCGTGGTCGCCAAACACAGTAGTGTGCTAGAGTTGTCCTGGTATGTATTTCCACAGACATAATTGGCCTGGCCCACGTGTTCCCAGAATAACGCCAGCTGAAGCAAGCATGATCAAGATTCTTAGAGCCGCGGATCTTAGGTTAAATGATGTCTTCGATATCTTTCAGTCCCATGGTATCGAATAGTTTGTCTTGTGAGGAGATAAGGCAAGTAGCTGGGAATCATAGAGAGAGCATTTGATTCGGGTTAGGAACTCACTCACAATACCCTTTCTCCCTAGATCTAACCGCGAATAGGTGGCATGTCCTAAGCATATGTAGCGAAGACAGCGGACAATGCGTTGTAGTCACTGACATTGCAAGAAGGTACTTTGACAGTGACTCCGCGTTATTCTAATTCGCGAATAAGATCAATCGCCGCCTGCCATGCTCCATGGAATCCAAACATCAGATCTTTTTCGCATGGTTCCACAGTGGCGATAGCAGTGAAACGGCATCCATCTTGAGTAATCTGGCACTCCCCAATATCCCCGTCATAAGCGAATGAACTATATTCCGTATCATGGTAGCCTCAAGAGCTTTTCATAGGTTCTTGGTAATTTCAAGCGTTGAAATGGAATAATATCACTGATGTACTTGCGAAGCAAGGGCGATGTTTACATATTTATGTACATAGGATATCGGTCGTCGAAATTAACCGATTGACAGAGATCAATAGGCGAGTCGTCACATTATGATCGGCATGGAAAATACCATATGCACCGTCTGATATTACAAGTATTCTAAGATTTTAATTGCTGACATGCATAGTTCTCAGGCGGGGCATTCCACTGGAGCCTCTCAGCGTGCTCCATTTTTTGGTGACAATTCCAAAGACCAATTACTTGCTTAGAGACATATCCAATTACTTGCCTCATCCAAATGTTTCCCTAAATGTCTCTGTTTGGGTGCGGGGTTTTAGTGACCCTGGTCATGTCAACATGCTAGGAGGCAATACATAGATGATAAGCGTTATACTACTATTTTTGTCCCAAAGCGACCTTCGGAATGTAGTAGAGCATTTGTAATGTCACGTTTCACAAGACAACACATCTTTCTTCTCCCACTCTTTCTATAAATCAGCCCCGGATTGCAAAGTCCGTTGAGCTATATAGTACTGCAGCATTGAAATATTCTTCTTCCTTTCTTCCAATGTCTACCTTGCCAAACGATACCACTTGCGAGCAGTATGGCCGGGGTAGCCCTTCAGCCTAGTGGTGCCATGACACTTCGTGTGTCGGCTTCCATGATGAGTTTGGTTTTCATTGCCCTAATGTTACGTGTATGGGCCCGTCAAAAGACACATCGCCGCCTCTTGAGTGAGGAGTATTTCGTTTTGCTAGCAGCGGCCTTTTTCTATTTAAATCAAGGGATTTATCTTTATGGTCCGTAAAGGATTACCTCCTTGCTCATAGTGGTTCTGATTAGGCTAAGATCTGCAGCTATTATGGGTAATGGAGGGACAGGAGGTGCCGATCTGAATGCCTATAGCCTTGCGCAGTTTGATCGGTATTCCAAAGTCAGTCAATCTGACCGTGCCTGCTGGCAAGGTTGCCGCACTAAAAGCTTGATAGTATATTCTTGCCGATGAAATCAGCTTTGTTCTCTCCATCACCTTTGTGAAGCTATCCATCTTACTTTTCTATCGCCACATCTTCACTCTGCGAAACTTCCGACAAGTCAACTGGGTCCTTCTGGGTACCGTTACCTGCTGGGGGATTATTGCACTATTTGTCGTCATCTTTCAGTGCTTACCTGTTCACGGACTATGGAGCATGGAAATGAAGCTGACCGGTCAGGTAACCTGTCTCAACTCACCAAAAATGATTTTCGGGTTCGAAATTACCAACGTCTTGATTGACGTGACAATCTTAATACCCTCCGTCTTCATGGTCCAGCGACTGCAGCTGTACCCTGTCAAGCGAGCTAGTCTGAGCATTATCTTCCTCTTGGGTCTCTTGTGGGTTTCATTCTATCTCATAGCATCCATCCTGGAAGGGGGGTTCGTACAAGCTGATCTTCCCCTTATTAGTGTCTGCATCACTTGCGGCTTCCGTGCACACTACATCTGGGATCCGGCTACAGGAAAGGCACGTAAGTACCCCGAATACAATTTCCCGGTCGGTGAGGAATTAATTGAGGCCTTTTAACAGGGAGCGTGCCGGCATCCATGGACTGGACCGCGGTTGAGCAGGCTTCCGCGATTGTTTGTGCCTGTCTGCCCACATATGGCCCACTTTTCTCAAACATCAGCCACCTTATCGCCGGGTTGAAGGCGTGGTACCTTTCACTTCGATCGACCTTGCAACGGATATCCCGAGGATCATCAGATAGCAAGACGAAGAACCTAACTTCCCACAGCGGCCATAGTGTAAAATCTTACAGCGACTGCTCCCAGATGGAAATGGGGCCTATGCAGGAGACGGCACAGGAGGCTGTATAGGCTAAGACCAGCGGGCGTTCTTGAGAAATGATCTGACAGGGGGATCTCCCGCTTCACCTTATGGGCCCCCCCCCCACCCTAAGCATGACTCGCGTGCATGCCACTACCACATAAGTAGCTTGCGTGAGGTTGCATCGGGTGCCTTGATGTTGGGGGCCTTTTTCTTTGAATGCTGGTTATCTTTGTCTGCAGTTATTATCTAGGTGCATTTGCGCTCAGTCACACCGAAATAACGTCGATCCTTCCTTAATCTACTCTAGGGGCGACTGAATGAACGCATGTGCGGAGTAGAATTCTATGGATAGAAGCTATTACTATACGCAAGTATATAGCCGCCGAGCTCCCAACTACTATTACTATTCACTTGTAACCTGGCCTCTCTACTAATCTTCTCCTGACCAACTCCTAGTATTCTGAGTTGATCATGCCGTCGGTCCATTCTACTCTGTACACAACATATACTTTCCTCACTCTCCCGGCACGTTTGGTGACCTGGTGGCTATATTATATCCCCAAGTCTAACCGTCCCAGCGGTCCAGTCCATGCCGGTTGGCGCTGTCTGGTACCCGACTGTCCCAGTCCAGCCACCGCGAAAGCTCATCATCCATTTCCACCCAAGTGCCTATGTGCTCTTCGGCCCGCGACCTGGAGATGGATGTGGCTGGGGGCCCACGAAATTCAGTAGGCTCTCGGGATGGCCAATACTTTCGATCCAATACCGGCTCTCCTTAGACGCAGACAAAACCTTCCCAGCCGCCGTCCAGGACGGAATCACTGCCTATATCTACGCGTTAAGAGACCCTCAAAATCCCACCATCCCAGATCGTGCTCTCGGGCGAGTCCGCAGGTGGGAATCTCATTCTAGCGATGCTCCGGTATATCACCACAGAGAACCAGGCGATACTTCTACCTCGCTGCGCGCTGTTATGGTCCCCGTGGGTTGATATGACCCAGAAGGCTCTTCTGAATATGGAAAAACACCGCAATTACAAGTCCGATTATATTGAATATGATTTCGGTTCCTGGGGTGTCAGTAGCTATATCCCCCCCTGGCTGGTCTGACAGTAATCCCTATTTGTCGCCGCTGGGCAGCGAGTACCGATTGGGTGTTCCGCTTTTCATTGAAGCTGGCACGTCTGAGGTGCTTTATGATGACATTGTGCAGTTCGCGCTCAACATGAAGGAGAAGGGCACGGAGGTTGAGTTACATGAAGCTCCGCATGGGGTTCATGCGACTTTTGGTATCGCCGATGCTTTGGGGATGCCTGAAATTGCTATAGATGGTCATGCGCGTAGGGCAAGATTCATTGCGAGAACGGGCGCAGAATGAACGATTGGATATATCGATCTAACTGGGAGCATTCAAGGAAATCGAGAAATGGCAGTGAGGTATATTTCCGGAAGCTCAAGTGCTTCCTAGATAATACGTACTCCAGTCTACATATACAAAAGAAAACTGTTGGGGGGAATAAGGTGTTCAAGGCACGACCTTGATGTCAATGGCATTTTGGTCGAGTGGGATTGACAAAAACTATATGCGTAAATAGAATCAGGGCCGGGCAGATCGCTTGTAAAGCGAACGAAAGTGTATGCAAATTCCCAGATTTTGGGGGGAATAGCCTTGAATCCACTCACACGACGCGTTGAGAATTAGTTCAGGCTCTTCTACCACCGGGTATACCCGTTTGATGTGTTTACGCTGCTCTTCTAGAAAATGTCTACGGGCCCCAGAACACATAATACCTGGACTTCTTTAAGAACCTACTGATTTCGAAGGATGATGGGGATTTGTCATGGATAACCGAAGTGACTGGTATTCTTTGTTCCACATAACTCTTTCTCTGCGTATTGTTTTGAACAATAGATTGTTCGGGATAGTGTTCGGATCAATCACTTCCTCGAGAAATGTCCCTCTGCTGGTTCTTGTACAAAGTTATTCTTAGTATATACGATATTTACGAGTAGTAGTCATCAGGGTAAAGCTGTCAAGATACATCCTGATCAGCGGACTGTCCATATATGCGAAACTGATATGTGAGAGTAGGTGCGATAATGTGCACAAAGGGTCCTAAGCAAGACAATGTAGAAGGTTTTTTCACAATATAAGATGAATAGTACATCTATGGGAGATTCTGGCTGGATCTATTGGAATTTACCAAGAATTGTCAAGTTGCAGACAACTGTCTAACAATGTCTCAATAAGATGACAAGAACAATCCCATTCAGTGTCACATTGGATATTCGCACTGTAAGACTATACCTTGTCTCTAATACTCCTATATTAGGAAGCCCGCATCACCTTGCCTTTGTTCCGAAGTTGAAAGCAGATCCTTTGAGTGTTACCAATTACCGTTTGAAGAACCCTTTCATCTCACCTTGCCGGACCGGAGACATGCGTCTCGCTCAGGACCTCCCCCTCCTTCAAGGAGGAATTTAACAACACTGTCCTAGTTATATACGCAGACTGGACCCTGACTGTCGCACAAAATGCTTTCACAAAACCAGCAAAATGGATCTGGAGGATCTTCCACCCTTCAGGCGCTTGCCCTCTGAGCTGATCAGACTCATATTCACACTTATAGCCAATGACGAACCCACGAGCCTCCACAATCTCAAATTAGTTAGCAGGTTGTTCTACAATCATGCTAGTAGAGCAGCCAGGTCTATAATTTGCCGCGATGTTGTCATCAAGGTATGCAGGCATTATGCCTTAACGAAATCAACCGAGAAGATCGTGGAAGGGCTTAACCAGACAAGGGGTTTCCGCTATGCCCGTCGGCTTATAGTTGAAGAAAGCCCTGGCACTTGCGAGGTGGATGCTCCTTGTAAGGCGCATTTTAATTGGCATCCGCCTGAGCTTGCTGGACTCAGACGCACGGATCTGGATGGGCCATATGAGGCTACGTGTGCTGCAGCTTTGCAGGAGACACCGTTGTGTCCGAATACTCGCGATGAAGACGTCAAAATGGGTAATAAACGAAACTATGCATGGAAGCCCGTGGCAGAGTTGATTAGATATCTGCCTGCTCTAACAGATCTGTTCTTCAGATGCGGCGGCCAGTTTCCTGTCTGCATTCTTGATGCCATGCATCGCTGGGCACCCAGATCGAGGCTACATCTCCAGACATGCACCTTGCAGGGTATGGACACACTCATGGAAGGCTCCCAAGAGCACAAGTTAACATTCTCGCCACGCTTGCATAGTATTATGTTACAGTACAATGAAAAAGGTCTGTATAGCTATGATAACAGCCCTTGCTACAAAATGAAGACTATACAACGTCTGGTAAAGTCAGCCCCGAATCTAAAGGAAGTACAAATCACCCGTCGCGAGGCTCCCAAGAACTTTACATGTGTTCCTATACCTAGTCCTTTGCAAAAGCCCAAGACGGAAGAGGAAGATACCTCCCTGCCTCCCGCATCGCTAAAACTCTTAAGAATCATTGACCAGGTCCCTCTAACAGCTATGACACTTATTTCCTGGGGAAAGCACACCAACTTCTCCGAGCTAGAAACCCTTGAGCTGTGTTCACTGGCCGAACCGAAGGCCCTAATTGTCTGGTCCCAGCAGCTCAAATTCCCAAAGCTAAAAGCCTTGTATTTACAGCTCAAAGCCCATGCTTTTCTCGAGGAGGACGCTCCTACCACCGAGTTCTACGAGGCGGCAACTCGTTTTATAACGAGTCTTCCACCATTGAAGGAATTGTACTTAGAGTGTTGGCACTCGCTGGCATCTTTGGATTCGCTTGTTCATCATCATGGCTGTTACTTGCGAAAGCTAGACCTCCCAGGTCCCCAGGCCTGGCAATGTTTAACTGAACGCGACATCCTCCGGCTTGGCAAATATTGTCCACTCCTAGAAAGCCTGGATCTCATGATCCCCCGCTCAGAGGGCGACGCCAGAGAAGTTGCCCTGTATAGAGCTATAGGAACCATACCACGTCTACAATACCTCCACTTGCACCTGGACGTATCGGAGGCATCTCTCAGTAGAGGACAAGATCATGTGGAAACAGATATCGATCAAGAATTCCGTCGCGATTTCAACCCAGTCCGGAACACAAACTCCAAACCGCCCAGCGAGCCATCATTCGACAACTTTGGCAACAAGTTCACCGTCAAGGACCTAGGGGGCTTCTACCGAAGCCGTAATGGACACGTCCAACGATTATTCAGAAACAGCGCCATAGACTCGAACCTCGCATGCTCGATCTTCAAAGCCATATCCGGAAACACGGCTACAGGCTCATCATCACAGCTGGAAAGAATGAGCATTCGACTCCAGTGTAGCGCGTTTGGAACTGGTACCTTGTTCAGTCACTTGGCTCATATTTTCCCTTGCGCGTGGCTGGTCGAGCGGAATTCACGCGATGATCGTCGCGATGAAGTGTTTGCTACGCAGGTGGCTTCGTGTCCTTATGGGAAGGCTTATTTCAAATTGAAGTTTCCGGGATTTATGGAACCTTGTAAGGAGGTTTTTAGAAGCGTTTGGCCGAAGCCAGTTGGGATGGAAGTGGAAGGTGCTTGGTGGGATGATTGGTGTGGTTTTCCTCTTGAGACAGAGGGTTTGATGGGTTGAATTTGTATATACTATGATTTGGTTTCTGGCCATACGAAGTAGTGGATAATTCATAGTTGAATGTGAGCCGCCGTCCTTTTTAATCTGGATTTGGTGTCGTATATGTCGACATTTTCTCACTCAGTCAGGAGACCAAGTGACTAACAGTCTCACATTGAACTTTAGATACTTGAATTATGAACGGCGATGTGACAGGATTAATTTTGTCAACTATGTTTCCAGACTACAATGACTTTACAAAAGTTTGAAATCAACTTGTAGAACGGTGATCTTATTCTACTATTCCCAATAAGTAGATGATTATCCATACCAAAAACCAGTTGATGAAACTTCTCTAAGATATTCCCCTCTTCTACTACATCCCCGTCTCTTGTCTATAACTACTGCCAGTCCCAGATCAGCGTGGCTGTCAGAAACCAACAATATAATACCTCCATTACTTCCAGCCACGGATGAAAGCCAGTGGATATATCCCTGGCAAAATACTCCTCGCCAACAACTACCCGAGAATATTTCTCCCTGAACAGCAACAAGTAGCTTTTCTAAGACCCGTGCTTTTTTCTTATATGTCGCCTGGGCAAACGTTACCGTTAAAAAACTCTGCTCATAACATGAGGAGAGAATGGATGGTATCATAGGGTTGTTCTTCGTGAGATATTCATATTTCGGGGCCTGGGGCATTCACCTTGAACCGCCGGGTCCTCGAACAGGTTGACCTGCTGTAGCTCCTAGATACACATTGCGGTTATTGGAGTAAAACTACTCAAGACTTTCAAGAGGGATATAAGCTCTGACCTAAGCGTCTATCATGGGAGACATTGGTTTTTGAAAAGGCTGTTGGGTTGTTGGTCAAGCTCTGGAACTACAGGGATTTGCGACTAGTCTTCACACGACGGCGGAGGTGTGTTGAGCTGAACCGGCATTTGTGATGTGATTTGGATGCCTGGTTATACTTGTCTTGTATATCGCGAATCGAATGGGTAAATTGTTTGCATCACCGGCAACGGCTCCTTCGAAGAGTGGGATGTAAAAGTCAAGGTGTTGAATCCGGTTCAATCGGTGCCTCCGATGAGATTCCTTTACCACAGTCGAGTATGTTCTCCAATTTGAGTGCCTTCGTGGTGTATTGTCCACTCAGTTGATCGAGCACCCATTTGTTAATCTTGTCCTGGTCCTTAGGTACTTCCTTGAAATAGTCAATATCAGTAGGTTTGACTGAGCCACCGCGTAGTTGTTTGCGGCGGATGCCCTTTAGGTACGGAGTGACAACTCGGTTTTTCTTTATGAACTCCAGTTCCCAAAGCCTGCTTTGGACACGCCAATCCCTCATTGCTATTCTGAAACTCATGACTGTGTCTATCAGGGTCTTTGCATGCTCTCTGTGCATCTGTAAGACCTGTTCCAACAGGGTAGTTTGTCCTGCCATTGTTTGAACAACAAGACTTCTGTTGCCTTAATGATCTTGCCACCTATATCTGTGAACTCACAGTACGGAGCTTTGATCTTTATCCTCAGCAATACCGGCTCGTAAGCACTGATCCAGCTAATTGGACCATCGTCCCCAACAACTGTTTTTCTTCAAGTATTGACGGCATCCTGGGTGGGTTCAATTTTAATAGTAACGTGAAAGGGCTATTTGCGACGAACGAACAGACAATGTGCTAAGATCACGTATATATCACTCTCTATAATTACTCGAGGAAAAGGCTTGTTGACTATCCTTGTTTGGAGAAGAGCGATGCATATGCCAAGGGAAGTATTTTATGCAGCTTCTATGTTAGTATGGATTCTAACTCTGATCATAGATTGCCTTACATTGTCTAAGGTCAATCTCAACATGTTTTGAAGTCCTGTGCACTCTAGGGCGTATATACCTCATTTGCATGCCATACCTTAAGATTCACTGTCATTGGTCATGGAGTTTCATAAAAAAAAAAAAAAAAAAAAAAGTAGAATAAGAAAGCTTTATACGAGCTTATGAATCCAGCTAGGACAACAGTTAAAGCAGTACCCATAATAGGGGTTAGAGTAATGGTATCTCTCCAGACCATATGGCGGGCCAGTACCATGGCGGTGATTTTCGACATGCTTGAATCTTCATAACGAGTTCCTAGGAAGCAAGGATCACGACTATCGATACGTAGTTTGATCATCATAGTAGCACGAGCAGTTCGTTGTTACATACGTAACACATTGCAATTTATGCAGATACCGACGTCTCCTCGTTCCAGGGGTTTGAAGCCCCCGCCATCGTCATTATGCTCGCCGTCGTTACTGTCAATTTCATCAGCATCCGCTGTGCTGGACAGGCTGAGGTGCATACGTAGATGTAGTTGTGTATGGGTTGGCATGTTCACAGACAGTACCTGCCTGCCTGTCCGGGATATGTTTGACAGAGTGGAAAGGGTCGTTTCTAAATAACATGATTCTTCCAGCAAGTACATCTCAGCATTGCTTGATTGGCAAGTGGCAGATTTTGAAACTAGATAGACTTGATGCGTGTAAGATCATATTCGACGGAGTACTTAAGATTGCCTATTTCAAGAGTGTAACCTTTGAAGGACTCATCTGGATAACGATTAGTCAAGTATAGATGCCGTCTCACCAGTTATTCGCCGATGAAAGAATAGTAGCCCTAAAGGCGACTGCCCACTTCCGAGTACCGTAGAATGCGATGACTAGTGCTCCGCAACGGAGTCGGTGAAGCTTGATAGGATTAACGCCAGCCTCCTAAGGCGAGGCCTTTCTTGGCTGGCAGATGCACTATATTGGTTGATTATCATAATCAGACGTGGTCGCGCAACAGTCTCCTATTTGAAAGCTGATGTTCTGTGAGGAAGTACTGTTTCGTCTCCACAGGTGCCTCTAAACTGATATATACCAGTTAGCAAGCATCTCTGAGTGAAATTTCTGGAAGACACCCTTGTCTTACTACCTATTAATAAAATTTAATTCACTCAAGAATCTCGATTTCGTATCTATTGCATCTTCCATCACTTCTTTTTCTTCTTCTTCCTTGTACTTTCTTCTCTTCCTTCTGTTTGCCACCATAGTCTTAAAACTTTTCATCGGTTGAGATAAGGCACAAGATCCATGCCGGTTGCTTTCTCCCATCGAAACTAGAGGTATCGTGCTTGGCATGGATAACCAGGAAGGTCAGACACATGGTCAAGTACGCGAGTCAGTAGTCGTTAGACCAGTATATTCAAGCCCGCCCCCTGCTTTGACCTTAGTGTCATATTTTACACTTCCGGGATACACATTACACAACCAAGGTGAGACTTTCGCTTTCTTGTCGCCAATCAAAGTGTAATACCCTTTATAGGCCGTAATCCACCGTTCGTTATTCAGATCGAGGGCTACTGGCAGTAGGCACTCGTTTTCTCCCACATTGCCTTTAGCATCAATGTCTGCTGGCCATTTACATACCATTTCATTTACCGTAGCAAAGAGTATCGCCATGACTTTCCACGCCTGGGACACACAAATGGTAAAGTGATAAAGCGAAGCGAGGAATACAAGCGGTAGAGCGAAGCGAGAGTAACATATAGAGTGCACAGCAAAGCCGTTACTCTGTCGAGACCCATGATTCATATTCCTCAATTAAGTCCTTTCCATTTGATACTTGGTCAAGAGGGTACTATCTATTGTGCTCGTTGCTGAACCCTGACCATTTAATCTGATATTCAGTCATGGTCGTTCCCTTGTTCTCACCCCATAAAGGTAGGATGGTATAAATCTATCACTGTCTTCCAAGTATTGGCCGTGTACCTGTTAACTTGGCCTCGGTCCATTATTATCATGTTAACCCCCGCTGGATCCATTGGGGTCTTCAGTAATATTGTCTCTCACATCATGCGACTGGCTGACGAATCAACTCTTCATCCAAGAGGTCGTCCACAAAAAGGAGGACCTTCCTCCGCACAGCATCCAGGCGCTCATCGCAGGTGATGGTCTCCCCTTCACTATCAACCGGGATATTGCGCCCAAAGCTGGCAAGGCCGGCAAGGCCACAAGTCTCTTTCAGTTGGTCTTCCATGGTTTAACAAGCTCTTTACAGCCATCTCCCATGTAAGGAATATAGGCGAAAAGAAAGTCGAAGGGATATACTAGGACCTCCATCGCCTAAGCCTGTTCTGCAGGTAGTGAGGAGCACAGCAACCTGCACTTTTGAATCGTGTCTTTGGGTGGTTTGAGTGTGGAAGGGGAAGACGAGAATTTGTAGGTAGGTAGACTGCTTATATACCCTTCTAGTAGGGTCGCATTCACCATATTTAGTTGACAATATTCATCAACGGATGGCTATCTTGCTTTCACTTTCTGAGAGTACACTTTCACTGAGTGATATACTAAGATCAGCCGATCTATTCCAAATGCAGCTAATTTGACATGCCGGGAATCGACCCATTTCCGGCTGAATAAACTGTGTCACGAATACTCGAGACCATGCCAAGAAAATAGTATACTCCAACTATCAATGAAGTCTACTAGACAATGTCCAGAATTAGGGTTATCAACAGATGCTTATCAGACTTTTGGCTCGTGGCCATAGCGGCCAATGACAGGCATGAAGGGAGCCGGGATGATGCTGCAGACTTATCAGTCTTTTATGACCTCCTCATTTCCTTATCGGGGCACATCCCATTTCCTCATGCATACTAATCCCCCCGGAATTCCTTTCCTGTCATTTATTTCAAGTTCATGCTGCCCTCTTGGAATATATGGGGTATGATTGACGCCCCCTATACCCATTTATACATATTTTCAGAAGACTATTGGCACATCGTTACTGCTTACAGCTGGGGTTGCATCGAGCCCTAATTGACCCCACCCCACCCCCCCCCCTTGCATCGTGCATCTTTCGTGGCTGCGGTCGATCATCCAGCTTGGTGTGGAATTCCCAACTCTACTATTCTCTTTTAAACACACGCCCTTCTACGAGTCCACAGACAATTCTTGCCGGAATGAAGCTCCGACCTCATCTCCGTGTCCAACAGTCCCGATCAGCCTTCGCAAAGGGGAATGCACGATGGACAAACCTAGACTTAGATCCTGTTCCCCGCCATCTCCGACAATGGGGACCCGTGAGCTTCATCTGCATGTCTCAGAAACCCTCCCAAAATCCAGTCTAAACTAACATTCCACCAGCATACTGGATCTCCGACGCCTTCAACGCAGCCACCTGGCAATTCGCCAGCAGCATGATGGCCGTGGGCCTCGGCTGGCGGGACGCCCTCATCATCATCGCCATCTCCTTCTTCATCATCTCATTCGTCATCGCCGGAAATGGTGCCGTGGGTGCCATCTACCACATTCCATTTCCCGTCATCGCCCGCGCCAGCTGGGGCTTCTGGGGCTCGTACATCGCCATCGTGTCAAGGGTCATTCTGGCGCTGTTCTGGTTTGCCATTCAAAACGTTAATGGCGCTAATGCCGTGCGCGCCATGATCGGTGCCATTTGGCCCAGTTTCCTCACGCTGAAAAATGATATCCCGGAGGGTGAGGGTATTACTACGAATGGGATGGTGTCGTACTTGATCTTCTGGCTCGTGCAGCTCCCGTTTCTGTGTATTCATCCGAATAAACTTCGGTGGCTGTTTATGGTGAAATCCGTGCTAGTGCCGATTGCCTGGATCGCTATCTTTATATGGGCGTTTGTCGCTGAAAGTGGTGGAGGATTACTTCAGCAGAAAGCGACGGTGTCCGGGTCGAAATACAGCTGGCTGTTTCTAGCTAATATGACCAGTGTACTAGGGAACTATGCAACACTCAGTGTCAACCAGGTAGATATATATCACCACAATCAGGGACCCCTTCCCCTATCATTACCACTATCACACACACACACACACAACCACCCATCTATCCCATTATACAGACAAGATACTAACACCAAGAACAATCAAGTCCGACTTCTCCCGCTACTCCCGCGTCACCGCAAAATGGCAACTCCTGTACATCCCGATGCTCCCCATAATCTTCACCTTCCTATCCTTCATCGGCATCGTGGCCTCCAGCGCCGGCTATGCCCGCTATGGCGGCGACACCATCCCCTGGGACCCAATCGTACTAATCAGCCACTGGAGCAGCCGAGCCTGTCGGTTCTTCGGGGCCTTCAGCTTCGCGCTCGCGTCCCTGGGCGTGAATATCTCGGCAAACTCCATCTCCGCGGCCAATGACCTCACGGCCCTAGCTCCGGGGTATATCAATCTCCGGCGCGGGCAGATCATCTGCGGATTACTGTCGTGGTGTTTGGTTCCTTGGAAGATTCTGGTCTCGGCGGGGAACTTTTTGAATTTCATGTCTGCTTATGCTATCTTTCTAGGGCCGATTGCGGGGATTATGTTGTTTGATTTTTGGGTGTTGAAGGATAGGAAGTATGATACGTTGGCGTTGTATCAGATTGAGAATCCGACGTATCGGTATGGAGGGAAGTGGTGGTGGTGGTGGGGTGTGAATTGGAGGGCTGTGCTGGCGTTTGTGGTGGGTGTTGCGCCTAATTTGCCCGGGTTGATTAATTCGGTGAATAGTGAGATTGGCGTTGGGGTGGGTGTGCATCCGTATCAGTTTGGTTGGCTTTTGGGGTTTGTGGCCACTAGTCTTGTGTATGTGCTTGTATCGATGGTGTTTCCGGCGAGGGAGGCCTTGGTGGAGGTTGCTGTTATGCCCGAGGAGGTTTATGATGCTAGGGAGAGAGAGGATGGAGATGGGAGTACGGATGATCAGGAGAAGGGGGAGGTGAGGGAGAAGGTTGTCTCTTAGGTTCTGCTCTTGATATATCTCTGTATTCATTCTATTCATGGGGTATATTCATTATTTTTGTACACACATGCTTGCTCTCGCTCTATTTTGTTGTAATGAATATGTGTTCCTCATGGAGGTGCCGTAGTGGGAGGATACTATATCGTGTTTTCCTGTATGAGCGACGTCGTCGCTATCAGCCAAGGCGCTGGCGGTGTGGACTTGACGGTAGAACAGCAGCCACAGTTGCCGGGATGGCCTGGATCCCACTTTGGCATAAGAGATGGCACGTCGCAGGCCTTTCAGAGGGCCGTCGTCACGAAAACTATGCAAGGAACGTAGCATATCGCAGATAAACCAATCCAGACCCCCAATCACACCGCAATTCCCTGCCCATAAGCAACAGCCTCCTTCAACACCTTACTCGCCCCAGAACTAGCTCTCCCCATCTCACCTCCCTCCTGCCTGGCGTTCTCCAACCCCCGCTGGATAGCCGGCAAAAACCGATTCGAAAAGACCCGATACCGATCCTCCCAAGTCTCATACATCTCGCCCTCTTCATCTCTTGGCTGCCCGAACAAATTCAAATAAGCATACGGCGCAGCCGTATCGGGAACCATATGCACAGCCGTCTGACAGAGGGGAAACTCCCACCCCGCCACACCCCCAGAACCCAGCATATCCACATCCTGCGCTTCATTAGCGGGCGCGCCAATGCCCGCATTTAAGAACTCGGCCAGAACAGTCAACACCTTCATCATGGGCTGGCCCTTGGCACCTGCTTTTCCGAACGAGGCGCGGCTTGCAGACCACTTGGCCGATTCCTCCGTGTGCCAGCCCAGGACGGAGAGGAAGCAGTTGAGCGTTTTGATCCAGCCGCCGGCGCTGGAGACGACTTCTGTGCCAGCTACTTCGAGGAGCCAGGAGAGGACTTCCACGGCTGAGACGCGGATGTCGGCTGCGAGGTGCGTCATGCCGGCGCGGATGTAGGGGAGGAGTTGGGGGACGTGGTCTCGGATGTCAGATTGCGGGAGGGAGCGGAAGAGTTTGAGGAGTTGGGTGCGGACACCTGTGTTTGCATCGAGGATTAGGGGGAGGAGGGTGGGCAAGATGACGCTGACTGGTTGCGGGAGGGGAGAGTTGACGGGTCGCGAGCTGATGGAGGTTGTTAGATGAGCGAGGGAGTCGCGGCGTTGAGAGTCGGATTTGGAGCTGAGGAGGGAGATGTGGTGTGTGAATTGTGTGTTCGAGGTTGGGGCGCTTAAGGTTAGGGATTGTTGGTTCAGGACGATTCCTGGGTTGGTTAGTTGGGTGATTCTTTTTCTCTCTGGGTAGTGGTGGAGATAAGGCGAACCTTTCGATTTGAAACTGGTGTCGGTGAAGTTCTCAGGTTTGCCTTTGGCTTTTCCGACCTTGAGTTTGGCTCTCTGTGTTCTGTTAGTTTTTGTCTGTTTTATTATATCAGAAGAGTGGCTTACCGTGAAATCTTTCTGCTTTTCCTTCTTTTTCTTCGCGCTGGATCCCATGGTGGATAGAGTTGAGCAGATACAGTCGTCAATTCAGGGAATTGTATTTATGTGTATATACTTCTGCTTGCAGTATACCAATGCGCAGTAGAGGACCAGCTGTCCTTGATATGGAGTCTCAATTGAGCGGAGGAAATATTGAAGCTGCGAGATATTTGCTATCTTCAATTATTTTTGATATCACCACGTGACCATGATGGGTTTGTCAGATTTATGCCTCAGGTATGAACATACCCGATTTGGCACACGATAAGCCCTATCAAAGTTGACCACAGGTATTACTTTAATACAACCTAGGCGTCCTACAAAGTCCACAAATCGCCACCCCCCTTTGGTCCAAGTGAGAGTAGTCCGTAGCCGAACCATTTGGGCTAGCACCTGGCGAGAGAGAGCAACGAAACATTAAAGGTCACTAATGCTATAATAAAATAATGTGTCCCAGAATGTTACTTTGTAGTGGATATAAACGCCGCAAGCTATTTGCTGCCTTTCTCCTCCAGGATGTTTGCAAATAATGTTTCCTCCTCCCCAATACAGTTGACTCCATTGTAAAATTCAGCAACGGGAAGAAGCATAATAAGGGATTTAAAAGCTGCAGATTTTGGTTCGGTGTAAGCCCATCCCCAGTCGACGATTCCCGTAATATTATAGTCATCATCGGTAAGAATGTGGTCTTCTTTGTCGTCTGCATACCTCATGTAGAACTGTCCGTCGTCAAAGCTGTGATATAGCAAAAGTTCAGGAATGCAATCTAAAGGAAAGCAATGGCCTAGGGATGCATATATTTCACGTCCCGTCCTGCGTAGCTTTCACATTTCACAATCAACTCCAGATTGAGCTCAATGCTGGCGCGGAGATAGTCTCTAGGGTCATTGTAAGGTCCGAGAGGAAGTATCTGCAAGTTGATATAGTGCGTCAGTTATCCTCATGCAAAAGGTCCAATGTGATCAGTCCGTGGTAAGTCCCGAGACCCCATGTTATCGAAGGGGAGTGATTCCAATTCATTGTATATATCTCCCATTACAAACGAACGTGCTGATCTCTCGTACAGAAGAGGTTGCGGCGAAGTGCAAGTGATACCATTGCGCAAATAGCTTGTTCTCGAGAGAAGTGCATATAGGTTAAGAGATTTCAGTAGTCTTGTGGTCTCCTTTCTTCCTGCTTCTTGAATGGTAGTTTCGTATGATTCTCTACCCTTAGCTTGATTGTTAGCAAAGTCATCTCTGAGATGAACGTGGCTTATTTTGATTGCCTGTCATATAGGACATCTGTGAGCAATATGCTTGACATAGAGATGGCTGTCAAAAATGAAACATTCTCCGTCCGAGCGCACAGGAGGTCTGTCAGTCTTCGAAATCACACCTCCACATTGTCGACTTTGTCCTGGAGAGGGTATGACGCGAAAAAAAAGGCAAGCAACAAATAGACAACATAATGAACACCATGCACAATCTTCAAAGGTTTCAGGATACAAGGGAGCGAAAGGAGCAAAGAGAGAGAGGAAAAGGGAAAGGGCGATTCCTCTCACCATTTGTCGAGGAGGGTGGAGAGCTGTAGGTCGGTTTTTTCCACAGCCATATCTGCCATCTTCACCTAGTCAGTTACATTTTAACTTTCTTGGGTGAAGCAGCTAAAGGACCAACATCCCGCACATAGAGAGAGTAAAGACTGGAAGGTGAGGTAAGTAGGAGGTGTTCGTAGTATATTTTTTTTTTTTTTTTGAACAGGAGATTTATCTATCAATGATTCTATCCGCTCTAGCCCTACCTAAATATATAATCTTAAATCTGTGGCTGGGCTCGGCCCGAATACGAAATCTTGGTTTACTAATTGTGGGTTCTAGATTAAGTTTAGTGATCTTGTCCATTATATTCTTATAACCATTGTTTTTTTTTTATTCTTTTATTGTTTTGTTGTTTTAATTTTCAGTACGTACTTGGTTGTTTCGGGTGGGGTTGGTTGTTGTTCGTGTTGAACAATTGTGGAACATCTTTATTTAAGCTTATATGCTATGACGTCAAATTGAGAGGCTAGTACTAGTAGTATCTCCTTATCACCCTGATTGAAGGCCTGCGAGCTAGCACTTAAATAACGACGAGGTGGGAAGCTACGCATTATTCTTAAGTGTCTTACACAGGCTACGAAATATACAGATACTACTTACTAACTATTTGAGAGGATAATAATAATAATAAAGTTGTGCACGTTTCGACAGCTGGCTACACTTATAATGGATACAACAGCTCAGACTGGATATGTAGAATCATGCTGTACCATGTATATACAGCGTCTATGGACGGTGACAGAAAACACAAAGCAGAGATGCGCACTTCTGCCCGGCCCCAAGCCTCAAACAAAATAGAAAAAACAAGAACAAGGAAAACAGTAACAGTGAAGAATCAGCACTGAAAAGAAAAACAAAAGGCCGGGGTCCGGACAGACGCGATTGTATCAAGCATAAATCAAATCAGCCAAACAAACAGAAAGCCACAACAGAACCACAAGACAAGCTGTGCATCGTCACAGCAGAGGATTCGGTCGCTGTTAGATCGCAGACTAGAACAGATCAAACCCCGAAATAACAGAAACGAATATCCCTCGTCATGTTACCATTAAACCAGCGTAACCATCGGATTGCACCTCGTCGTCTCATTAAGTGCATCGCGGGGCCACGTCATCTAACACCTCTCGTCTAGCGAGATTCCATTGGTTGCAGTATTCATCATGTCTATCGGTCATGGCGTAGCATCAACGGTGGGGGGGGAAGGGGGAAATAAAGGGGAGGGTTAAAAAAAATATTAAGAAACGAGTGTAGAGAAGTAGAGAAGTAAACGCTGCCGTTACAGACTCATCGTCAACCACTCCCATTCCTGACTAGCCCCTTGGCCGCCGGCAATACTATGGTTTGCCGGATTGGCTGCCGCTGGTGGCATGGCGGGCGCCAAAGGCACCACCTTGGACCGGCCTCCCGCAGACTTGTTAGCCTCGTCCGTTTCCATCTCGGAGGCCTTTTCCAGCCGTCGTTGACGTTTCGGGGCAGCCTGGACTGGGTTACGAGTCTGACCCGTGCCAGGGGAGGCTGCTGCGGAGGGAGCTGCCTTCGGAGGAGCGGCGGCAATGGGTACCACCCCATTCGACCGTCCCACGGCAGCACCAAAGCCGGCGGGCGGGGATTCGGAGGAAGTCCCATTCGGAGCGCGGCTCGACGTCGGAGTTGTGACTGCGGATGCCTGCTGCACCGAGTTCTTGCGTGACGTCTTCTTCGACGCACGGGAGGTCCCAACCGCCAAGCTGTTGGCACTGCTGCGGTTACGCTTCTTGATGACGTCCGTTTTCAGGGACAGAGGACGCACGACACCGTGCAGTTTCAAAAACAAACCGCAGGCATTGCATAGTGGCTGGCCCTCCGGGTTCCGACGCCACAGCGGAGTCGTTTGAGTAAAGCAGTTCGTGCAGGTGGTCGGTCCGTTGCTGCCCGGATCACCGTTCTTGCTGCCTCCGGGACTGGCCGGGCGGGACGGTACGGCGCTGCTCAGGCCGGACTCAGGCGGGGTATTGGGAGAGGTATGAGACGTATTGTTATTAGAGTTCATGCTTTGGCGCAACAGCTGGGCCGTATTGGGGGTGGATGTGGTGCGGGCAATCTTCTGCCGACGAGGGTCCTGCTCTCGGTTGCGCACCTCACTGACCGAAGCCACCGACCCGTGAGTCCGACCCAAACTGCCGCCGTGATTCCACTCCTCGGGGGTGTCCATCATGTCCGTGGATCCGATGGTCACATGCTTGCGATGTTGAGGGCCAAAGCCCGGCAGCGAATGGAAGGAGCCCGGGAACTGCCCATCCCACTGCATGCCCGACGAGAATCCGTCGTTCTCGTCCCCAAATTCAGTCGGCATCGCCAGACCCGCCCGCTCTGACAGCTGATGACCATCGTCATCCTCGTTATCTGAGTCGGCTCCAAAGGTAAACATGGCACCGGTATGGGAGTTGCCTGTCGAGTAGTTGGTGGCGTTCAACACCTGGGTGGGGTCTACATGTTGCGGCTGGGGGATGGGGTAGCTCGGCGAATGCACCGTCGACGAACTGGGCTGTTCATGGTTGTTCTGGTTGAACATGTACCGAGGCTGCAGCGAAGCGGACAAGTTGGACCGATGCGAAACATAGGTTGGGATGCGGCGCTGCGTGCGCGCGTCGCCCGACGGCATATCGAAATAAACGGAATGGTCCCCATCGTAGACGGGCTGTGGTGTGGATGCCGTGGACTGGTAGCCCGATGGCGGTGGAGAGAAGAAATCCGTCGAGTTCAGGGATGAAGCTACCGGGGTGTGTGAATAGAGGTTCGCGAACGGATGACCGGAAGCCATCGGAGACTCGCTGGGCGAGAAGGTGAATTGCGACTGGTAGGGGCCTGCAGAGGGCAAAATCGGATCATCTCCCAGGCCGAACGTATCCAAGCCAAACGGCGCCCCCGGAGAGGTGTGGTTGTGGTGATTGATCTGATGGTGGTTGCCCTGATGGAAGCCAAAAGCCGAGGACGGGGTGTCCAAGGCATAATCGGGCACGCCGGTAGCGAGCTCCGGATCGTGGGCCAACATGGAGTTGGAAACGGGAGGTACTTGGGGGGAGGATTCGGCCGGTCGCTTTCGGGTCGGCACCTGCAGCGAGAAAAATTGACGCTCGTCGATACTCGTCTTGCGCACGCGACGGGGGACGTAGCCGAATTCACTGTTCTTCCGCTGATCCTGAGCCGGGTGGTGGAACGAGGCCGGCACCGGGGTAGAATCTCTCAGCTGATCTTTCCGGGACTTGATGGGAATGGCCGCCGACGCCGCCGTGGAGTCGGTGATCTTGGTGGCGTTGGGCGAGGGGTGGTCCGAAGGAGATTCGAAGGGCACGATGAAATCGTCGAGGTTCATGGGATCGGCGGTCAGGTCGGCGGACTGAGGGTTACCGGTGGCAACGGGCGGGTCGGAAATGCGCAGTTGAGCAATACCACTGGGGCCAGCGCTACCGGGTCTTGCAGGAAACCTTCACAGAGAAAAGATTAATGATGAGCGGGGCCACCCGTTACTCTGCCAGGGGAGAACACCTACATGGACTGTTGAGCACGTTCCCGCTCCTTGCGTTTCAAACTCATTGCCATCATCCGCCAGGTGAGGTTTTCCATGCGCTCCTGGTTGGGCAACTGGGCCTTGGTCCTAGAATAGAGCTTCCATATTTGAGTCGCTAACGGATCTTGCCTCTGCATCTCATCCGGACTGTCGATGCCGGGTCGAGGGGCACCGGACCCCCATTCGGGGAAGAGTGAGTCCTGAAGTAGGCCTTCATGGGCCTGCGAGTCGGCGGGGCTCAGAGGGGAACCGAAAGAAAAGTCATCGGACAACTGCGAGGAGGTAGGGGGGAAGTTGTTGGAGGAGCGGTCAGCCTCGGCGGACGGGTGGTGGTGGGTGGTAAATGTTGCGGTTTGAGTCGGTCGCACGCCTCCAGGGCCTCGCCCGAGGGTCAACCCGGACATGTTCACACGCCCTACTCTTTATTGGGGAGGGCGGGGATCACGATAGTAGGCGATAAGACGGAGGGGGGGG